TCTTTCTTCGTCCGCAGCATATAAGTATGAATGAAAGCCAAGGAAAAACTTGGTGCGGAACAAAATGAGGTTTCCTTCGTGTGACATAATGATGACTTTATCCATTTACATGCTGCCTCAACTGCTCGAAAACGGATGGGATAAATGAGTCAATTTGAGACGGATCAAAGAAAATCTTTGGCGTATTTATGTACTTTTTTGTGTAATGTTGTGCCTTGTAGGGCTCACGAAAGGTTCAGCTTACGTGTGATAATGCATTATTACTATATGTATGTGCAGGAATATACATATGCAATAACTCAAAATATTACGCTCTGAACTTTCGTCGGAATTTTTTTAAACAGCTACTTTAATGGAGAATGTTGGGCTTTGGAAATTTAATCCAGATCCAGATTTATTGCTTGTGGTCCCCAACTCGTACATGAATGTACCTGTTCCCTTCGTCCAAGTGTTCTGAGGAATGTACGCAGTAGTTTCACAAAGATGATTATGTGCATGTTTCTGGTATGTGATATAAGATTACATATTACTTATTTCTAATTCAACTCCATTATAAATGAAGTGACGAATATATACATGCAAAAGATGTTAAGGAATCACAATGGTTTCAACTTGTGACGACGAGCTTATTATAATATTTTACCAATTGAATTTCTACATAATTTACATTTAATTAAGTACCGAATCTGTGCACTTATTGTTCTGGTTTGCATGCAATCAAATCATCATATTATATTTGTAGTTTCTCATTATTTTGACCCGTATGAAACTAATCCCACACAATTAAGCCTTTTATTTCCGTATCATTCATTTGTGTTTTGACAATTAAATAATATTTTAGGTACGGCAAAACTATCGTAAAATGAGAGAAATCTTGCATATCTAATTCTAGCTGTTGGTCGTAAAACAATATCCCTGGTCGTCGTTTTTAAGAATTTTTGAGCAGTTGCTAAGAAATGGTGCATTATTTAGAGGAATAATTTACTGGAATTAGATCGCTTTCAACGTCAGTTTCTCGCCGGTAATTTTTTAGCCTGAGTCAGGGCTTAAGGAACCGTCATAATTTCCGTCCGTCCATCCGTCCCAAAACACGATAGAGCCAAAACGACTGAACCGATTGACTTGAAATTTTTACCATATGCATATTGGACAAAGTTAGGAAACGAGTTTGAAGATTGGCGAAATCGGTCAAGTGGTTGACCACTGGGGGTTATCGGAGTGGTCAGAGACTAAGTCCCTGGCTCGGGCTATATGGGGTCTGCACTGTAAATTATGTAAATTCAAGGAAATTATTCCTCTAAATTTTGCACCATTTCTTAGCAACTGCTCAAAAATTCTTAAAAATGACGACCAGGGATATTGTTTTACGACCAACAGCCAGAATTACAATTTCTTAACTTTGCTAATTGTAAATTCACGAACAAGGAAAAGATCTCTTTCACATAATGAGAATTTAGAATGCAGCATCCCCATTAATTATTTGAGACCCGAAAAATTAATTGCCAACCTCCGTAATAAAAACATCATTTGATTCGACAAGAGCCCAGCGTTTTTGACAGGTTTTTCTTTCGAGAAAGTGATCGGCGAAACACACATCTCAATTTCATACATACATAAGTGTATAGTCTCATTTTGCTTGCACTGTGTTGTTGCTGCCGTGTCGTGTCGTAACTCTTTTTACTTGAGAGGAATCTGGCTGGCTGACTGACTGAAAACAGTTAATTCTCTCATCTCAAAGCCCATGATTTGGTGTGGCGCTAGGTGGTATATATCGACATAAATTGGCAAAAGTACGAAACAAGAATCCTTAAACTTTTACTTTATTCTTCTTCAACAGGATAATTTATGTCCGGCAAAGATTCTCAGTTGGTTAGGTCTCGGCGTATTTCCACCCATAAATTTTTTTCTTTTTACTTCACTCAGATTCACGTTAACTGAGTTCTCAACTTACTTTTTTTAACCGTTTCCCTGCTCACTTTTTCTTAGGTACGAGATGCACATATCTATTACATACATGTGATAAGTTTTGGTGCGGTGAGGTTTAGCGTAGAATTCCAAGAATGAACTCTTGCCTGTCTACTTCTTGAGTGGTGAACAACAGAACGTAATTATTAGTTAAATTATTGCTTCTTTTTCTACGTACGGACAGCAACACAACTCACAGCCATGCTTGTTTTTCTTGATAATTGATAAATCCACTGTTCGCAATATCTCAGCATGTTCTAATACTAAAGATGCACAATCTAATGTATAATAAAATTTTACTTTGTGAACACAATTAGGCATGCTTCTCATTTTATTGATGCAGTGAGATTTTTGTAGGAATACTTGACAAATAATAAACCCAAGTCATACATAGTACAAACAATTAAACAGTGCGTTTCATCATCTCCGCACTTTAGTTACAGTCAGTCGTTTTAAAATTAAAAACGCGAGCCCCATTCTAATAGCTCGACTTTAGCATGAATAACAAAGAAAATATAGCTTCTTGGTGTGTGAAAAACAAAGGAAATTAGCTCATCTAACTGTGTCAACTCAATTCCCACGATATAAAGCAACGTGTGAGACAATTTACTCCACTGACGCAGTTTTCATACGGCTGCCGCTGCTGCTAAATTCAGTTTCAATTTCCTTCGCGTTTTACCTCCACGATCGAATCCGTTTGATGTGGATTATTGCAGAGGAAACAGAATAACAACAATTACACTTTTACTCATTCTCAATTTAGACGTCCGGCCCAGATTCAGCACATGTATTTTCGTTTTCTTTCAAAAATTTTACTTTTCGCTGCCCATTTTAATTATATCCGTTTTTTGATACCCAGTTCAGCAAATAGGGATGTTATATTTGGATCTTAATTAATTTTTAGATTGGATAAACATGCTGACCTTTAAGAAAGAATCCAAACGCAAGTAAGATGAGTAGCGAAGCATTGCCCTTACTCTTCGATTTCTTGATGCAACCCATTTTGATAGTCGTCGCTGTTGCTGCTTTTAAATGAATAGTCAACTGTCTCACTTTCCCGTTCACGAGAAATCCAAACATTAAAATGTGCTCATTGGCATTTCAAAAAATATTTTCCTACCAAGCTACTCCTGGATTTCGTTTCACTCAAGTTTCGCTATTACTAAAAATTTGTTACACTTTTCAACATCACTTACAAAGCAGTAAGCAAGAATCGGTGAACCAAACAATCCAAACAATTTTTTCTCTCACTTTATTTGGTGACTCCCAGACTCACAAAAGTTTTAATAATTCACTCTATTACACGTTTTGAGTTGCTCTGTATGTAATAAAATTTACAACTTAATTGATTATAATTCACTTGATGAATAGCAGATCAATTTAGGAATGTATCAATTTCCCCTTTTCAAACTCTGTTGTAACACCTTTCCAATTTTTCACCGCTACACAAGTCATTCGCAAGATAATTTGTTTACTAATATTTTTCCCGAAAGAGAATTACGTTTTGTGAAGATAATTTTGACGAGGAGTTAACTGTTTCCCCGGAATACGCGCAAAATGTTGCTGCAAAAGCAGAATCCGTCGTGTTGTTTGCTGTTCAAGCGCTGAGGCAGAACTGACGATGAGATTCTCAGCCTGTGCTCGCTCACCCAAATCTCGAGCTGGCTGGCACATCTCTCTCACTCCTGCTTGTGCTTCGATTGTTGGGCTGAGGAGAGTGAGATTTCGTCTCAATTTCCTCCTCACTCACTCGCTATTCGCCTAAACCTCTCTCAACTTTGAAGTGAGTGATTCCTCTTCGAATCATTTCTGTCCTGATTGAATGTCAAGATTTGCGACACACAATTTTGTTATGAATGTGTAAGCTCTGTGTCACGATGCGGATGCAAATCCCACATATTCATGCCATATACTCGTTCGCACAACAATATGGAATCACTGCAGGAGAGGCTACTATTTTGGAATGCGAATTTTTTGAACGAGGAATTCAACAACCACAATGTCAAGTTGAGAATGTCGAAATGACGGCCAAATTAAGAAATATGTTTAATTATATTGATAATTCGAATGGAATTTGTGTATGTCTGTGATCAGAACTATTTCTAAAGCTCCGCGTGATATGACCAGCATAGTTATTAATACCAACATAATCAGTTAACTAACGGATTGGAGGTCAAGTATGAAATTAAATTACAAGTCAACAAAATCTGCAAAACTTTAATCACATATGAGCAGACAAAGATCATCCTTACGTTTTTAAGGGGAAGGGAGGGCGAAATCATATTCATGTAAGCACTCTTTGTTGTACGGTATGCTAAATATGTATGCATGTGGATTGAAAATTGTGAACCACGATAAAACAGCATCAGGGTACTAACCAAACCTTGTTATACACGATAAAATTCCTACTGACTATGGCTGGATAAAATTGAATTGCACACAGATATTTGAATCTGTAGCCCCAACCTTGATTTTATGAGTGTCCGGTGACTACATAATGAATTTTTAATAGGAAACGGAAGCTCGTGAACCCGAACCGAGTTTAAACAACTGCATTTGTATTGTGTTATTCTTACTTTAATAATGCGATGTAGTCTTCTCAGTATACCAAACCCACGTGCATCATACATACGTAAATATGTATGTATGTACATAGGTATTCATGCTCCATAATAATCATACCAACGATCAGTATAGTAACAGGTATTGTCTATTCTAACCTAAAGTAAAGCTTTAAACTAGTATTGCAATTTTTGCCAGGAACCACAACCTGGCAATCTCAAATGCACCACCACCACCAAATATATGTACGAGAGGCAACGGAATATCCTGGGCATGACTATTTTATCTAACTTCGATCAAGATCAACCAAGCTTGATATACCACTGGTACACAAACGACCAGAGTTTCGTTCGCATTCTCGTTGTATAAATATGGCAACCACTCTAGATATTTTGGCATATTTATTTACTAGACTGGTTTAGTAAATGCTTGGTTTAAATCGTGACAGATGGAGAATGGAACTTGCATGCATGTAGTTTTAATTGTGTGCAAAAAAATTTATTGCATAAATTAAAATAACCCAGAGATTATCACAACTTATTAGGCAGTTCGTTCTTATAAACATTATTATACATATCAGGGTCCTTTGACTGTTCCCTTGGAGGATTTCTAGAAATCCTCCAAGGAACGTGACATTTCTAGTTCCAAAATATAATGACTTTAAACTCGAACATAAAATATTCAGCTCGATTCAATTAGATGTGTGTGATGACAAAATATCTGGTAACAAAACATTATTAGGATTTTCACTCTCCAAATTGGTAACTGCAAAGTCAGAGTCCGCTGCTATATCACATAATAATGGGGATTTCTCTTGTCCCAAAAACTGAACTACTGGCGACTCAAAGTTGGGTTGGGATAGACTGACATTTGATGTCGATAAGGACGAGGAAACTATGGGGTTGACGTTCTTTGATACAAGGGGTGATGGCGATGCAGATAAGGACTCGGATCCGCCGATTCGAGTATAATCGTGTGTTTTATCTGTTGGCCTTCGGAACCTTCTGAAACTGCATCCCAATACCGACAGATGATTATACATCATGCCCACGGTGGTGTAAACCCCTCCAATAACGGCACAAAGACGAACTAAAAATGGGACAGAATATTTGATTTATAGTCAGCTTTAAATATATATAAATACTATTTAATTTCGACCGACCTAAAAATCGCCACACTGGATATTCCTCTTCTTCAACTACTACCTACATCACAAATTATTAGATACATAATTTAAGATACGTTCATTAAATACCAGAGTATTAATTAATTACGCTAGATTTTTCTCACTTTTAAACCGCTCATGTCATATTTGAAGAATATTCCAGAAACTCCATGTGATCCTTTTTCATGGTCAATTTCTCGAGGTAATTCTCGTACAGAATACTGAAATGTTCGATAGGTTTTAAACCTAGTTTTGACTATTGTAGGGACGACCTGAAATATATTTGTTTTGTTATTATTCCCACAAAGATGACGGCATAAATCCTTATGGAAAAAGATATTTCGAGTATTTATTAAACCTGAATAAAATACTGGTACGACATGTGGTCTGCAATTAGAGGATCATGAAATTATTTTCTATTTTTTGTCGGAATTTGTTTACTACACACGTACTAATATTAGCAACTGCTTCAGTCCCTTCCAATGGGTGCACAATTGTAGGCATTCCATCCCCAAAAGAAAACTTGTAAATTCGATGAGAAAAGTTATAGTCCCTGTTAGACATGAATGCAGCTGAAACAAAAACGATGGATGAATTGGTTGCCAGGTTGTATAGAGTGGAAGTCGGATCGGAATGATTGGTGTGGTGGTGGTCAGCACAATTTTAAAGACCATCAACCTTGGACTTACCTACGTGAGCATGACCTCTTGGTAACGGCAACGTTTTTCCAGCGGTGATGTGAAAGTTCCCTGCGACTTTATTCAACTCCAAAGATCCATACAACCGACACGCCATCGCAGGACCACGGTCAAATTTTTCATGAGAGGTACTGTCATAAAAGTAGAGACACGAGCCATTAATATCATTAAACATAGGACAGGGTTAATTTCTGTTTAGTTTTCCATCCATACACATATTGAATTTTGCTTGCATACTTACAGTTTTGGCATTTCCGTATACATGTTGATAAAGTCATTCTTCCATAAGAGGTTCTGCAAGGAGTGATATTGTTCTCGTAGGTAGGAGTTGAGCCTCGCCTTAGCATTAAAATATGCTCTTTGGCTCTCTGAAATAATAATAATTTGATTAAAATCACGATTATTATATGAGGATGGCTTCCAAATTCGGAATGTTTTATAACAATATAAATATTTAGTATATTTAGAATGTGAATAACTATCACATTCTAAATTTCAAGTGTAATTTGCTTGCTCACTAGACACTACACCAAAGACTCGTTTTAGTTACAAATGGGCGAAGTTTAGGTTTTAATTAAAGTGAAGGCTGAATTAGCGTCGAGTCAAATTGGACCCTGCCAAAATGAGCTTGCGATTGTGCTAGGTCCTGTTTGAAACTGTCTCGATATAAGCTAACAATGCTGGCTTAAGGGCTAAAAGTTGTCAGAGAATTTTCAAACAAACAATTTTGATACCTGAAAGTTCAAAGTAGACGAATTCCTCTTCCAGTTCTCCAAATTTCATAACATTTTGGCTTGTCGAATCCACAATATCTGCCCCAATTACTAAATAAACAAAAGTGAGAATTTTATTCTCATCGTCATTAACTTAGTTAGCTTAATCATTAGAATTTTCTTACTTGAGCATGGCATGCCCACTGTTAAGTCAATGTTGATAGTTAACTTCTCGTCAAGGTCAGTATCAGGACTGAATTTAAATGTGAACCCGGTGTCTAAAAAGTAGCTAAACTCCATGATAACGAGCCATGCAATAATTATCAAGGCCACGATTGATGCTGCAAGTAATACGATAATCACGAATAAGCTCGAGAGATTCTATCGAATATTCTATTACTGACTATTACCTGTGCCTCCGTACGAGGTCGTTTCTATGCAAGTTTCTGGAACCTTAGGGAACGCGTCCATTTCTTCAACTGCTTTCAGCACAGCCGGCTTTCTTCTTCGGATTTGGGGTTGGCCCGACATGTTTACGATTAACTAAACAATTACTAATATGACGAACTTTTACTTTATTCAAACTCAATCATGATTATAGAAAATCAGTCGAGTTGAGAGTAGGACACAACTACTCGTAGTTAACAATTTTTTAAATTGACGAAACAATTGTAAACTGTAAATTGTTGATTATTTGTGTTTACCAAGTTGGGTGTTGAAGATGAATGAGGTGTCAACAGATTGCATGATTCGCGCTTGGCTTTCATTTCAATGGTCGTTGTCGTCTCCACGTGCATTTCACGTTGCTCGAATCGATCAGCAGAAGCCCGCTTTCGCTCACAACCTCGATAATCGAACGTCAGGAAGTCGACAAAAGTTGGCAATTGTGGATTGTTTCTTGCAATTAATTGTTGCCTGCATTTCTTTGAGACTGACTGGAGAGAAGACTGAGCATGTAGTGGAAAAAGTCGTCAAAGGTGAGTGTATTTCTCCAGCATAATAATAAATTATTGTAATAATAAGTTCCGCAGTTAGATTAGTTATAAATAAACAAGCAAGCAAGAAGTTTATAATTTATTTTTTCCAGAGCATACAAACATTGTAAATTGCACACCTATCCATTTGTATTTGAATTTGAATACATGTCATGTTGCATGTTAACTGTGCCGTTGGCACTAAAATGTAGTAAAGCCAAGAATCTTGGCCCAAGATTATAGAAATTGATTTGTTCACGTCTCTAAGGCCAGATCCAGTTGCGTTCAAAACCCTCAATCTCACTGCATACAGACCACGCATTTAGCTTAATTTATGATTAATCTGGGATAATTAATTTCCTTATTTTGTTTTGTTTTGTTTTTGGACAATAATATAGATGTACGTCAATTGTCCAAGTTTCTAGTCAGGCAGGACGAAGAGTGAAGGTCAAGGTACGTATTCACTAGACTGGAGTCTCTCCATAGCGTATCATTATGGATCCTGGGCTTGTCGAGCTGAAGGTACAGATGCCCGGAGGGAAGCGATGCGATTTCTGCAATAAATCGACTATCGATACGTTAATGTGGGGCACAATGTACCATTACCAGGGAATAACGGTCCATTATTTTTGCATGGTGAGTTGTTTTCTATATCATATATCATTTTGCTTCTCTATTTTTTTAAGTCCTGACTTGTATTTTGATTGGAGCAGTTGTTTTCTGCTGGACTCAGTCAAAATGGTACAGATGACCAAGGGATTCTAGGATTTCTTCCTAAAGATATTAAAAAAGAATTAAACCGAGGAAAAAAACTGGTGAGCAATCCTAATTCCTACTACATTAAGACTACTAACTTCAACAAGGGTTTTATTTCATTCAATTTAATTTTCTTAAGTAGAAATGCAAGTACTGTAAAGGTGTTCGTGCTACTGTGGGATGCTCGGTAAAATCATGCAAAATGAGCTTTCACTACTCTTGCGGGTTAGACCAAGGATGTCTATACCAATTTATCGGCAATTACGAGTCGTATTGTGTAAACCATCGCGAGAAACCCATCATTAAGATTCCAAAAAAGACCTGGGAATGTCCGATTTGTTTTTCTGACTTTTCAAACGAAAAGTTTCCACTTAAATCCCCTTGCTGTAACAACAACACTGCCATTTTCCACAGAAGATGCATCATGGTAAGAAGCTAACTATGCCCTTCGACGTTTGTTCGGCATTTGCTATTGGGCAGTAAGGAATAACTGATCGCAGGTTTAAATTGAATTTCACCCCGCTCCCAATGTAATCAAGTGGGCACGTGATTTTCGCGCGAAAATATCCTGCGATCATTTATTCCATAATGACCAATATAAATCAATATTATTCATAAGTGAGTGTCAATAGCTTGGTATTTTTGTAGGAATCTGCCGATAAATCTGGTTTACACCATTTTAAATGTCCGTTGTGTAACAACAAGGATCATTTCTGCAACGAAATGCGGCTTCAAGGCATTTATGTACGAATTCCTGATTAAATTAAATTATTTAACCCTTAGCCATGGGAGACCGTTTTAAAACGTTTTAGACTTTTTGCTTTAATTCGGGAGACCGTGAAAAGCCGTTCACAAGAAAAGTCTCTGCCTTCGGGGTCAACGGCTTTTCACGTTTTCACGTTTCCATGTCAGGTGCGGGACAACGGATATTTCCGTGGTAAAAATTATTTAGCTGATTCGGGAAACGGCAAAACACGTTGGCACTAAAAACTAAAATTTTTAGGGCCTTGGATCAGAATCGTCCGTGGTAACACTAGGTCACTTTCATATAACTTCGCCCCTGCTTTGCATAGGATGGGTTGCATGCAAAATTTTTGACTCTGGTTCACTAACTGCTAAAACTATTCAAGAAATTTATAACGGAAAGTTATTGAGGCCAAAGCACACCCATCTCGTGTAATCTTGGTTTGCCAGGACATGTTCATTTTTGCTAAATTTCAACGTTGATGAAAAACTAGTGGGAGAAATTAGTTTCGGGTTTTTCCAGAAGCTCGACAAATATTTTGGTTAGTGCACCAACTATCTAAGATAATTTATAAAGGTATATGGGATCATTTAAGATACAAAATATGAGGTAAAACTAGCTTCGCCAATAATAAGGGGTTATATACACCTTTTATCAAACTCATCAATTATCAAATTAATCTCCTCGTCTAGATTGAGTTCTTGGCTGCATTAAAAAATTAAAATATACCAAATGTACGCATAAATTTAGTAAGAACTTTTGATCCAAGTAAGAAAAACCCCTTATGCACATCCACAAACATGTGTGGTTTGGGACCAATAGCTAAATTTTACAAATGTCTTGAGTAGTTTTGCATCCCAAAATCTTGCACCATAGACCATATTTAGTTCATCATAATTCTCTAATTATAATGCAACTTTGCTTTACAATGTTACACTGTAAAATTTTAATACTCATCAATTTAAGTACCATATTTATTGACGTTGTCCCGCAGCTAATTTTCTCCTAACGTGTTTTGCCGTTCTCCCGTATTGAGCATTTATAAAATCCTCCCGAATCTAAGCAACGCATATGATAAAAGTCTCCAGATTTAGAACTTGTCAGATTTTAATTATTTTTTGGCTTCCCGAATGATCACAATTGTGGTCATCGAAACGCCCCGCAGCAACGCCAAACATAGTTACCGTTTCTCCTCGGCTAAGGGTTAAAAAAATATTGAACATATGATATTTATAATTTCAGGTACCTGACAGGTAAAAGTGAAATTTTATTATACAAGTCCAAAAACAATTAATGTACCGTCTGCACTTAAACTGTAGAGATGCCAAATGGGAGACTGAACCCAACGCTTATGCAGAATTAAATGAACATTATAATAAATGTGATAAGCAGCCATGCCTGTGTCCATCAGGACCGGAATTTAGGACCAGTGACGAAGTAGCTGACGAGTATGGGTATGGAGATATGTAAAACTTATGTTTGATCAAATTGTCAATTATCAATTTTAGATATTATACAAAACTTTAGGTGATTTACATAATACTTCATCTTTTCTTTCAGCGATTGGAAACTCATCCGATGTGGTGGGTGTGGTGCTTCCGCTGTCCACATGAAATGTGGAGGACTCACAAATTTGACATACCGATGTGGAATGTGTGTCACGGTGCTTAAAGGTAAAATGTCATAACTTGCTTCACACTAACAAGGTAAACGAAATGATGATTTTAATTGCGTTTTATTAGGATGCAATTTTGACGACAGTGATGACGAAGGCCTTAGTCAACGTGATAGAATTGACGAACCGCGATCTCAAGAAGTAAGAATAAACCGCCGTCTATGTCGTCAAATCAATTACTCGGATAGTGAAGGTATACCCATATAACCAATGCACTTGTCATATTATGACAAGTACCCAGGTTTATATTGATATGTCTTTAAGCATTGCTTACTATTCAGAAGATGAGCCTGTCCAGAATTTTTTGGAATCGCTTCCATCATCAACACCAAGCACATTAGTCGTAGCTGATGATGAAGATTCAAATAGCTTTGCATCGTTCAGATTCAAATCTTCTTCAGAGGAAGAAAATATTGCAAGAATCCCCCCGAAACAAACACGTTCGTCTACGTCTCAACAGAACACCAGCGTTAACGACACTTGGAGCAAAGACACAGATAATTTATCTTGGCCTGAAGATGACGAAGACGATGATGACCTGACAGAAGAAACCGAACAAGACTTCATTATGTCTTCTACTAAAAATGTAAGAGGTTTTATAAATTGTCTAAATTCAAAAAGTGGATACTACTTAAGTCTAACATATCTTTACCTCAAAACAATACGTTTGAGTCTCGACAAACTATTATTTCACGTAATATTCTTAAGAATGCATTACTAATTGACTTGTCTAAATAGGTTCCTTGGAAGGTAGCAATTGATACCCAGGAGGGTGAAAAGATGCGGATCGGTTTGGCAAATGCATCGAATAACCGTAAGGATGTGATCGATTTGGTCACGAAGGTTAAAAGTACTAATCGTCCATCAGATCGAACACTTCGTCGTCAATTTAATCTGCCAAAGATTATTTCTGTCAAATCAGTCCCACTCATCGATATGGAGGACAAGCTTAAAGACCAACTTAACCAATTGGAATCAAAATTTGGTGTAAAATTTCGTGATGCTTGGACTAAAATATCTTCAGATGAAGATATAGAAGAGGTCCCCCAGTCTTCCAAGTCGTCTCCTAAAACGACTGGCAAAAAGCGAATACAATCTGCACAAAAATCAATCGTGCCAACTGCATGTGAGGAGGGTTTTGGTGCTGCTACTACCAACTTGTTTAATAAACCAAGTACTAACTCGAATGAAAGTCAATATTCAACCAAATCAGTATCCTCAACAAGCACAAGTCAATTTAAAAACAATTACAACAACAGGGACAATCTCCAACAGCTCTCATTCTCACCCGCTTTCTTAGAAAGACAAAAAGAAATTAATGCAATATCTGAACTTGCTTCAGAAACAGCAAAGAAAATGGAAACAAATGAACAGTCTGATTTGGATTGCGTTTCCGAGATAATATATTTAGATGATACTCATACAGCTCAACCTAATACTAATAATTGTGTTCCCATTTCTTTGTCCTCTACGCAAGAATTAGATGACAAAACCGACGATAATCAAGAGCAATCTTCTCGAATGAATCTCTTTGACTTGGAATCCGCCAATGTCAAACAATCACCACCACCTCTATTGGAAAATTCTTCTCGTGTTCTTAAACTTTCCAGCCCATCTCCAACGAAAGTACCTTCGTCATCTTGTGTGATCAATCTAAACAATAAAAGTTCACCATCACACCGAAAAAAAATTATTCAATCCAAAATTGACAAATGGCTCTCCCCTGCTCAAGATAAAACAAAGCATTGCAAGTCAGTCCCCCTTAATGACGATGACGATGACGAAGTCATAATAATCACCCCTGGAGAAAACAGCGAACCATCCAAATATACCAAGAAAAACGTTTGTATTACAATCGAAGAAAACTCTGACGATGACATCCAGATTGAACTCGTAAATTTGGTTTGCGAACCCTATATATCTCCAACCAAAAATGCAACGAATACAACCACGTCTTCAGTGTTACAAAACAGTGGCTCTACAATGGAATCAAGAATGTCAATTAGTAAAAGTAATGTTTGTTATTCTGCAGCATTAATTGCTAATTCTACTGGGTTAGGCCGGACTCGTAGAAATTTTATAACCAATACAAATACCAATTCTGGTCCGGATGAAACCGAAGTCATCACTCTGGATGACAGCGATGAGGAGGACGAAAAAATCCCTCCGCCACCTCTAAAGTGTTCCCCTTGTCGTTCTAACTATGATGAACCCAAGGTAAAAGCAGAGATTGACGACAGCAGCATGACCTCAAATAACAAGGACAATGAATCCACGCTTGGTACGAAATTAAATTATTTCCTCCATGAACACTATAATAATGTGCTCCTCGTGATTACTGGTTTAACTATGTAAATTTGTTTAAAAATGAATCGGGTATTGTTCTTTATGTATCATTTCTCCAGGTGAAGGCGATACTACGCCAAACCAAGACCGTGATCTGCAGGGGTGTAGCAACAGTAAAAGGGATCGAATTGATAGTACAAATTTGTCACCTGATGAATGTGAAGAAACTCCGGACAAAATTGAAGAAAAGGACAATTCAGATCTAAAACGACCTCGCCTCAATTTAGAATAATGTGAAAATGAAATATTAATTCTTTCCGTCTATTGTCTTGCGAAATTTTTATTTCCGTACAAGAAATTGTGATATTCATTTGATCTGTTTGAGTTGGTGACCAGTATACTGCCGAGTGTTTAATAGCTATGCTTCCTGCCTGATAGAGTAAATTCTTTGTAGAATATATGTTTCACTGATTAATGACTATGAGGTGTAAAATAAAGTGTAGTGACTCTTATAATTAGTGAAGAGTATTGGGGCCATTTGAAAATTGATCAGAATTTGACTAATTAAAGTTAATGTTAAGAGTAATTAAATTTTATATTTGTCAAGATGCTCGTTTCTTGAATAAACTATATATTACAACTTTAAGCTCGGCTCGCTCTTGTAATTCAACTGCAATAGGTGTCGGTTCATTTTAAGTAGCAAATTGAAGTTATCCAAATATGCATACACTCCATTTTTAGTCATTTACACTCGTCAAGACACTTTACTTTACACGTTAGTAATAATACACACTGAATGACAGAATGAATTGTGTAAGGTAGATAGATAAAGCTTCACAAGAATATACTTACACACATTACCTTATTTTCCATAATACATGTACTATTGTAGTGAAATCAGAAGTAACTTTGTCGTTAAAACTTAAAAAAAAACATTAATTAACAGCACTAAGATCATGTCAGTCTTATGTAATACAAAAAAATCAACTCATATTTAAATAAGTGTGCTGGCAAACGAATTTGCATCATCAAGCTAAGGACACAAAATATCAAATTATTATAAACGTATTAAGACTTTGAACAATTCGTGATAATGACTTCCAACCGAGGTACAACGTATATATGCATGAACTAAATATATTGGCTATTATTTGTATCACATGTTTAACCTATTACAGTCCTTCACACATATATAAATTGCTGATACTGACACAAACTTTGACATTTACACAAATCTGCAAGACTCAGTTGACACTTGTGCATACGCTCCAAAATTTAGTATTAGTACAACGACGTCTGTGAATTCATTAATATTTACCAATATTTAGCTAGTTCAACAAAGGAAACCTTCGTTCCGTCTACATAAGTCTATGGCATTTACCGTATAACTGTTGCAAAAAAGTAGACTTGTTACGGTAGGTAGTATAAGCATATACGCAGTCTACATATCTGATGATGCTAAATCGAATTTTGCTAATTAGATTGCAATTGAAAAACAGCCTGGTAATTATGTAATATATATGGGCTGATATTTTCCAGTGGTAAATTACCACTGTTGACTATAGTTTATACATAAGTAACAACCCTCTGCACACCTTTCTGGCAACAAAGTACATAACATACATGAATAGGTAACTACAATAATCAACTGACTGGATCTGAATACAAGGAAACTGTTACTGTCAACAAATATCACTACTACCAATTACTGGTTGACTTAAAAATACTTACTAATATTGTACTAGTAATTTTCAAACTTTAGTACATGGTACTTTTGTTTTGCAGAAGTATGAGAGATTCCGTCAGAAGAGTTCTCCTCCTGGTGTCCAAATAAAGTTGCGTACAGCTCTGATTTTGATACCGTCTGATACACAAAGTTGTAACCACTTCGGCTAGGTTCTTGAGGTGACTGGTAGTCATGAGATGAAATTGTAGAATATTCTTCTGCACCAGAAGAATAAAGGTTGTTAACGCCATTGTTGCAAGATTCGTCATCTGTTGAAACGGCTCCATTGTTCTTGTTATTGCAACTGCCTGCGCCTCGGTTCCCATTGTGCAATTGTTCTTTTAGTCGTTCTCTTTCTTCAAGGACACGAGGAATTGGAATGGGCAAGCCATCCTTTGGTTTTCTTCTGCCATGAGTATGCGAAAGTTCGTGACGAATCAAATTATACTTCCTAATAAAAAAAGAAAATAATGGATACATGATCTACTCAAATTGAATGAAAATTGTACTTTTACCGTGGAAAATGCTTATCGCAATAAGAACAATGATAAATTCTTCCTTCAGTGGATCCATGAGTGTCACAGTGTCGTTGCAATCTTTCCTCACTTTTGAACCGCACCTAGTGTAAAATATATTAACAAAGATGTATAAATAATATTATAGGATATGGTCTTACAGGTACAAATGTGGTTGGTTATACATATATAATATTTACAAACCTCGCATAATTCACATGAATACGGCTTGTCATTCGACTGGTTGTGAAAAGCAATATGAATTTCTAAATTCTGTTGGACGGCAAATTTCTTGTCGCACAAATGGCACGAGAGATTCTTGTTCTTATCCTCCAATTCGTGAGCTTGCAAATGCATCTGGAGGCCATTCTTGGTACCAAACTCTTTGTCGCATACCTATAATATATATATAATATATACCCAATTCTACCCCGTATGAGAATATACAAGGACTTATAGTTGATTGACATACATCGCAATGATACAATTTCTCTGTGCTATGGGTACGTTCATGACGAATCAAGTTATATTTTCGGGGGAACGTTTTTTCACATGAGCTGAAACTGCATATGAACGACTCTGAAATTAATCAACAATAATACACTCAAATTGTGAATAATTACCAATTCAAAGATATGGACGGATGGCTACCTTCAGGATGGGTCATCTCCAAATGAGAGTCGAGATCACCTTGAGTAATGAACTTGAGGTCGCAATTTGCACACTGGTGGAATTTTGGTTTAAACCCATCCTTAGAATAATAATAAAGAAACAAATATTAACATACCTAATACTAATATAATATTACATGCATACGCCGCCATCACATTAATTTTTCATTTTTGTTACCTTATGTGACTGGACATGCTGATCTGGAACAAGCAAATTTATTAAATACTCATCCACCTCTTTATATTGTGAATTGCAATAAGTAAAATTACCAAGTTCCTTCTTTAAAGTGAATCTTCGATCGCATATCGTACAGTCATGCGCTGCAATATAATAAATAAAGCATTTGAGGACTTGAGTTGATAATCAGTAATAAAAATCTATAATTAATTGCCAACTACTTACGTTTGGCGTCAGTATTGTGTCGATTTAAGAGATGCATTTGTAGACTGTAATATGTTAAATATATTTTTATATGTACTTTAATTTATTTCAATTTAAACAAATCGCTTGGAAAATTTAGAAAGTTTAAGAGATTTGAAACCCAACCTGTATTTGGCCGCAAATCTTTTAGTGCAATTTCCAATTTCACAGGCAAATGGTTTTTCTGGTTCATGTGTTAACAAGTGCCTGTAAATAATAATTAGTATAGTAACAACAATTATTTCCAATACAAACAGCGTATTATTATAATTATGCGTACCTGGTCATGTGTCCTTTCTTTCTGAATATTTTCTTACAAACGGGACCTAAATTAAGACGAAGGGAAATAACTCGTTTGTGCATGAAAATGCCAGGTATGTAGGGTGACTTACATGGAAATTCTGGAAGTCCATTATTGTTAGTACTTCCATTGAATTTTGAAGGCGAATTTGATTCGCTTTCAGTAAATGACGCGCTTTCATTATCATTGATTTCCTCGTCTTCTTCCATGTCTACTGTTGGTTCAACTTTGGGTTTCTTCTGTGTGGTAACGAAATCGGGATGAACAACTTGCTTTCTGATCCTTTTCTCTGGTAAATTCAGGGCTGAGCCAGTTTTCCTAAATGCATAGAAATAGTTGATGCACATGTACTTCAGCAGTACATAATATTTGACCTACAAATTGGTCCCCACATACACTTACCCTAGTGGTATGAAAAGATCGCTAAAGTCTTTTTCATCATAGTCAGACTCTTCATTCTCTTTCTCGTCAATGTCCAGTCCAACGTTCATTTGAAGTTCTACGTCCGTTAACCGTGAGTGATTTATTTTTCCACTTTGTATAACTTTGTTTTTCGCAACTGAAATACAAAATATGAATATATATAACAAGCTATATTTCCAAGTATAAACTTTGCTAGTCTCAAAATATAAATAAAAAATATATCTTACTCTGTTTTACTACCCAACGTCTAAATGTTTCTAGCCCCGTTTGGAACTCTTCCACCTGTTTTCGTACCGATGCAGCATTCGCAATTGTGAAAGGTGTCTTGCAGAGATTTTTCTGTTCTTGTACAATGTCCAGAAATTGTTTGTTCAAGTTTCTCCTCAGCGACGAGTCTTTGTCCAAGTGTTTGATGAATGTCTCAATGTCGTCAACCTTTGTCTGAATGCTCTGTTTCGTAGCGCTGCTTATGGCCATATTATTCAAGGAGCGGATACTCTGACATGTGGTGGGGTGGGGAAAAGAGTTTATGGAGGAAGGGGAAGGACACGGACAGGACGGGTCGAAGGGACGAAGCTAACATAAAACAAAAATAAAAATTGAGATCACTTCCGTAAATTGAGTTTGCCATCAAAATGTCCTTTGCACAAAATGTTTCACAAAGTAAAATATATCATAATTAGTTGTGTTCTGCACTCAACAGTCTCACCAAAATATTCGCACTATTAGGCCTGAAATTGACTGTGCCTTTACATTAAGAACAATTAATAAAAAAACTAGTAAATAATGTGTTTCAGAATTCGGATAGAGAAAGTGAAGGACTCTGCTTTTCAGCACATCTTTCTCTATGTAGTAGCAAACCACCACTCCTATATCGATCGATTGACCAAATCGATCAATGCCCTGTAGTAAATCCCCTGCCTGGTTGATTAATTACCGCAAATATCGCCTCAATCAACTAACTATTATTGTGACATTTTTGTCATGAAAATGGTCAAGGGCTTTTGACTTTATGAGTTTTTTTTAATTTACAAGAGAAAAGCGGAGAAGGGTGAATCCGGGTTTGCGTTAAATTCTTCTCTTCGTCTCGCTCTCACTTCTCCTTTGCTGCTTATGGGTAAAACTGTTTTTCTATGAATTTGGAAGCAGGTCGGCTTTTCTCATGACTTTGGGACAAGATTTCGAACAATTTTCACAATTTAATTTAATTACGCTCCTCTGCTGGAAGAGCGGCCAGTAGGCTGGAGGTGTTTGACAAAGGAGGTATATACATACATACGTATAGAATACGAATCGGACTGCACGCAGCAGCCAGGCCAGAAAAGGGTGGCAGGAAGCAAGCAATGATGCACAACACAAAGACACCAGCATCAGTTGATGTTAAAATGCAAGGTGATAGCATATAATGCTTTAGATTTTGCTATCCATTAACATCGTATGCCGGATTGTGGCTGTTTAAACCCGTCCGGTTGATACATATATGTATATTTTTATATATATCGATGGTAGGCAGGCAGTCGTTGTACAAACGCTGGCTAAAAAAGGGGTAGCTGCCAGGCTGTTTCGATACGGGTTAACTCCGATTTTCGGGCCGAAACTCCATTTCATTCCTCCGCTTTCTTCTTCCCCACTTGGCTCGTGCAGTACGTCAACCAACCAACAGTAGGATATTTCGTACAATGCATGACGAATCGTGGTAAAAAAAAATACTCGGGTTCGGGGATTGGATTCTTTGCACTTGATCCTCGTTTTTGGATACCATGATTTCATGATGATATGCTTGTTTGAGTTAAAAAGCAAATTCATGTATGTATATGAAGTGGGGTTAAAATGAATATGAAAAACATAGGGATAGTATTTAGCAATATTTAATTTGTGCTTATAAAACACCAAGTTTACTGAAATTTACTTCAGATTAGTCATTCACTTTTGTGGAGGCGAGAAAAAATTGAGATTCTTCCGCTGTAAAAAATTGTCGAGCTGTTCTCCAAACATTCCGTGACCTTCTTGAAATCATGTCGCCAAATTCGGTATTTATTGTATTGCCGTTCGTATTTCCATCTTCTTCATTGACGAATCCTGACTTGAGGTCAAATAGCTGCAATTCGATTTTTCGACGCCATTTCAGCCCGTCTTTCATATGTGAAAAGAATTGGTCGCGTTCTTTCTTAAGCCATGCAATTTTTTGCTCAAGTATCTCCATTTTCCTGCAATTAAATTGCATCAATTAATCAGTATAGAACGAAATAAATATTATATTCCACTCATATCTGTAAGCATATACCGTGTTAAATGTTTACTGGTTTCCAAACTTTCCTTAAAAATATAAATAATAGATCAGTCATAGAATTAATATTAAATGTGCATATTTCTCTACATATGAAAAACCTTGTTAAGTAATCAGAATTTCCAGTACCAAAATATAATCTCTTGCGTCCAAGGAGGGCGTCGTAAACTCTGCATGTGGACGACTTTCATGCTGCAATTTAGGATTAAGTTGTGTCGGCGATATTTGGTTAAGGTTCTGATTAATATTGCAAGTATCCTTGCTAAGAATTTGTTTTTGTGCTTCTTTTAATTTTTGCAATGTTGATTTCAAATTCAGAACTTGCTGTTGAATGAGGTGATTTTCTTTAAAAATATCAAAATCATGATTGCAATTGGAAGAGATTTTTTTCTGTTGTTCTAGTTCCTTTTTAAGTAGTTGTAAAGATCAACGAAATTAATTTAAACGAACAGTGTTAAATATATGACAAGCCCATATCATAGAATGGGGCATACCTGCTGTAAGTTATAAATAGTAGACCGTTGGTGATTAAGGATTTGCATAGACCTTTCTGACCGTTCCTCGTTCGATGTGAATTCCCTGTTTAAAAAATTTTTGGTGAATGAATGCAACGGAGACTCAATGAATATCAAAATCTATAATGCGTACTGTAACAGGATAGATTCGATTTGTTTGTGTCGTCCCATCATGAGGTTTAGAGCAGAGCACTTTTTTTGTAATTTGAGAAACCGTACAATTGGTTAAAAAAAGTATGTATATAAATTATCATTTAGCCAGTTATCAAAATATCTTCAAGAAACCAACAACACATGGATCAACAAGGAAACAAACAACCAAAAATTTGTAATCTTTACTTGTATGAAAATATGTTTATATATTTCAATATTTCTCATTAGGTGACATCTTTTACACGTTTCATTTTCTACTTTCTACTCTATCGCAAAACGAATGTGAAAAATTAAAAAAAAACATTACGACCAATTAATCGAGTTAAATATTACTAATTAATGAACAATAAACAAACGGATTTAATAGGGCAGAGAACATTTTGCTCGTGAATGAACATATACAAGTTCAATTTACAAAATCCAAGGGCCGATTAAAACCACCACGACGGTTCATGTACTGCCTATATTTTCGTACGACGACATGATGGACTGCTCCCGAATCATTATTCTTCACCTTCTTTCCTTTGGTAGTTTCAAAGCCAGCAAATCCCATTAACCTCATCATGGCAATTTCATCCTCGGTTTTTCCATCAGTGTCGATCTCCGCCTCTTCAAGATCAATTAGTATCGGCTCAGGTTTAGATTTTTCAGCCTTCCGATCCCTCGACCGAGATCTTGATCTGGAGGTCCGACGACGACGACGATCTCGTGATTTAGAACGTGACTTTCGCTTCTCGCCATCTCTGCTTCTAAAAAAAACAAATTTTATTTTTATTAAGTACATATCTTACTGTAAGATTATTCTTCAGTACGAGTTTCACAAAAATAAGAACATAAGAACATAAGAACAAATGTGTTTTTTCTAACCTGGCTCGTCTGTTTGAATCCTTATCTCGTTTGTCCCTCCTTCTATCTCGTGGAGATCGTGACCTAGACTTGGCTTCCTTCCGTCCACGACGTTCGACGACGACCCCACCACGGTCAGTCCTCTCGTTGCTGCGACTTCGCCTTCTCCTCGGGGAACGACTTCTGCTTCTTCCCATTGTCAATTTTTAATTGGAAAAAATTTCAAATGTTTGTGTGTTGTGATGTAAAATGTGTGAATGTGTGCCTGAGCCTAGGCCCTACTAACGAATGAGGTGCAGCTGCAGGCTGCAGCAAAGGAGATTTCTCTTGAACCTGAACGTAAATAGCATTCGAGTTCTCGGAAAACCATTAATACATTTGGGGCATATTAATAAAGTCTCAAATTGTTCGTTTACCAACTTTTACTCTGGCTTTACTCGCAGATTATTATAAGCTTTCTTGCTTTCTTTTACTCAATTTACTCATTCATGTATGTTCAATTATAGTCTAACAATGTCCAACATTCATTATGTTTATAATCTACCCTGACCGTCTATGGACTTCCCTCATGAATGAATTAAACGTATTGAATCTGACTTATTGTATTTCAGAGTATTTCTAATAATGTGGGTGTTGGTCCGTGAACAAAGACCGAATTCTCAAAGTAAATAGCTCATTCATTAGTTCACATGCATCTTGTGATATTTCCTTCTCGTTGACGTCAGATTTTCGGATTTATAATCAGATTTGCAACTATTGCTCATTTCCGTTCAAACCTAGTCAAACCGGGTGCAGTAGCCAATTCTAAACTTGATTTAAGAACTGTCCTAAAATACTACAATGAGTTAATTTCTCATTTCATGAAGTCAAACATCTGGAAATGCTAAATTAACAAAACCAGTGAGGGGTACGAAACCAAAGGAAATCGTAGTTTTATATATGTAAGACTAATGCTGCTGAACAAATGTATTCATCCCGTATGACGCAAGACTATGCAAAAATATTTGGATAAATAACAAATGATATTTAACAGTCTGGTACTTCAATTGAACCGAATTGTCTGTGCTGGTCATTCGATATATGCAGTTTTGTGTGACATGCCCTGATGCTTGGTATATATTGCCAAATGTATTAGTGGTCGGATTTTAAAATTAGTTGTTTTCTAGGGGAAAACCCAGGTTGTTTATATGTATATTTCATAAGCGTAGCATAAATTCGGAAAGAACTAAATAATGTAAAACTCACGCAAATCATGTCTCTTGAGCTAATTCCTTATTTACAAAGACATACGTTAAGGTTGACGTTATAGAGTATGACAGTTCATGAAAATGATGACCAGCATTCCGTTGGTATGGAATGGAAATATGTAGAAAGAGTATGGCCGAATTACATACTTACAACAGGATTAATTGAATGACATTTTATTACAACGCGAAGGTATTATTTTCATCAAATAAATCAGCAATTGCTCATATAACCTAAATAAATACAAACATCAGAAACACGAGTTTTATTAGATTGCGATAAGCATCATTCTATAATATGGCGCTGATGATCATATCGTTTCTAAATGTTTAGCTGGAATATTGTATAAACACAAAACTCTAAAATTAGATGTTGATTCCTGGCTCTATCCCAATTTTATCCGAACGAGTGAAAAGCAGCGTCGATTTTTCGTCACTTCTTGAGTTTCATTCTGGAAGAGAGGTTTGCACTACCAGTTCGTCAGTGTGCCTTTCAGCTTTCTTGCGAAAACAAGTGAATTGTCAGAAGGACCACCAACTACTCGAAGTAAGCAAAATCGTATATATTTCCGCACAGCTTATTTAATCCATCCTTCTCAAATACATAATTTCCAAAGCTAGAAATTCTCTGATTTATCCACTTGCTTGCATATGCAGAATTATTTTTCTTATGCACTAAATATGTATAGTTTCATACGCATGCAAAATTTTAAGCAAATTGCAGCAAGTAAGGTAGGCTTGAGTAATTTTGAAGGACAGAATATGTTTCAAAATTGCTTCCCTTTTAATTCTTCTCCTCATAATTTAATCGAACCTCACAGGGAGGCACTTTTAATATTTATAATTTGCAAGCATTATTTTTATTCAATACTTTTTTTTGCCGTCGAGTAAAAGAAAAAGTGAGACATGAAGTTGTATAAATAGGATGCAATCTATCCAAATTTAATTAAAAAACACATGTGACAACGTTTACTTCTCGACTCAAATCCTGAAAAATATGGCCAGACGACGACTCCCCGAATTTTGCGTTCACCATGGAGTGGGCGAATTTGAATTGGATGCTCGACCGAGTCTGACGATAAGTTAGTTGCATGACTAAGCTACATAGCACACGATATGCGACACAGAACTTCATCTGTATGCAAATATCTCCACCGTTGCTGGCCTGATCCAATTTTTTGTTCTACATTCTCGGTAGGCACGATGTATATATTTCGTGTGCGTCGCGGCGACCGAGCGAGTGAGCGAGTCGTTTCCATCCTCCCACGGTCTCCAACGCCAGGATATAGGGAAAAAAACATCATTCCAAGAACGGAACTTGTTAGATAATCTTTATGTAGGACCACAGATTTTGAGCGATATAGTCATCGTCCCACCATGTGATGGTTAGGCTAGCATATTATTATAGGTATTATTATATTTAGTACTTTCCAAAATTCTATCCAAAGTCGCTCGTGATTTAGTGGCCACATTTGGCGTGGCTTTATATGATGCTGACTGCTCGCTGTTGCTTCCATTTTGTTGAGTTGTAGTTGTTAAAGATTTAAATATAGATTTCTGGTTTGCAAATTCCGTCATGCATTTCTCATCCTTTGGTTGGTGTTTCCCCCACTTTCTTTTGGTGATAGGATGGATTATGTACGTTACGGTTAGCGAGTTTGCATAATCCGTCTACTTGCATATGTGCCATGAAAGAAAATGCATGAAACGGACCCAAAAGTTGGCGAATAAATGTCAAGGCGTAATGTATGAGTTTGCATGTATGTATATTAGGATGTTTTCTCGATACAGTTTTCACACCATCTTCTCGACGTGCCTAATGACTGCTAACCTTGTACTGCTTCCCTGTACTCTATTCTTCTTTGTTTAACTTACTGGTCTCCTTATTCACTGGCTTCTTTCGGAAATGTGTGTGATATCTGACAAGAACTTCCTTGTTTCTAATAGTGTTTCAATGCCAAGTGCAAAATCTGCTCCTATTTTGCTAATTCTTAGCCTCAAGGCGAGCAAAAAAGATGTTCATGTGTTTACAGCCTTATGGGGAAAGTATTCACAGCATTCGAGATTTAGATGTCAAGATGCATTCTCAAGGCTTATAGGTCTTTGTCCTTATTAAACATGTGCCAAATTTCACCAGGGTTGTCTTTACATTCTACACAAACCATATTCATCAATGGATTGCTATATAAGACAGGGCAGCATTTCATGGTTGGAAATATGATTTTTTATTTATTTGAAACCTTCCAGCGAAACTTGACGACGACAAGAACACGAGAACTATTTATATTCATCCCAAGAGAGGAAACCAAAGAGAATATTAAAAGCCGTCCAAACTCCTACTAACGACAAAAACCAAACATGTCCTTCAGAAATCACTTTGACATGATCAGCTTAAATGAACCCGTGACCCATAAGGCCAAATTCTGGCAGTCGTACGTTTTCGAAACTTATTGTAGTACGTTTTTGAAAACTGAAAACTTATTTATTTTGCTCCATTTATTTCAGGTATGTGCGAGCACTGAAAGGTTAGTCCGTCCTTCTGTAAAATGTGTACTCAATTGCAAAATTCAAAGCAAGAAATTCTCCAGGAAGTTCTTTCGTCTAGTAAAATATGCATCACAAAATCATTTGAAATTGTCTTTTGCTCGGATATGAATAGGCACAGAAGACATGCGGGCTGATGATGGGAAGCTGAGGCTGAGACCGAGGGCCCTCTCCGAATTTCCCTCTGACTTTGGACGATCAGCATTTGACGACAGGTATGCTGACCCCAACTCCAGGATCTCCACCCCCGGGTAAGTAACTTTTATTTATTCCATCGTGACAAAAATTTGAGCATATCGACAAGAACCCTATTATCCTTAACCTGAGGTTGTACAAAGAAAAGCTTTTTAGTGAATGGGACTTTAGCAACCTATTTTCTTTTCCAGATACCGTTACATGCCAATTTCTCGGGAAACTTATGGCTACTCACCAAGACCAATTTATGGAACTGACCGACCCCGATATGTTCCGAGACCATGTATGAACAATTTTCTTCATAATTAATTTATCAGCCTCTATATAATATTTAGTCTAATGCTTCTTACTAATTTAACGATAACAAGTTATCAATTCGCAAATTTCTTACTTAATAAGTAATACTTATATATTATAACTACCGTCATAAAATGCATTTAAACAATAATCCACAATGTGGATTCCACCTGAGTTATATCCCCATCCCTATGATCCATCTTAACATGCATGCGTGTGATATTTAGTATGTTCATATACTAGCTTATCTGAAGCAGGCTTATTTGAAACACCATCCAATGAACCTCATTCATAAACTGACTGTGAATTCTTATAAACATAGCATAACCGCATACTGCATTCTGACTGAAACGGCAACAATACACAGCCGAACAATACGTACATAATATCGGCGCACATTTTCTGACACTCGATAAAACAAGCGTTATTAAAAATGTACTTTATAAATTATTAATACGCTTCGCTCCTTGACTCATCAATCAAACACAGCAACTACAACTACCACGCACAGCAGAGTAGGTATATGTGTACATGTATGTTATCATGATCCTGGTGTTTTGCTAGTCTCGGTCCCACCAGAGGATTTCAACAAGGAGACAAGTCCCTACTACGGGGACATGGCGTCCCCATTTGCAAGGGACGCTACTCCGCTGGCAAGGGCAACTTCTCCTTTTCTGAAGGACACGACGCCCTTCATACCAGAAACACCAGTCCCTTCTGCTTACTACCCTCGCTCCTACTACACGCGGCCTTACAGCCGATCAGTCACACCCTCCCTCCAAGTCCCCAGTTACTCGTACGGCGAGGGGCTCCCCTTGTACGCCAACCGGTTGGGGCCTCGTCGTCCCTACAGCGACCTTTATAACCCGTCCCCGTATATCCCGATTTCCGCGGTGACTCGTGACCCATGGTGGTACGACATTAACGGGCTGCGACCCTACTCGTCCTACCCGCGCTACCCCTCTGCCCTCCGGACAAGCTACCTGTCACCTGTGAAGAACAGATACCTGTGGACCAGGCACCCCATGCGATACCTCTAAATTCAAGAAGCAGGGAATAATGTGTTCATTTGTGGGTAATTTGTGCTCTGCTATTGTCCTTAAAATCTAATAGAAACATTTCACCACGTCTTGTCTAATACATAGTTAAATTATATTTAATTGAACACACAGTAACGGATTTGGTGTATCGAATACTACTACACACTACAGTACATACATATGTAGACTTTTGGCACGCGTTATTGAAATCAATTACAAGCTTTAGCGCACTTATTTATTACTGCAGCATTAACGCACAAGTTATTTAAATATACTCGTAATCATTTCACTTATTATTTATTTCATTATTACACAACAACACTGCATCTAAAGAAATATTAGAGTGAAAAAATAATCTGAAATATTGATTTTTTTGGGTGGAGGTGGTTCAGCTAAAGCCTGCTTCGAAGCATAATTAAAGATTTACAATTTACAATTAAAAGGTATTATTTGCATTTGCGTTTGTGCTTACATACTCGCGTGAAGCTTGTTTGTACTAAAATTAATCATTAATGCATATTCATACGACGCTATAATTTCGGTTTAACATTTTTCAGCCGGACTCCGAGTTTGGTAGACGACGACACCATTCTTTATGGACGATATAAAGTTCTTTATTAAGCTTTTCCTATATTAGAACAAATCAAAGCTTCAATAAATCCAATCAATTTCAAACAAAATTCTCGCTCCGTATATTTTATGAAAAATTACAAATGCAATATATAAATTATATAATGCTACATTATCTTTGTTTAATTATGATTAAGGAAAAAAAGAGTTAATAATGAGATGAGCATTAATGGCAATCCCCAAGTAAATGTGCCACGTATATGAAATTGTGTATAAACCAGAACGATGTCAAACAACTTGATCGGTATGTGTATATAATATATATTAATATAACGAAAAAAATAAATTTATCCCGTGATGCAATATCACAGGGCACACATTAATTGTCATTATTTGTATTCCTTCCCCTCTCTTCTGTCCTTTCCAACAGCATACCATTCATTTTCATCATGTCTTTGTAAGCATTCACGGACCTCGCTAGTGCGGTCACATTTCCCACCCCAAAACCCGTCGCTCCTCTCCTTTGAATAACTTCCAAGAAAAACGTATCGCGTTCGAAAATTGGGTGCGTGAATACTTGCATCAAATAACACTCTTGTGAAGGGTCAAAACCTTGATCAAATACATCTGCTTCATTGTCCAAGAGGATTCCCAGTCGCTTCATCGTGTTCACGTCCTCACCCGATGATTTTATCACGTCGAGTTGACCAATCTGTGAAATGATCAAAATGGGGGAGTATTTATGTAAACTAAAAAATACCCAAGTTATCGCTATTGAGTATAGATGTTGTACCTCGGTATAATATGTTGGGGGTGGGTGACGAAATTTTACCCCAAGCTTAGTCAATTCCCGAACAGTATCAACCATATTTTCAGTATGCAGGCCAACGTGTTGAATCCCTGGGCTTCCGTGTTCAGAGATGAAACTTTCAATCTGTGTGTTGGCTATAAAAACGCAATAAAAGTCTATTAAAGAAAGGTGCATTATTGAGACAAGTATATAAATATTTTAATGTATTTGTACTAATGTTTGGCAAGGATTCTGCAATAACAATTTTTAGAGGTTCCCAATCCGTATCATTAACACTTTGAGAAGCGAGTCCAGATTCTGAGCATTTCCAGAATTCCATAACTTTAAGTCTCAATCCAACATCATCACCAATCACCAGCCCTTCCTCATCCAAGTCTTGCCTGTAAGAAATGCATATATCTATGTACATCTACTCATATAAATAATAATAAATAAGTGGCACAAAGGGGTGTCACAGTATGAGACCTGCATGCATATATATGTACCAGGTCTAGCTACTTAATGAGGATTTATTATACAGCTACTTAACTTTGGATTTGATCATAGTTACCTGTTTGTTATGAACCGTTTCATTCCAAAGATGCTTTCATACCAGTTTATGATGCCGTCCGTCTCTCCAACTTTGCAGGCGAGAGTGAAATGATCAAAGTGAGACATACTGATTCCATTAATGTGCGACTTTGTTGGATCTTGGTTGGATAGCTTATGAAATCCTGGCAAAAACCAGCCTAAAAAATGTGTCAAAAGTGTGTCAAAAGTGTGTCAAAAATGTCGGTATTGAATTGACAAGTGATTATTACCCGTGTAGCCAGCACTTTTTTGGATCGTTGTATGAACTACATTCCCACAACATGATTTGATGATCGCAAATTCAACTCGACCGTCCGGTCCATCAATTGATGTTACATCTTGAATGATCTGGGTCCCACTTTCTTTTCTTACAATTTTTAGTAATTGGGTCAAGTTTTCTACTTCCACGGCCACATTAAACACCGAATCTATATGGTCATCTCCCTGATCTTCCTTGCAACAAAATACGGTCCAATATTCCTGAGAATCGTATGGAAGTGAGGACAAAAAATATTTCTTGTGATCTTTCCAACAACCACTAATTCCATTTTCGTCACAAATGTTATTATTTTGCGACAAGTATACTTTTCCCTTTCTGGACGTGACTATAAACACCGTTTTTGACAGCTTTAATACGAATTGAACACATTGGTGGGTTTCTCTGCAACCGGGCACAAAAATAAATTAATCCCATGATGCAGTATCATAAATTAAGTAAATTGTATGTGTCATTATTGATATTCGTTCTCCCTCTTGTGTCTTTTGCAACGTACCTGTAACCGATTAAGTTAAAACCAAACTGATCACAAAGCAACTTGATCAATGGACCTGGGTTCGAAACACATATTTCAATGTGGTGTAGCCTTAACTTCATTTTTGTACATTAACAAGTGGTTGAACTTGATGAACTCTTTGTTCTCTGACACTTGTACACTTTTTCTTTTCTAATTGCATAATTTGCTAAGTTTATCTTGAGAAGTGCAATGCAATGCAGCTAAAGATGTTGAACTGATTCCAATTTTATTGAAAATGGCATGCAGCATGACGTACAATGCAATATCGTCTCGTCTCGTGGTCTGGTTGTAAGACATTAAATTCAGGAGTCGTCTCAGCCAATGCAATTCATTCAAGAAGCCCGACTGGCGACTACTTTTATTGGCATGGTGCTGACTGCTGAACAATGCATGTACCTCTTGGAATCCTGGTTAATGAGTGTCTCAATTGGTTAAAAGGGTTAACTTCCCATGCACCATTAGCAGCCTCGATTGTCTTCAATTGCAAAGGAATATCTAACTACATTGCTCGAGACTATGCTTACATCATTTGCGTACATTTGTTACACATCAGCACTGACTTACATTTAGGATTTCAGACACAAAAGTAACTCGTCCCGTTATGAGTCCTACTTGCACATATGCATGCACACACTTCACTATCCAGCGAAAGTAAGAATGAAATAAGACTACCCCAATATTTATAACCTTTGGTATTTACCCTTCTTATATATGTATATATAGATATTATAATACACCGCTGTAGGATAAAACATGTAATTAATGGTCAAAAGTACAGCGGATCATTCCATCACAATTGCAGGATTAAGAAAGTATGTGGCAATACAGATCAGTAAATGTTCCAAATTGTAAATACAACAGCGTCAAGTTACCAGGAAATTCAACATGCACGAATATGTGAATAATGAATATTATGACAATCTCATTATGCATTTATTGATTGAATATGTTTCACAGATCTCTAATTAAAACATATCAAGTAGTGACATTATCCTGAATAAAATGTTGCTTGTACATCAATCCTTCTGTCTTGTAGACCATTAATTGGTCTGAATAAAGGTCAATCAAACAAATATTTTTATAACAATTAACTATAATTTCTTACAGTATTTCGTATATACCTGACTCGTTATTATTTTTGTGAGCTCACCTTGATATCCATTACACCCAGGAAGGATCACATCAGCAATGTCCTTCAAGTAATCACAGTGCGAAATGAACAAGTCAATTTGAGCTGAACTCGCATTTTTCAACGACTCGACCATCAATTCCAAAATTCTTGTAGAGATTTCTTGCAGAGTGTAATGATTTTTATGCAGAAGATGATCACTATGTTTGACATACAGTTTTTGAAGCATGTCCACCTCTTTTCCCCACTCAAGTTTAGCATTCTGAATTTTATCGAAATATTCTTCAACGTCAGTTACAAATTCGACAACTTTTGAAACCGTTTCCCTTGCCCCACATTGCTCACATTCCCAATCACTTTCCAAATCACAAGAGTTTTTCGAGATTAGAAATCCGTTTTCACATTTAAAACAACGGATCGAGGAAATATAAGAGCCCAGCTCTGTAGGATCCAAACACCTCCTGCATTTGCATTCGAAATGTGCAATTGACTCGATTAAAATTTGTCGTTTCAAGGTTCCGTAAAATAAATGTCGAGTGTTGTACGGAATGGTGAGTAAATCGCCTTTCTTCACCGGTATGGAAGTGTAAATTTGAATTTGTGGTTTGTAATTATCATCGTTGTTGTAAATTTTTATATTCCATGTACAATTTGGAGCACACGAGTGTGCAAATAGACTTGCATCTTGAAACATACTCTTTGTTTTTCTATATTAAAAGACATGAATATTCATACATAAATATTACGTCACATCATTAAATACGGTCAATTGAGAAAACATGTCAAATTACACATGAAAACCCAATTAACACTATTGTTAGTAGTACATACCTAAGATTTTCATCGTTTCCTTTGGTTGACCCAAAGCCGTTTACATTTACGATTCCAATAATTGTTTGGATCAATTCATCGTCGTAATTTTCATCATTATTTCTGTACAACCCATTTTCTTCTGTAGGGTGTTCCCCATGGACGAAATATATAATGTTTCTGCCTATCATAGCATCTCCCTTTATGCAATGATCCTTTTCGCTTCGAGAGTCCGAGTGGTGCTCCAAATGAGCAAAAAACTTTGGCCAAATTGAGGAATCCCTTTCTTTAATTAATAATACAGCACGGAGAATGAGAATGGATTTATAAAGTAAGGACCACCCCTGAGTTGGAGGAAATTTTGCTTTGCTTTTCTGAAATATTCTGCACTCATTTCCACAATGGATCGATTCAGATTTCTAAGCAAATACAATTAAACGCAATAAGAAACTTAAACTATAAATATATTAGAGAACGTTTAAACATAGGCTGTGTCAGAATATTTTAAGGACCTATTTACATACTTGATTACAGGCTCCACATAATGGCCATCCACATAAATCACATTTTTGGTGTTGAATTCCATTATAATGTAAGTGAACACAACAATTGAGACAGAATATCAGAGAATCTGAGGTTGGGATTTGCTGGTCCAAATTACTAGAGTCATCCGCAGGTGCGAAAACAACGGGAAATTCTTGTAATATGAGCGTGCGTGCAGGAATGTCCTGTGATGCTACTAAATATCTTCCAAATTTTGCGGATGATCTCACAGAATAATGATGTTGAACATCCTTTATAAATTCAGAAATGCAAAAATATAAACTTAATTGAACTATTAAAATGTGCGTCAACCAGGTTGGTAAACAAACAGAGTTACCAAAGTTAATTCGCCTGTATTACTAGTAGTTAGATCCATAATTGCGCCTGTAACTTGTTTTATTTAAACTTGTTGATTTTAAACATGTGTATATTGTGCATATCTCTTGCAACTTTTGTCATGTATTTATGCCAAGTTTCTGCAAAGCTACAAACACATACAACAGTCTAAAAATATCGCCCTCGTGTTTACCGATATAACTCACATCAAATGGCATATATCAATGTATAAACACATATAGACAGTCTTTTTAGTTTGCTTAGTTTTAGAATTTTATTTTGCTCGTTATACATAATTAGCAAAAATTTGTCCAATATTCTATTAAAATAACATTTGGAATTACTATAAAACATCACAAACTACTGAAGACTATGTCACTGTCCCTCCAGTTAAAATATGATTAGCGTTTCCAAGTCTCGATAAAAATTCTGTATAAATGGTTGGATCTATCGCCTCTTTGCACTTCTGGCTGATAGTATTTTGAACTCGTTGATTGAGGAACTCTGCTTGGGTCTTTAAATCTTTTCCAGAGAGATTATTTGGCAATACATCAAGAAATTCTCGCGTTCCTAAAGATTGTGTATTATTATGTCAATTAGAACTATAAAATTCAATAATGATAAAGTTGTAACCATTAATTTCCACATGCATAACTTACTGGTACACAGCAATTCGATAGCTTCCACCACATGCTTTGTCAAATCTGGTATCTTGTCCCAATTTGTATTCTGGATTCTACATTTAACAGTTTTTTGCTGATACTGGACCATATTGTACCACTTGTCTTCCAAAGAATTATCCCCCAACTTTGATTTAACAGTTTTATAGAGGAATGTAGAATAGCTTTGCCAAACATCAGCATTAGTTGTTACCTGGTAGGAACGTACATATAAATAAAAATTGTGTAAGTCGAATTAAGTCGATATAAAAAAAGTATCACAATATCTATGTATACACACTTTGGACGTAACTCTACCCAACAATTTCTGCAACGCGTCTCTCGAACGAGCACTGGTTGCCCCCTTTGCATCCCACGAATCATCGCACACCAAATCAACCAAGAGGCGTAACACCATGTCATCAGCATATGAATCCTTCAAATCGATAAGTCTATTGAAGGCCATTATTGTCCATTCTAAATCACAACACTGTAGCGCAACCACCATCAAGTTCTCCCAAACTTTCCATTCTTCATAGTTGCATTTTGTTGCTTGTTTCAAGGCTCGCAAGGCTTGATCCTTATTCCCCAACTTTAAAGCTGCTTTTGCCAAGTTATTCCAATTTTCAAAACTCTAGAAACCATTAGTTAACGCGTAAGATGTCAATCGTTCATATTGAACTCCAAATTTTTAATCTGTCTTTAATAATTGAAAATTGAGTGTCACCTGGTCATCCAGGTTGTTGGCATGCACATAAGCTTTTACACAAAGTTCCCAATTTTCTGAATGTAATGCTGCGTAGGCTAATCGAACCCACACGGGATATTCTAATGGATTCAACTCTACTGCAGCCTTCAAAAATGGTATAGCCTTCTCATACTGCAAATACGTTGTTTAATATATGTTAAATTAATATATTGGATACATGTGGAGTTTAATATAAAAATAAGGCTTGTTACCTGTTGTTTTCTGAACCAGTAAACGCCCAAACGTTGACGCGACAAAAAACTCTTGTGATTAGAGAGTTCCCAAGCCTTGTCATACAACGTGATATCGTTTGTTGCGTCACCCAAATAAACTAACAGCTTTTGAGTTTCTCCCGTTTTCTTAATCTGCTCTCGTATGACTTCTTCCGCCTGTAAAATAATAATAATTTTTTATTAGTATAAACTATAAAAACGGTCCCGTCTAAATTTGTGTTAACCTTATGCTTCAGGTCTAATGAATTGTAGCAAGCGATAACATTTTCCCACATATTAATTCGAAGATACACGTCGAGAGCATTTTTAATGTGGCCAAGGGAAATCAAGACATCTCCAAATGCAACCTGTTAATAGGCAGTAAATCTTGCAATTAAAACCAATGTACAATTAAAATTAATACTTGTCATGTGTACATACATCAATTTCCCAAGTCAGAGGCATACACGATGCATGATAGAATTGATATCTAGCACTAAATGACGGCGAAACATCTGTAGTTACTGATCTTTGAATATTCTACAGATAAATAAAAGACGTAATTTGCTATGTATATTGCATTTCATATCAGACTATATAAAATTGACGTGGCGAGCATACACCAGAGCCGTTGATTTAATCGCAAGTACTATAATACCTCGAACTGCATCATGGACCTCTCGACGGTTCTAAAGTGGTCTGTTTCCACCATGGATCGGAATATAAGGGACACAACGAAAACATTCCATAATTTTGGGTCTTCCAGCAGAGTCTGTTATACAAAGTTTGATTAATTAAATTAAAAATAGTTCAAAATGAAGTACTAGATTAGCATTAAGTACTTACCCGAACATAAGCTAAAATTTGTTCCTTTAACAATTCATCTTTCGCTTGGGACTTTTTCATATAATTCCTATTTAGGATATTATGGAATCAAAATAAACTATGTACATATGTAATATAATATTATGCAACAAATCTTACAATTCGGCTAACAGCAACACTTGTTGAATAGTTGTCAAGTTAAATGCACGGCTTTCATCTTGCAATTTGACCTTCTCTAAACGAGTGTCATCGTCCAATGGTACGTCGATGACTGATCGGCATTTACGAAATTGATCCAGGTAAATCGTATTTTCAGTGGTCTCAGTAACTTGCTGCATATCAGCTTGAACTACAAGTTGAGCTAAATCGTTCTGCTGAAATTTTGTTTTCTTTCCCAGCATCCCTAGTTCAATTCAATGCATACATCATAACATGCTTGATGCATGATACCATTAAGAGATTGTATATATTTACAAACCTGTGGTATAAAACTCTGATTTGCATGTTTTAGCTGCTTCCGAAAGACATTTTCTAGCCGACACAATATCGTAATAGTAAAGGTGAATGTCGCTCTGTTCACAATACCATAACGTTTTGAGGTCGAGATCATTGTCCCATATTTCAAATTGTGTTTCAATGACAGCAGCAGCAGTTCCTATGCATCCAGCAACAGAAACACTTGTACCATCCAATATTTTTTGCTGAAGGAATTTCGCCCTAATGTACCACCACGCATGCATTTTGCCTATCCATAAATTTGGACAAGACGAATTAATTTTGAGAAACTCTTGAGCCATGAGTAGGAGTTGCGGCAACACTGCAAGCTCGTTGATTTCGAGACCGTCAACTTGTAAAGTCACGGCGTCCAATTCTTCAAGTACAGTTTTGGTTGTCAAACTTATTGAAGTACTATTATCTATTGTAAACTTAATGTGTGGACCAGTGGAATTCAGTTGAACAAATAGGCGTATTAACTTTGCAGAAATTAAGAGTAGAATTTCCGATCTATATAAAAGAAGCATATGTAAATACTTTTCAATCGATTTGTCCTTTTTTGTTGAAGGAAATGATTTACCTTTCTTCTTGGTGCACCATCTGTTCGTCTAGAATAGACTGTATCTCATTAGTGACGGCATGATGCAAATGATAAGCCATCATCACAAATGAATCGTCCGCTTGGGCTTCAAAACTTTCTAGAATTTCCTGCAAGAGGGTCGATTTTGTGTTGGCATCATGGAGTGATATCGGCAGTCCTTTCAACAGGTTAATTTCCATCGCGGACAAAGTTAGAGGGACACGTGCCATTTCGATTCGAAATTTTCGAAGTCAGTCAGTGAATCAATGCAACCTAGAGTCAGACAGGTAAATTCGAAATATAAATTGTGTATGTTTAAACATACACAATTTGTAATACACAATTTGTAAATACAAATATAAACCTCGTCAAGTCTTAATACTGATAAGTTATATTATTGCGTACCAAAGCTATTTTTTGTTTTAGTTGATTTTTTTTAAAATTATAACTTGTCGATTTTTAGTCACCCTTTTTCCAAGTTGAATGTGCACGGCAGGCAATTTTTAATTTCAGGACAAAAAAATATCCACGTTGTTGTTCAAAACACAGCTTCCCGCACTTCCTCAGGGAATTTCGACATCTGAGCTGAGCTCTGACAGGAAAAGATTATGAAGGCGTCAACGAATGAAATAAAGTAAATAGTAAACAAATACAGCATTGTAGAGTGCAAAATAATAATAATCTGGATATCACAATTGATTGTTGGAAATATAAATGTGAAATAAATGTGGCCGAATGGTGATCTCGGACGCCTATCCGGATCAAGTAAAGGTTTTCCCAACCCACCAACATCGGGTTTTTCCTCTACTCCCCAAGCCAACTAAGTGTATTTCATAGTTTATCAATGTTTATGTTAATAAATTTAACTTGAACAAAAAAAAAATGTGAAATGAATGGAGTAGTAACAGCACGGAAAACTTGTAAATTCACTAGCTGACGGAATCCGTCAACTCCAACACACCTGTTCTGCTGTGAATCACAGCCTGTGATAACAAACAATATAATTATATAATAATAATTATACTCTATCTCTCCACGAAAGTGAGAGATAGATCTTAAATTTCATCTGTAAGTTTCAAAACAATGAATTAAAACGAGCCTAATACAGCTATTCTATTATGTTGATTATAAAATAACTTGACCCGGTTTGAATTGTAATTTTTAGGGCATTCTATTTACATAAGTCGCCACAACCATGACCGAATTTCGGAGAGAGATGGAACAAGAGGGATTTTCCCCAGGGGAGTTTGTGGAACGATTGGCCTGGCGCACGGTTACATCTGGTGGTGACTTTGACGCCGAAGTCCTTCACAATACTTTCTCTGGTGCGATGGACGACCTGCGTGGGGTTCTGGAGATGCAGAGGATAAAGTGCACCCAATTGGAAGGGATACTCACTAAAGAGGAACACCATCTCCGGACACGGCTTATGCTCTTGCTCCATCGAAATTCTTCATCAGCCGAAAATCTGGGCTTATTAGAAAAGAAGGTTGTACTGCATATAATACTACATAGTCTTACCATAAGAAGTGATAGTAGAGCGTAGTTTTTGAACGGGTCAACATAAAATTAAAAGGTCCGTTGCGGTTTGTGCATACATTCAGTGCCTATCGTTGGTGTTGACCGCTTTTACTTGACATCACTAGGTCAAAAGTTAGAGAAGCTTAGCTACACGCGCGCGGCAATAATTTTTCACTTTTTGCACGAGAAAAAAATGCACGATGTTTGATGTAATGTAACAGTCCAAGTACAACTACGATCTGGTTGCCCAAACTATTAAACTAATCCTAGAGACAGTGTCTATCTTTGGTATAAAGGTTTCGGTGGTCCAAGGTCAAGAAAGACTACAGTGAAGTCCGAAGCTTTAAATACCAGAATAGCACAAAATCTCTATCTGACGCCGGGGACTTGGTCCACACAAATGACCTTTCAACTTTAGAGATCAGATTAGCACTGAAAAGTGACCCTAAGATGAAGGTCTTTTAGATTAGAAGGCGCCGCATGCTACATATTTCCAAGGCCTAAGCTAGGGTAAAAAAATCGACCTCTCTCCCCAAACGGTACGGTGAAAAAACAAAAAAAGTAACCCATTTACCGATGATAATTTCTTTACGACAGGAACATATTTCAACAAAAAAACTAATACGTTTTATGTCAAATATTCTAAGGGTTAGCTGATTACAAAATAAAGGTCAAAATGTTATCTTATCAGGCTCCATTCATGGTTTTGGTGGGAATCGGCTGAATTGAGCAAAAACAGCCCAATTTCCTTGATTAAGGAGAGAAGATAGTTTCAAAAAATATTTGATAAACGTCCTGATGAAACTGGAGCACCCCCTCAACTATTCCATATCGGGTGAAAGGCCACCGACCTTTGTGAAGGCGTCCACAGTAGCATTTACAGCGAAATTCGTGAAAAACTGGATTAAAATCCACATTTCTGACTTCATTTGCACTTTAGGTTTAACGTTGGAATTTTCGAACCGCAGACAACTTCACCACCAAATACTGATTACAATTGAGGAAAAGGTCTGTTCTGAACCCCATATATGCGTCAGGGTCGCAAAAAAATTTCTGACCCGGGAATGACACAGTTTGTCAATTAATTTCGTACGTATTTTTGATGGAGCTTTCTCTTTCGTGACCAATTTTTCATGGGCACAGGTGGAATGTATTTTCAAGTTTGATACATGTCTTCTACTTGAAATTTAACTGGCTTTTCAATGGAATAAGAATAAATTTGAAATTCCTTAAAACTAACCTAATATAGTCATCTACTCTACTATCACTTTTTAAGTTGAGACTATGTAGTAACAGTAAAATTGTGGTTTCCAATTGTATAATTATTTCCTCCTAGGTGAACACTGTCGCCACAAAAGTAGTTCATTTAGGAGATCAACTTGAATCAGGTATGCACTCAAGCTCAACTATAATTAATTACATCACTTCAATAAATTGTGCATTGGTCCAGTAAATCTTCCCCGTCAAAGAACAAGTGAAGCAGCAAAGCTGATGAAGCATCTAGCAGATTTCCTTCAACCAGGAACGATATTGCTGTCAGATATATTTAGGGACAAGGAGAAACTCTATGACGCAGCAGAAATTATTCAGAAATTGCAGATTATAGCACAGGATTTATCAAGCAGTGGTTCATCCTCTGCGAAGTAAGTGACGATTCACTTTATACATATCTTCTTTAAATCTAGAGTATCGAACTTATATTGTGATTGGTTGGTTTGCAGGTTTGATGCAGCTGTGAAGAAGATAAACCAAAAGTACGATGAGATTGAAAGGATGCTCATTGAAGACTTTGTAAATGCACAAGTTATCGACGATCGAGATAAAATGAAGCAAATAAGTAAGCATAGAGAGTTAATGTTTATGTTTATTAGATGTAGGTTAAAAAGGGTTTCGTGTGTTTTATATATATTATTTGCAAGTAGGATGAACTCATTTTCGAGGTTTAAGGTTTAATTGTATAAAATATCATTATCAGGCCGGTAACTCGGTGTTGTTCTTATCCTTTTTCATTTTAGCCGATTATGGATGAAGAAAATTGTATCTAAAATCAACTGTAATAATCCAACAATTTTTAAAATCTTTACCTTCAATATAGCTCACATTCTGTACAATTTCAAAGGATACTCACAATGTGTAAACGCTTTTATACAACAAAGTCAAGTGGTTAGTAGTAATATGATAATTGATTGGGGGTGATAATTTAAGATGACGTGTTTCAAACTTCAATCTATGAAACTTTCCAGGGTGCATTTAAAGCAAAAGATGTATTTGACGATGTCGTGGTACGTAGTCGTATGCTCTGTATTGCTACTACACTTAATTATTTGACTGATTGAATTGTATTTTATACATTTGTATATTTTTTCAGGTGGTTTGTGACCAATATAAACCAATGGTCGACCAAGTATTCCCAAATCCAGGACACGTAATGGGAAAATTTGTGGTTCATATATTTCAGGATCGAATTCAAGAAACAGGTGACTAATTGCGTTGAAGTTATGGTCACGTAACAGTACATTCATTGTACACCAGTCTAATCATGATTTAATGCATTTTTGCAGTAACCAACCAATTATACGAAAAACAAATCACACAGGACAAGTTTTTAAGGAATTTAGCAATATTATACTCGAAAACAAAAAAGATTGTGAAACAGCTCGACTCGTTTGACTTGGGAAATGACATGTCATTCCTTCAAAAAATTACCGAACAAATATTTAGACCTCATTTAGAAAGCTACGTATCTGTTGAAATTAAATACCTTCAAACAAAGTGTTTTCACATCCTCGCCGCATACTACGATAAATTAGGACATCAAAAGCGAGCAATCCAGTCAAGGTAAATAAATTCATTGACTAAGAAAATAGAATAGTGGTATGAATATTATGGAATACTTCTAAAATATAAAAATATGTAGTTTTCAAGATTTTCGTCGTGACATTCAAGCGGTGATTGGTACACGAGCAAACATAAATATTGCACAGATTGAGAATTATGGTGGAGGTAAGAAAATTACATTGGCAAAGTTTATAATCCACCGAATATTTAATTAATAGCGAGTAACTAATTTTCTTTTCAGAAACGTTCCTGTCAGAAGAAGTTGCAATTAATTTGCTTCAAGAAAGCAGAATGGCATATTCTAGATGTGATTTGTTATCAAGAAGATCCGACGTCCCTTTGAATGCGAGTCAAATATTTGACATCCTCTCACAAAGCCTTCTCAAGGAGCATGTGGATTATGCTCTAGAACTTGGATTGCAGGGGATACCAATACCAGAAGCCAAAAATCAACCGGAGATTTACTTTTTTGCTGTGGTCAAAAGTTGTAATGCCATTGTTCATTTGTATGAAAAGGAATTTGTAGATTCATTACTCCCATTAATTTCGTAAGTGTCATATTGCCGAGTGTTTAAAAATGTTCTAATTCGAAACGATAGGAAATAATCATGCACATTTTCAAGCTACTTAATTAAAAGACTAGCCATGAGGCCATAACCAGAACGTTTGCATGATTGTTTAGGGCATCGCCGAAGCTGAGCGAATGCATGGAAAAGAAAAATGCAGTATTGGAACAAATTGAAATGAAGTTAGATGCTGGTCTGGATAGATCCATTGATACCATTGTGGGCTGGGTCAAAGTAATTTTGCAATCAGAACAAAACAAGAAAGAATACTTTAGGACAGAAACGTTCAATGAGAACGAACCTTTAAATGCTGTTTCTCCGGTAAGTTACTATAATCCCCAATAGTACAGTTTCATCCCTCCTTAGTCACAATGAACATTAATGAAATACTGATTATAAATAGGCATGTATGAAAATCGTCAGATTTGTGAATTCACAATCAGCAAAAATGAAAGATTCCATTGATGGACAGAACATTGAAGCTGTTCTTCTGGAATTGGGGACTCGACTCCATCGAGTTATTTATGAGCATGTCCTCGTGTTTCAGTACAGTTCGATTGGTAATTATTGATCTTGATTGATTGGATTTTAGAACTATGTGGAAAATAGTGACTCTTGTTTTTGATGGTTGCTTTACAGGTGCCGTTCGAATTTTATGTGATATTAATGAATACTTAAAGTGTGTGAAAGAGTTCAAAATTCAAATAGTAACAGACATATTTGAAACGCTGAAGAGTTTGTGTAACTTGTTTTATGAACTTCCAAAGGACTTGAACAGAATTTTCAATCATGCTGACTTGGTAAAAAGACGTTTATTAATATTATTCTATATTTATTTTGTTATACTATTAGTATTGGTTCTTAAGGTGGATGATTTTATTTTCTAGAGCAAAATCGACCCAAGTATAAGAATGAACTTTGTGCAATTAAGAACTGATTTCAAAACAGCAAGACTACAATTGACGATAAGTTCTAATACTAACAATAAGCAGTAGTAACCGAACACCAAAGCTTTGGTGGTACCTGAATTATATTGATGAAAATAGTAAGAGTTCCATGTTCCAATAAGCGATGCATGTATGCTTAACAGCACCAAAGATTTTTCAAGTAAGACAAAACGTGTTGTATTTTATTATAATCCATTGCAAAGTCTAATAAAAACTTACAAAATATTTCAAAGTTGAAGTAAATTATTAATCATTTCAAATCAAAACGCTAAGTTGTTCATGTCGAATTCTATAGACCATCATATATTGTAAACCACGCTGTCTGCATAAATTGAGTAAAGAAAATGAAATATTGTAGCAGCTACGCACATTCCCAGATGGAATAGTATAACAATATTAGAAGAGCAGCACAAATAAACATGAATGATAACAATGATAGTGAAAAGAGGAAGACCTAATAGTAAACGCACATCATCGTTAACGCATACGGTACGGGTTAGACTCGTGAAGGTGCGAATTCTTTCCGTCAAAATCGACCTGAAAGCAAATCAGAAATTAGTTAATTTTTAACTAATTAGGGGTCATTGTACTCATTTCATTATTTCTCTTTCTCAGCACTGTCGCAGTTTTTAAAAAGTGCTCGTATATTAATTTTATTTAGTTGTGCTCTTAATTTAACCTAAATAAAACTACTCACTTGGATGGAAAAGTCAAGATCACGATTGTTGCGAGAGTTTTGTTTCAATCCGAATCGTCCGAGGACTTGTTCTCCCTTAGAACAAGATTCAGTCCAATTAGTAACGAAATTGTTCAAGTAATAAGTTTGGCATTCATTAACATACCTTTTCCACTGTTGCATAATCATGCAAATAAAATACAGTTTGCTTCCAATGTGTGTATGGTGCCTCTGGTGCAGTGGAAAACCAAGTTCGCTTGTGACATTTTGAGAACTCCACGTTAAAATAAGTCACAAACGCATGAAGATAATCATTCTGTCGAACTGTAAATAAGATTAATATGACGTAAGAAATGGTGGCTCAGAAAAATTCTAAAATTTACAAGAATTTCTTACTCGTAAGACAGAATGGGACATCAAAATTGAGATCCTCCTTCTTCATTGTGTTCAAGTCAATTTCCAACAACTGACAATGGTTGGTAACCACCTTAATGAATTAATTCGTAAAAACATACTGTAATATGCATACATACCATTAATGGTTGCACATATACACAAATGAGGAACGTGATCAAGCGCTTTTTAGCCCGAGCCAGGGCTTATGTACCCGTTATGTCTGTCTGTCTGTCCGTCCGTCCGTCTGTCTTCGCGATAACTCTCTTCAAACTCAACCGATCGACTTGAAATTTTTACCACATCTATATCTACCCAAAAGACAAATCAAGTTCGAAGATGAGCCGAATCGGTCAAGTGGTTGGCCGGTGGGGGCCATATGGGTGGTGGGGTTATTATGCATCAAATTTTCAAAATTGTTGTAGAAAGCTGAAATTTGGTAAATATGTAACTAATGGCTTCTAATGAAAAGATATGAAGTGAATTTGCGAAAATTTTTATCTGGAGGGACCCTATGGGGTCACTCAAACTGATTTTTCAAAATCGTCCAATTAAGCTGAAATTTGGTATGGAAGTCGATAGCAGCTTATAATGGGAGTTTATGATGTACAATTTTGAAAATTTTGACCCAGAGGAACCCGGTGGGGTGACCCATACTGATTTTGCAAAATCACTCAATTAAGCTGAATTTTGGCGTAAAGATTGGTAAACAAATTCTAGTTGTACCCACCCTGGCTCGGGCTAAGCAAAGCTGCACTGTAGGTTTTACATACCTGCTTTTGATCAACCACATCCACCAAAGGCTCACGAATAGCAACATCCCGTAAACAGCTCATGTCGAATCCATATACATTATCCCACCAGTGGATTTTGTCCTCCTTGTACTAATTACAGTTATATAATGAGTAGTCTATCCATATACTTCATCACGATGAGTTGACAAGTTTTGTTTTTCATTTAGACTAATTACCTGACGATCTTCAATTCCGCAGATAGACAAGGAGCATTTATCAGGAAATAACATGCCTCCAGGCTTAAGCCACTTGTCGCGAGCATACAAGACCGTTTCCAACATGGATTCATAAAAAAGACAATATCCCATCCACTCTGAGATAATGATATCCACTTTTTCGATTCCATCAGGGAGTTCGACTTCCTCGACCTTTCCTACAATTTTTTATTGACCATTCAACATCAGAGTTAGGAACAAGACCACATGATCAGATCACAAGTCTTTTTGGACAGCAAACCTTTAATAATCGTGACGACGTCATCCAGTTGGTTCGCCTTCACAATAGTTCTCGCGTGTGTGGCAATGTTGGAACATTCAACACCAATCACTCGTGAAGCACCAGCGTTAGCAGCAAACATGGAAAGAATTCCTGTACCACAGCCAATGTCCAAAACAGTCTTTCCCTACACATATGATTAGCACAGAAACATTGTAGTTATAGTCATTCAAGAACCAACTTAAGCAATTATATTATCAACATGGTAGTGCATAAATTGTAGATGACACTTTATGGACCACGTAACGTAATAAGTTTCATATAATCATGTACTGAAGACAATCTTAACTATATACGTAACTGACATATGCAAAATTACCCGAAATAAATGCTTATTGTAATGCATTGAATTCTTGTAGGTCAGAGTCCTGACTTCATCCTTCAGCATTTCCTCATGAATTCCAAAGTGGGCATACGAGTCAAAGTAATAATCCTTTGAAGTCATTTCGTCGACGGCGACATCCTCCTTTGTCGTCGGACCGTTGGCCGTGGCCTTCTTCAGATCATCAATATTGTTCTCGTCACCTCCAGTGGGAACAACGACCAGACCACTCTCCACCACCATTTTCGACATGGTCAATTGACTAACAAGGTAAGGATAGAAATTTAGATAACAACGATTCTACAACCGCCCTGTCCGTCGATAAACGACGACACAAATATTTATTTTCAGGTGGCAAACAACATTAATTCACAACTCTGGTGATTTCAGAAACTTGTCTTGAGAATTTTTTAGTAGTGTGTTGAAGCAGAAGGAACGTTGAAAACGTAGACGAATAATACAAGGCCGGGGGGGACGAACTTATCAGACGTACGTAGAATCGTTACTTGCTGCTAGTCTTGCATTGACTTTGGAACATGATAACCTCTGCATTAATGAAAACACAAATTATAAGAAAAAATGAGACTTGTGTTATACTAAGATAGACAAATCATCAATCCTATAAAAATTGATCAACCTTTTAACTTTCAGATAGAAATAGTGGATTATGTGGAATCCGCATTGTGGATCCTTAAAAAATACAGCTACCTTTCGTCTGTCGTTCGGTGCACCTTTTCTCAGTCTATAGTTTATAAAATGTCTATAATTTATAAAATGTCTAAATTGAACTTACCAAGAAAGATGAATTCAGTACAAATTTTCTGAATGTAGATTTCCAAGAATGAACAAGTTGCGCGTGCCTCGTCAAAAACTTTATACAAATTCACTCGCAGGCCTCGCTTGATCAGCTCACTCGCCTCAGATTTCCCTCTTTGTCCATGGCCAGCCGGCTCCACAAGCCCCAAAACCTGCACACCTAAATCAATCTAAATCATTGAAAATACAACAATGTGTGTAAACTTTCCAGTTTTGATTGGTCATATTTTAAGACATTAATAAAAGTCCTTATCTCCATTAAAATTTTACTTCATTTTCTCGTCAATCACTTTCTTTTTTTTAATTTTAGCTGCGAATGAAAGGCAGGTTTTCCTGTTTTCTCTGCACCCATAAAAAAGGTTGTCTGGACTGAATGAACAAAATGGTTATTGTGGGGAACGTTGAGAATGGAGAGGTGGGAAATTTGAATGCACCATGAACAATTTTCTAATGCTACCTCGTGTTCTCTCCAGGCACACGATCACACATCTTCCAATCCTCTTATCTTTTGTCGTCGTTAGCACGCAGTTGGTAAAAAATACTAAAAAATAAGTTCTTTCTTATCGGCGTTTTGTTGGACCCGTCAATAAGTTTGGTAAGTGATTACAAGTTTATGTTGTAGTTCTGTTATTCTTGGGTGAAATTGTGTGTTGTTGTTTGTGATTTGCAGGCTTGGCTGGGTAATTTTAAATATAAACAAAGAAGATTTAGAATTATGGATAAAGCTAGATTCTCCCCGTCTGGAGAGTTCCTATCTGTTTGTGGCTCAGATGGCAGACTTCGTATTTGGGACACGAAAGGAAAGTCCAGCTGTTTGAAGCAAGAGTTTGTCCCATCGGCTCACTTATCGGCGACTTGTACTTGCATTGAATGGGCGCCTTCTAGTAGTACAAGCAATGCGAAAAATGGGGTAATTATTCCATTCCTTGTACGCACTAATGGTAGCTAATTACGAGGTAACTTGTGTAAATATATGGATTTGTTCTATAGGCACAGGATAAGAGGAAGAGAAAGAAACGATGTTTTGAAGGGGACCTAGTGGCAATGGGGACTGCCGATGGGTCGCTGTTGCTGTACAGCGTTGCTAAATCCCAACTGCTGGCACATTCTAAACAAGCCCATTCCGGCCCCATTACCGGTCTTACATGGAATCTTAATACACTTTCTTTGTATTCTTGTGGCGAAGATGGTTTTATTGTTGAATGGGATGCAGAGAATGCAAAAAGTCTGAGGTAAAGACGAGATAGAAACTGGGTCATATAAATATATGTAGTACATAATTCGTAATGATGACTATTTTGTAACAATAACTATTTCGCAGTCGTTGGAAAGGAGGAAAAGGACCCTTATCCTGCATTTCCATCTTCAAGGACATGCTCCTCTCATCCGGAAGGGGGATAACTTTATGGAACTTGGAAACGAAGACGTCCGTTATGAACTTCATGGGGCAGCCATCCACAGTTTCTCAAATTCAACAAATTCCCAACACCGATTACTTTGTTACAATGAGTTTAAAAGAAACGCATCTTCAAATTTGGTAATAATTAGTAATCATGTGAATATTTTATTTTTTATTTCAAGTTTGCATTAAAAGTATTTTATTTATTTATTTTTTAAATTAATTTGTTAGGTCAAAATCTGAACAGAGTGCAGTAGCTACGTTAATGCTGATGGAAAACCCAAGGCAGTTCTGCGTCGTATCCCCTTCGGGTGGGAAAGTATCAGTTTCCGCTGTGACAGAAAATGGCACGCTGTGCACTTTTAGTCACAAATTAAATGGGCCTTTGAGAAAACCACTTGCTCCAACTTGTATTCTTACTGTGATGGACGCTCATGAACCTACAACAGTGGTTCCTGTGCTATCCTGTTTTTTGACTAACGAAGATGAATCGTCGGCGGAGGTTAAAATAGCATACGGAAGTTGGTCAAAGTTACAATTTGACTCAATGGCTGTAAAATATCTCCAAGACAAAGTGACAATCAAAAGAGAGTTTGTCCTCAAGTCTAAAGTTTCAAAACATAAACAAAAACAGAAGGATACAGATATTGAGACTGATGTCATGACTGAGGTTCCGAGTGACGCAAAACATTTACAGCCTGGTTCAGACATTGGGCTAATAAAACCCTTAGACGGGAAAGGCAAAAAACGAAAGAAAAATCAAGGGTCCAATAAAGATGAAGAAGAGCTACCAATGGAGGATAGACTAAGTAATTTGACTATTGATGCACCTTCATCTGGTGGAATTCCTGACGGAAATAATTTAGCTCATCTTTTGAGCCAGGTAAAAATCCAGCATTATAACAAAATTGTGGACTCGACGAATAATAATCATATATGTCCAATGTTGATACGTTTTTAGGGGCTTCATAGTAAAGACGCTAAAATATTGCAATCAGTCCTGTCTCGCTGGGATCAAGATGCCATCGATAACTCCATTAGAAGTCTTCCTGTACAAATGATTGTTCCACTATTGAATGAAATCAAGAAAATGGTATCTAATAAGCCAATGCTGTAAGTAAAATGATATTTTTATTTTCTTCTCCTCATTGTAAACTAAGTAGAATTGTTCAGTATATAGTTATAGTTCAGTTTTATATTAACGGCTAATCTGTCAATTTGGTTTTGGAAAAATTAGCAAATTGAATAATTCGATACCATGAAGGTTTAGTGGAAAACGAAGTAAAGTTTGACTTTGTCCCCCAGCTTTCAAGTGTAAATGTACACTCATTTACGTATAATTACATTTTTATAAAAATAAGCCGATCTGCTTATTTTTTACCAAAGTAAAATTGTTAAAGAATCAGAGTTATATTACACGTAGAAGAGTTTAATGTGCAATATTAATTGTAATTATTCTGTATTTCAGAAATCATAGTGTAATCAAATGGCTCAAAGCCATTTTTAAAGTTCATTCTGCATTTTTAATGTCGTGCCCGTCTTCAGAAGATATGTTGGGACCATTTATCAGCCTACTTCATTCTCGAGAAATTCTGTATCCACAAATGTGCCAATTGAAAGGAAAACTTGAGTTAATTAAAGGAAATATCGAGTCAAAGGAACATAAAACGGAAATTCCAAATGAGGCTCTGCTTGTATACCATGATGGTAAGTCATAAAGTGCAATTTTTCTGGTTTGAAACTTGATTTTTAGAATTAGTTTATCTCAAATTCGTATGTTCCAGAATCATCTGAGGATGGCGAGGACGAGGATATGATACCATCTGAATCAGAGGAATTTTTTGGATCAGACGATTTAGTAGAGGACGACTCGGAAAGTGATGATTCTGGGGATGAGCAAATGGGCTCTGGTGGTGGCGATGGAGATGACACAGATTCAGGAAGTAGTGATGACGAACAGACTGTTAGTAAAACACCAGTTTCGAAAATGAATGGAGGAAATGAAAGTGACTCTATGGAAGATGACGAATGATAATAATCAGTGTAAACGTGTGATTATAATCTGAGTGTGAAATTTTTATGGTTTGCGTAAATGTTGTTCTGCTCTGATCACACAATAACCGACAGTTTACGATAATTTATGTGTTGTTAAGATATGACATGTACGAGTTTTATTTCTATAAACAGAGATTTAATAAACGCTAAATTAATTAGCCCATAAGCATTAAGTTCAATATGTAGCATTGCATTACATATGCACGTACATCACAAATCCACTTTTCCTTGGTTTACGTCATTCATACATCCGCCAAGACGTCGTCAGGTTCATCTGCACTAACGTTCCGTTTTAAAGCAAATGCAGAAAGTTTTGAGCTGATTCTCGACTTCTTTTCTGCTTCACTATCAGCAACATTCGATTTGTCGCCGCTTCTCTTTCTTTTCCTTTCGACATGATTGTTCTCGATTTCAGCATTTATTTCAGGATCGATATCTTCGATTATGCTTTTGGAATCGGAATTTTCATTTATGTTTGCTGGACTTTTGGGTTGCTCTGACAGTGATTTATTCCCCGTCATCATTGTTGCAAATAAAGCTGGCTGTTTCTTCGTCAAAGACTTGTCCAATTTAGATTTGTTAGTTTTGTCACCTTTATCTTTATCAGAAGGCTTTTTAGCAACTTTATTCTTTGGATTTTTTGGGTTGAATTCCATTGTTGGCTTATGCGACGGTTTTTTCCACGCGTCTATCAATGCCAACCCTTTTCCCCCATCTAAATCAGTCTTTTCAGCAGCAAGAATAGTTGGTACAGCATTGTTTGATTTAGTTTTCGAATCCCCAACGCTATCTCTTTTGAATGGATTTTTATAATTCGCCGGAGAAGAGGAGCACAGCGCTTGTATTTCTGCACGTTGGCGAGTGAGCAGTGGATTTTCTAATATAAAATACAAATAACAATTTAGTAATGGTTGCTATTTGTTTCAATTGACTAGGCCGAACGTAAAATAAAATATAACAAGTAAAAACAACCTTCCAAAAATACAACATCGGAAGTTGACTGGTTAGCCAAAAAACTGGAGCTTAAGTAAGACGTGCTTTGAGAATCGTTATTAGAATTTCCTCCAACATTTGTTAGATTTGAGTACAAACTGGAATAAATGACATTTCCAGTTCGCATATTTTCAAAATCATCGTCGTCTTCTTCAACATTTTCGTCCTCTTCGGCCAACTTTTTTCTACCAATGGCAGTGAGACGATCAGTTAAGGCCATTTTCCGTTGTTTATTGGCATGTTTAATAGTGATTTGAATAGAATGTGTGGTTGGCATCATTGCAACGTATTCTGACGCACGGAAATCCTTGTCACCTTTGCAGCTAATCTGAAACCGCAAGTAATACAATGAGTAATATTAACACATAAACTTTAAACCTTAAGAAAGTAATGCAACACAGCACGTACTGCGAATAGTTTCATCAAATTTTGTTTGATATCCTTGTCTGCCTTTTCCCGGTACTGCTCAACATCCACACCTTTCTTGTCCAATTTTTTTGCTAAAGCGTTTTGCATTAGAGATCGTAATAGCAAATCTTCCAACTGACTTTTCTCCGTATCCATATCACATAATGGTAGCTGAAAACAAAAATTATACATCATGGGTTAAAATTAATGACTTAGTTAATGACAAGAGTCAAAGATGGGATTCAACCTTCGCGTCTAGTAATAACACTGTGGGGCGTGGAAGTGTTGGAGGATACGTTGTTCCTTTGCATTTGATTGCTCTTATTTGTTGATTACAAACACTGAGGCTGGTGACCCAATAATGATCACTCTCATTTCGAGAACTCTCTTTCATGCTCAAGAATGTAGTCCACATCCTTCCATTAAGAATTCGAACCGTTCCGGTAGAGTCTGAGACTGTTGGGGTGCCTTCGTCAGAAAATCCGACCCAGGATATTTCAGATTTTGGGGTCAATGGCAATGGCTCACTGGCAATCAAAGGAAACAATCCAGTACCGCTTCGAATTCGGAGAATGGAATACGAAATGCATTGATTTCCATAAAGCCCTAAACAGATAGAATTTAAATATACTACACTATCAATAACCCACATTCTGTCTTTATAATACACATAAAAGCATATGTACCAATGCCGGTGTGGAATGTAATAAACAGCAAATCTTCATGACCAGAGATTGCTATTATTTGACCCCCAATGTCCAGCATATTCCTCTGAATTCCACCGGTTGTGAAAATTCTCAAACGGTTCATATTAGTACCCACAGCAAACCATCCTGTTCCAATTGCAACTGCTGTAGCTTCCTCGTCCTTTGGCAAATCTGTTAACCACTCCTTGGTGTTATCCCAGGATGAGAAATGCAAGCACATAATTTTGCTGAAGAAAGGTGTTCAAATAAATGCTCAGTTTCGATTAGCACTAATAATTAATTATGGCTACCATTTTAGTACTAAAAACAAATTGGTTACCTATTTGCATTTGAACTAGCAAAAATTACGGCTTCTTTTCCCAGAGCTGCAATAGTGTATTCGTTTTGATTTCGAAGTCGAATTCCATTGTGGAACGACACGTCATGAAATTCAATATCAATTGTATCAACTTCATCGTCCTCAATTTCATACTGTCGTATTAATCCGAGGTCATTCCATACCTACAATTAAATATTACAAAACAAGTAACAACCTTGTTAATAATCAGGATGCACAACAATGGAATAAGAAAAAAATACCATGAATCTGTTTTGTAGATTCTCGGGCGAACTAGAAGGTTGAAAAGGTTTTTGTGGTATAGTGAAAGGCATTTCAATTGGTAATGGCGGATTTTCATCGGGTTTATCTAAACTAGACACACTGGCAGCGTCATCATCCTCGATAATAGTCTTTAGGCCTGCACTTTTTCTTGCTTTATTCACACCGACAAAGACATCTTCCTTTTGATCTTTCGAAGCAATGAATCCAGCCATAGCCTTTATTTTAGAAATTGATATTTCATTTGCATCCCCACCACCTTCTTCCACCAAAAAATCATCCATGTCATCATCAAATGGGTCACTCTCGATAGCATTCTGTTCAACGAATTTATCAACTTCATCGCCCAATTCATCGTCCATGTCAACATCTTCATTTTGAGTTTCATGAGAACCAATAAAGTTCTTTACTGAAATTAACCGACCCTTCATGTCAACTGCAAAAATGTCTTGGCTTGATTTTGAAAATAGTACTCCAGTAATGTGATCCCTGGTATCTGAATTTTCATAGATCAACTTTAAATTGGTCGTATTCCAAACGAAAAGGGTTCCATCGGAACTTCCGGCCGCAAAGTATTTACTACAGGAAGAAAACTGCGTCACCGATAACATCTGCAAATGTACGTCACGTTTCATTTCACTGGGTTTATTCAATTAGCGTCGTATACAAAAATATGTAAATATCGTATTCGAAATAACCTTTTTTTCGGAAACTTTGAATCTTTGCGTCTCTGTCCAACCATTTCTAGAGTAGAAAATAACTTCCCCTTTGTGTGGGACAGCAAGCATGCTGCCGTCAGGTTTCCACGACGGTCGACAAAGTGTCTTACTCGTCAAAATGTCATTCGAAGACGGAAATACATCATCCCAAGATTTCACTTGCTTATTATTCCCAATTAAGTTCCAAATGGAAACTGTTCCATCGCAGCCAGTGGATACGAAAAATTCTTCCAACGGATCGATAAGAACTGACAGCACAGGAGCAGTGTGACCACTAAGTTTGATAGGGGATGAACTTTCCTTTAGCTTGATCAACTGAATAGTCGTGTCCCTGTTGACAAAGACATGGTTGTCAATAATAAACTATCCAATCCCCTTTCTAGCATACTTTTCCACTCACCCAGACCCAGCCACCAAAAGGTCTCCACTCTGGGAGACGTCAACATGATTCACTGCTGCTGTGAATTTAGTAATGACTTTCTCCGCCTTTCCAGATGGCAGCGAGAAAGATTCGGCAGTATTATTTTCGGTTCCTACGTAAACTGTATTCTGGTAACAACACATTCCCAGCCCGGCATCGCTAGATGAGAAAACTAAAAGTGGTTCCTTATCTTCCGGACTGTTCCACATTCGAATATCACCGTCAGAGCCGCAAGTAAGAATTTTTCTGATGAAATATAAAACAAAAAAACAATTATGAAATATTTTATTTGACATTCCAGCTCTAGATAAAGAGGTACACAGAATACGGTGAAGTAAGGTACAGGTCGCGTAATTTAACTGCTAATACTAACAAAATTAAGTAAGTTTGTTTTCTTACCCATCAGTATTCCCATCCCCGTCATAGTGTATCGCAATATCCGTGACACCGTCGGAGTGAACGTATCGAGAATTGACGGGGGCCTTCATGCTTCCTTTTGTCGTGTCGTGACGTCGTCAATTATCTTTAAATCTACCCTTGACCTAGAGGCTTGCTGCTCCAGTCACTCTTCTATTTACTTGGCGTCCAATATTGAATTTTCGAAACTACAAAAAAATAATAATCGCCCCCGTCACTCGTTTCAAGCTTAACTTATGTTATGGGTTGTGAGCAGAGAAAGAGCGGATTCGCGGCACAGAGTTCCCGGTGTTTTCGTGCCTCTTCTCGTTGAACGGCTGAACAGACTGCGGGGCAACTTCACAGTCGTCAAGAAGCACTCGTCCCGTCCTAAAGGCACCGGCGAAAATCGAGGACAGAACAATTACGACCAAGAAGAAGACCACAGTTTATCACAACAATACGACGAAGGACAAAACTAGGTCTCCCAGGTATAAACAAAACATCATTAATATTAATTATGTTATTTGCTAGCTGTTGATATATAATTTGTCATCCTTGGACTGAATGAGCCAAATGTTGTTAAATTGATTTGCAGTAGTTCTGTAGTTCACATCTGTTCATAATAGTTTGTTTTGTAGTTGTACCTATCTATCTTTTCGTTATTTTAAAAGAGGCTGCTGGTATCGATACACACCGAGTTTCATGCCAGTTTTATATAACTTTCATATTTTTTTGTCGACTCCATCATCAATATCATCCACCTTCAGCAACTTGTGTTATAATAACTGAACTGATGGATCTTCCTGAAGATTTGTCTCGCTCCGGCGCTGCAGCAGCTGCTAAACGCAAAGTGGAAGAAGACGCAAATTCTGGACCAGCAACCAAGAGAAGTAGTAATTCGTCGTCGGAAGGCGTGGAAAATAACATTACTGCTGTGACAGATGAGAAGAAATCCATAGTTCAAACAACATTTCAAACGCTTGATGGATTTAAAGTTGATTCAATTCTAAGTAATAGTGCAGACTTCAAAAGGATTGTTGTTGAAGGAACTGTTGGAGATCAAAAGGCTGTAATAATTTTGGACAAAAAACCATTTACAGAGGATATTTTATCCGACTTGTTTTCTAAGAAGAGTGAATTGGTCCATACTTTTCAAAACGACATATACGGCAGCTACGATTGCGTATTGGAACCAAAGCTTTCAGGTTTGATTTAGTGCAAAAAATACCTTACAATTGCTTGAATCGACGAGATAACTAATGTCATGTCTCATTATTTTAGCTGTAAAAACTACAATTGTCCATCCTGCCACGTATGTTTCTAATTTAATCATAAATCTAACAAAAACCTAAACTACAAAATTAGATATATATATATTCTTCTATTCTATTTGATAGCAAGCAGCACATTGATAAATATCGGATTCAGCCCTTTTACTTGGTGCAAGAAACTCCAGAGATTTACAAAAGTGTAACTCTCCCATACTTGCAATCGAGCTCTTTTGATATTCAGGTATATTCTTTCACAGAATAGATGATGGAACGATAATGTATTTATGCAAATTTTGTATTCATATGTCTTACTCATCAGTGGGTGCATAATATTCTTGCCCACAAAAAAGAGGCTGATCGAATCATCTTTGAAGACCCTGACCCAAAAACTGGTTTTATCTTGCTACCAGATTTAAAGTGGGACGGAGAAACGATCAACAACTTGTATCTAGTTGCAATTGTCCATGAGAAAGGGATAAAGTCGTTGCGTGATTTAACTGCTGAACACATTCCTCTACTACAGAAAGTTTTGACCGAAGGCTCTGTAAGTACCCGTACCACACATGCGTCCACATTTTTACTCATTTAGTAACAATGTAAAGCGTTGTGTTGAATAAATATTTTTTTCACAGGAAGCCATTCAAAAAAAATACGGACTGACGAAATCTCAATTAAGAGTTTATATTCATTATCAGCCATCGTATTATCATCTGCACATTCACTTTACAGCTCTTAGCTTCAACGCTCCAGGTAATTTTAGTTGAACAGTGATTGAGCTCAAGGAACACACTAAAACTTTTTTTCTTAATGAATCGAATTTGTTAACAGGAATATCAACGGAAAAGTCACATTTGGTGTCAACAGTTATTGGAAACATTGGTCTCAGTCCAACATATTATCAGGACAGCACATTACCATTTACTGTCAAGAAAGGGGACGCCTTGTGCGAAAAATTACTGGAAAATGGATACAAATTTTAATTTCTCATTGGAAAGTTCATTAAGTGACATCAAACTTGATGAACCAACTAGAGTCAAAATACTTGCAGAATACCTTCCTAGATTAAGTTTAGTTAGTTTGTATGTTACGCTCAATAGAGCTGCTGGAGATGAAGAAGGAACCAGTGTGATAGATCTTAAAATTTTGGTAACCCATGACTCAATAAGTATTCCAGTCTTAGACATTTATTCACTTCAGTTTTTTGGAATCAAGTTTGTTCCGCAAAGGTCTCTCTTAAGGCCAACTTCGTCGAACAAGAATGTTTTTTATTTTAGAATAATTGCGAATCCTCCTTTCGAAAGTTTGGGATCCGCTGAAGCAGAACTTTTGCCATCATCGGATGAGTTTGATGATGGAATGTCCATAATGTTAAAGTATTCAGCGAATCATTTTATACCATTAGAAAATTGTCGTTATGATATCACTTGTCAATCATGTGGAAATTGTTTTGTACCAGAAGCCGTTTTTAAAACTATTCGACAAATGCCTGGACTTAATTGGGAAGAGAAAGCGACAGATCTCTGGTGTCATCCGCCTGCCTGTACTGTCAATAGTGAATCCGCCGATTTCAAGAATTCTCATACTCCTAATCCTACTAGTAGAAAAACTGTTTTTGAAATGCTTAGTTGTCCAGAGCTTCATAGTTGTTATTACTCCACCACTTTTTATGCTATTAGTTCAAAAATTATTCAAGGAGTCTCTACCGAGGTAAACGATCCAGCACGTTGTTTCCAGTGTAAAAATGAAATTGGATGTTGGTACTCTAAAGACTGCATTCACTTATGGGATTATGGTGTTAAATGGATGCCACAGAATGTTCATCCTACTCCCAATGTTGCAGCCCATTGTTCAATTTTGCAGAATGAAGCTCACTTAAAATTACTTCAAAATTTCAAGCGTTCAGTATTTGCATGCATCTGTGAGTGGTCATATTCTTCAATATGTCAATTTGTACTGAAAAGCTCGATTGGAGATGATTCCATTTTGTTGTGGAGTTCTGACAAGAATCTAACCATTTTCCAAACAGAGTTTTGTGTGAGAGGGACTACTGCAGATTTAGTATTAAAACCAGAGAAAGTAGCAAAGTTTTTGTTTCTTCAAAAACAGTCCGCCGAAAATTCTACCTGTACTAATAATTCCACAATGCTACCTGTCGGCAGCAGTTACCTGGAAGTTCTCACTATTCCAGGCCGAGTATTCCAAGCTGGTATTAAAAAGTTAATTGAAACATCCGAATTATTTTTGGACACGGAGCAAATTTTGAAATGTGGGTTTTTGTCGTATTCTGTAGATTAACATTAAGTAATCTATAGACAAAGTTCTTGTACTTATTTTACCTTATGATTAGTGACGAGTTGTATGAAAAATGCAAAATTAGTTGGGAAACTTGATGTATTTACTTTAGTGTGCATCATTATTTAAATGAATGCGACATTATAAAACAGTAAAAGTTGTTGGTTACATATGTTTGTATCTACATGTCTAGTGCATCGGTGTAGAACCCATTAAAATTAACTCTGAAAAAAAATCAAAAATTTATTATAAAAGTAAGTTATAACTGTATTAGAGTAATTTTAAAATTTTGATAAATAAAAAGCATTTACCGATAAATAATGTTGGCAACTTTTGAAGATTGGTTCGGATTTTGTACGATACTAGACACTTCGCGGAGAAATTCTACTAATTCTTTAGTGAAGCTCCGAGTTAATTCTTCAATCGTAACGTTTAGGTTTTGGAAACTCACTAGTTGATTTTCAGACGAGCCAAGGATTTTATCAGAAAATTGAAGACATAGTGACAGTAATGCAGTCATTTTTGCAAGTAAGGATGGGCTGGTGAGCATTGAATCGTCCAAAATTGAGTTGACCATGGCAAGGTGACAATTCAAAACTTCATTTACATTAGTCACTTTAGCCAAAGTGGTAATAAACGTGTGCCACGCTGGTTCGATGACCTGATACAATACAATTATTATCACATTCAGCACTGGTTATATTCATTCATTATAGTCCTTTGGACTTTCATTGACATTACTTTTAAAGAAATGTGTGGATAATTTTCATGGAGTTTTTACCTCAAAGGCCATGTAATACTGGAGATTTTGTACAAAGTTTAACATTCTTTGATGTAGTGAAAATGCAGCTGCTTTTTCCGAGTCTTGGGTTAAATTAGTATTCTTGAAGCATTTCTTGGCAATCCACACTTTGCACAATTGCCTCTCCACATGCTTGCAGAAGAATAAATGCCGAAATATCATTTGATAGCAAATGATGGCTCGGGAATTTAACACTAGCGAGATTGGCCACTGCACTTCATACGAGAATGAAAATCCTTCAAATCCAGGTATTCCAAAGTTGCAGTGATCGGATTGCATCTGAAACTGTAATATGCACTTAATATTTATTTTGGCTAAAATTTAACAACTTTATAAATTTGTCCTTCCTTATATACCTTTCTCTGCTCTAATGGAGTCTCAATAGCAATTATATTCAGCATTTGTTCAGCGATTCCGTACGGAAATAATTGTACTTTTACACAATCTTTATAAGGGTCCGTCGCCGATGATGATGTACGCAAGGCAAGTTCTAGAAGAGATTCTAGCCTTACTGGATTTAAATCATCAATTTGCTTGTTTAGCTCGCTCTCCGTCAAATCCAGAAATTGTACAATGAAATCGCCCTATTTCAGAAAAATACACTTTATTTAAACGTGAATTTGAGCTACATAATTAATTGTGTTGCACTTGGTCGCTCTATTGCATACCTGGTCCATCAGGAGGTAATGCTTGACAGACTTTAATCGTCTCATCAAATCGTATTCATTTAATAACATGTCTAGCAAAGTTTTGCTTGCAAAAACATAGGCCTTTTCAATAACTGCCACATATACGCGTTCATGAATGCTGTAACTAATTTTGTTGTTCTATATGTAAAAAAAAACATTCTAATTAAATCAGTAAAGCTTACTCATCTCTCATCTCTTTAATTTTAATTTTAGTGCAACTTACTGAGGTTATACAAACATCCTTTCCACACTGGCGGATCACGTTAAGATATTTTCCAGCTTTCAATATTTCTTGACTAACTGAGTTTAAAAATGAGGGACACTTTTCTGGGACAAGTAGATACCTCGTTTCCCAGTAGTTGTCATTATCGTTCACTTCTAGTTTCAAGCCATCTCCTCTGTCACTATCAAACACAAAGAACTCGTCGAATGGATCTCTGATCATGCCCTATATTCATTAAACACAGAGAATAATTGTATGGGCGAGAATAAAAAAAAACTTGTTACAAAGAAAATTACGTTAATCAACCACAGGCACATGTGAAAGTGCAACATTTAAATTTAGAAAACCTACTTTGTATATCCAGTTTTCTAAAATCGTAAAATACGGTGCAGACGCCTGCTGAGCCAAATCGTAGCACAAACTCTGCCCGACTGCATCCCCCACCATTGATATGGCTTTCTCATGAAGTAAGGTCAACACTTGTCCTCCACATGAGTCTTGCTTCTCAATCTCATTAACGATAGACCTCAGCGTCCCCATCACTTGTAATGTTGGATGAACAAAGAACAACATTTTTTGAAGAGACAGTTCCCCCTAACGTATAAAGATCAATACAAATAAAATCTTAATCCCAACATACAGCTTTAAATTCCATGAATGAAACTTTTATTACCTTCATGAAAAGAGTTTCCGTTTGTGACAATAGAATAAAGTAATCTTTTAATATATCCCTTAAGGCCGCTCCTAAAGCTTGATTTACTTGACCGTGTTCAAACTTTGACCATGTTTCAACAAATTTTGTGACAGCATGGTAGTGAGTAGCCAGTTGAGCCACTTGCAACGCCAATTCTTTTAGGGAGTTCTCCACCAGTGCATCAACCTACAGATTTATCATAAAATGATTCCTGTTGATTGTGGTTCGTCATTCATATATATAATGCGCAAAAAAAAACAAATATTGATTCGTTAATCTCACCACAAAACTAATCTGATTTGGTTTAGTTTGGTTAACTTGGATTACAGTAGACTGAGCTCCGGTGAGTACCTTCAGGAGTTCTTCGGTTAGTAAATTTTCTTGGTCTTCTGGCGACATACCGTCAATTAAGCTGAGATTTGCACCAGGCAAGTAATTCTCAGACGGCACAAAGTTAATGGTGTTAAAGTGTCGTGACTCATTTCTCACGGTCAGGTTGGAGTTGGTGGGGTCGACGACACGTAGAGTACTTTGTCGAGAACGAGATTGATGGTCAATAATGGTATGTTGATGGTGGGAGGAGTAACTGCTGCTGAAACTACTTCCCGTAAAGGAAGCTTTGCTCGGATGAACGTCATCCTCCCATTTAGACGGAGGCTTCTTTAGAGTGTACAACGAGACTTCGGATTCGGACATGATTTCTCTGAAATAAAAGTCACCAAAAGGGTTTTTATTCGTTATTTATTAGTTAGTATTATTGCTTTATTAATAACAATTTACTAAGAGTGAAAAGTTTTTACACGAAAACACAATTTGTGTCAATCTTTCGACCACAATTCTAAATTTTACATTTAAATTGTAAATACAAATACGTACTCAGAATGAAGTGTCAATTAATTACCTGCTAATATCAAGCAAGTAGAAATAGATGTTACTGATGTTAAAGTCAGTTCAGAAACTAAACTTCAGCTTGGTTATTATTTATTTACTGTAACGAGATATCCAGCGCGAGGAATTCTTCCCGCTGTTTCCATCAAAGGAGAGACTCGTTTGCACATAATAACCATGAAAATATTTCATGCTTTCTCTCGAAGAGTATGACGCTGCTGTTTCATACAAGTAACAAGTGTGTATTATAGTATCAAAGGACTTTCAGTATTTGTATATCATCGACTTTTTTATTGTTAATAGACATTCGACTAGTGGCGAAAGATAAATTTCTTAAAAGTAAAAATGTTCCACTTCAGCTTTATTCCCAAATCCAGTTGAATTAAGAATCATGTCTTGATGTTTGTCGTCGTTATCATCATCCTCATCGTCTGAGAGCATTCTCTTCATATCATTCTCAATGACATCATCATCTTCCTCAACTCCTTCTTCTTCTTGGTGAGCTAGAAATATTTCTTCGAATGCGGCGAGATCGTTCGTGTTGAAGGCTCCGCGTGTACATGTTTTCAAAAATTGTTTGTCACTTGTGCACACAACATCGTCAGGTTTGAAATACTTGGCCCTGGGAAGTTTTGATGCTTTCTCTTTCTCTCTAACCTTTATCAGTTTACGGTACGGGATGGGAACATATATACCGGCTTTTATTAGAAATTCGTGACGTATTTTCATAAATTGAAGAGGAAATGATAAAACGTTGCAGTTTTTAATGGAAGAAGTGGCATGAGCCAAGTCAAATATTAGATACCGCAGTTTGCGTTTAACAATGTGTTCGGCTTCTGTCAATGCCTCGACACTATTCATAACTGCTTTTAGTGATTCTCCGCTATTCTCAAAATACGTATTTAAGAATCCGATTCTATTTCTAAATTCAGACTTGTGTAGGTCAAAAATTTGGGGGAATTTTCTCAGAAGTTTTGTTCTATGTTCTTCGTTGAAGCCACAATTTCTTAATGCAGAAATTGTTCCAATTATGCTAGCTTCCGTGAGATTTAGAATAGCAGGATACTTGACTGATATCTAGAAAGTATGAATTTTGTTACTGTATTATTAGTTTAAGTGTAATTCAGTCCTCATATACCTCTGCACCAGCATCGGGTGGTATACCATGTATTGAGAGAACTTCTAACAATTGTACCAATTGTTTTTGATTCAGCTCTCCAAGCTCAGGAAACCTCTATTAAAAAGTAAATACACTATTAGTAATATTTGGTAATTGTAGAAAATGTTCTGAATACAACAATCAATACCTGGCATAATTTCTTCCACGACCGATGCGACCCTGCAGTATAATTTTGGGCGACGTGATCTGGTTTATCTAATGGTGGTAACGTAGCTTGGTCATCATTAATAAGATTGTGACTTATAATATTTTGTGATGATGGTCTGATCTTATTAGTCTTGTATGACATCGTTCTTCGTATTTCAGTCGCACCAACACATTGTGTCGTATGACTGTGGCAGTGGTGAGGTTGTGGTAGCATCAGTCCCAATTTAGGGGGGGATTTTGATGTGAAAGCTCCCGTCGCATAATTTGATGAACCATTAACATGATGCAATGACCCACGTTTGACCATATCATTTAAACAGCGGAGTTTCAAAACAGACTTCATTCTTGAAGCGTGCTTTTGGGACGCAACGAAACAAAGAGATCAGATCTGCGACATTGGTAATGTCATCAATCACTCAAATTTGCTACCTGTAAAACCACATTAAAGCATACATAAGATAGCAACTTAAAATTTGAAGGCTTTGCAGTATAATTAATTATGTAATCTAGCAAGTAATTGATTATATCCATGTCTCACCCACTAAAGAGCAAGAAGATTTGGTTTTCTGATGTCCACCAGCTTTCACGCACGACTTTCTTCACTGCAAGCCGGAAGATAGTAAAAATGAGACGGTTTTTGGGGAAAAGTAAAGAAATCCGAATTATACGAAACTTGCGCCTACTGCGGAGGTTGACCGAATCTGATTCTCTGATTCTGCTCACCAGCACAAGTTTTGATCTCGGCCTGAAATCCGTATTCGGCTCTCTCTCGTCGTCGGTCTTTTCTTCTCTGTTCTTCTGTTCCTTGTACAAGTTTATTGACTTGACAGAACTCTGTGGCCTGGAGAAGAAGAACTGCAGTCAGGATTTGTAGCACCAACACGAGGGCCACCACGGCAAGGGCAGCTCGGCAGAAGTGGACAAGAACTAGCTCGTTTTACATGTTAGCTGCAGAGAAATTAATATTTATAATTGCTCCTATTGCCTATAACTGAAGTCCTGAATTTTTATTAATACTTTTGAGGTGCTATTATTGTACAAACACTCTAGTTTCGTGGAAAACATGGTAGTATTAGTTTTCCCTTGATTTCTCCAGAGAAAGCAATAAGCTTGGTTTACTTTATTTTGTACTTGCGAGTTGGGCGTATTATTGAATTGCAAAAAGAGTAGGATTTTTGAGGTCGAAAATTCGACGAATATTAAAGTGTCCTATAATTGCTCCACTACTTCACTCCACAAGCTCACGTAAATCTTCCATTTCTGCCTCAAAAAAAACATGACTGTCATTTAACTAGCTCTCTCTACGGTACCAAGTATATAAAGTACAAAATCTTGTAATCATCCCGCAAGTCTTTTCTGCAAAGACTATAATGAATGAAACGTATGGAGAAATAGACCAAGGGGTTGGAGTTGGTGGGGGAGGCAAGTCACACCAAGAAGATGACGATAATCTGGTCCTCTGGGTGAGTAATATTAAAATAATGAGACTTTGATATTTTTCCGGATAATTAAGTTAATTAAGTAATAATTTATTCGGAGGATCTTATAATTCGAAATATATTTTAATAGGTGGGTAACCTGGATAGTCGAACGACGGAGACAATGGTGTATGAGCTATTTTGCCAGGTACTATTTATTCTTCACTTGAGCGTTTGTAGTGATGTCAGACTTAATACCAAAATAACATGTTTAAACATTGTTTTATGGTGTTTATTAGGCTGGACCAATCTTGCACATCCGTCTCCCTAAAAACCCTGATGGCCAAGGGCACAAAGGGTATAGTTTCGTCACGTTCCAGCACGAAGCATCTGTTCCATATGCGATTAATGTAATGGAGGGGACAACCTTATTTGGGAAAAAGTTAAAACTTCAGCCCAGGGTATATTTTTATTCTATTCTAAACAACCCAAAAAGGTTTTATGAATTAGTGTATGGGTTAATTAATTCTTGTAATGAATTAATGTGTGCATTACTCAATAATGGTATTATTATTTTTGTAGCCTGGATCTGTTCACCGAAAGGTAAATGATGGATTCACTCAGTAATAATTATTGTGTAGTACACAACAATACCAAGGTATTCGTTTTTATTGTATTGTTTTTTGTGTAGTTGATGGATCAAAAAAAGGCTTCGGAGCAAAGACAAGATAATAATTTCCAAGGGCAGGGACAACCTCAAATGTCCCCTCAACAGCAAGTTCCCCCACCACAGCAACAGTGGTTTCACCCTCAAATGGCTCAAGTTTCACCCAACATGTTTCTCTATCAGAATCAGTTGTATCAATCTTTCACCCCCTCTCCCAATCTTAATATGAACGTAATGGCGATACCCTTCCAGCCTGCAGCGGCTGCGCAAATAGCGTCCCCATTTGTGCAGCAAATTCCGGTGCAACCACCACCGGGGTCCATGCCCTCGCTGCCACAACAGCAACAACACGGCAGAAACCCCAGAATGCAAAATGGTTACAATAACTATAGCGGGGTTCCCCCACAACAACAACAACAGCAGCTCAGGACAGCTAGTCCTCATCAGCAGCACCAACAACCACCACCGGGGGCTAATACTAGTCATTACAACAATGGTCCCCAACAGATGAATGGTCAAGGACAACATCAACAACAGTACCACCATCAGTCTAGAGGAGGAGGCGGCGGTCATTATCAAAGTCAGAGGGGAGGAAGTAGACCCCCCCAACAACGTAATGGTGGGTATAGTAATGGATCCCTAGCAAACAATAACTCAAGAATGCCGTACCATCAGCAACAACCAAGGTTGTCTAACCCGGTGCAGCAACAGCAGCAGCAATATATGATGAATACGTTTCAAGGGCAAGTGCCGCTTGTCCAATCCCCCGACTTCCGTCGAGGTAACCCACCTCCACAGCAGCAACAACAACAGCAAAATTTCCCACATGGCGGTCAGAATTATGGAAACCCTCCAGCTTCCAACGGGTTTCATAATGTCCATGTATACCACTACTAGTCTAGCACTTTTCTCCAGTTAGTTAGGTGGTTAGTTTGTTAGTTAGTTCTACTTGCTAGCTACTAGCTAGTTGGTTGACGAAGCATGGATATCAATTGCAATCCAAGTCATACTGGATCTCAAAAATTGTAAACTGAACTGGATGAACCGTCGTTCGTGGTCTTTAATGAGTATTGGTCATTTCCGAAATCGAAACACCTACCTAACTTTAACTGTCAAAGGCAACTTTTTTAATTTGACAAACTGTATTGTGTGTGTTACATTACAATGCATAGACTTCTTGAAACATCATCAGATAACATCAATCTTTATCCGGTCGTCATATAATAATAGTTGGCAATCGTGTAATCTCTTCTACATGCATGTTGTCAAATAACACTGAAGGAGGTACAGAAGATAGGATACTAACTATATCCAGTCAAATAATGAAAATTGCATTATACAATGCCGCACACACTTCGACTCAGTTATGTTGTCTCGTCATAATGTCACATAATTTCTGAATGAATGAATGAGTGCCCTTATTTCAATCAACGAATTGCTGGCCCCTGAACTTGTGACTGATTTGAAAGCTTAAAAAAGATGGGAGTTCATAAGCAATAATTTTACAAAGAAAATTGTAGTAAGGCATTTTGGTCGGTATCATGTATTCAATGCAGCTCAACAAACACATAACACCAACCAGTCAACAAGGTCCCTCGTTCTGAATGATGAAGATAATAGATCTATAATATTCAGATCTCAAACCAGATTATTTAACTTTATATCGCCAGGATTTATACCCACCATGACAGAACAAGATGAAAACGACAAGATGAGATTTTTGAGGTTAGAAATTTAGTGTTGAGATGAGTGTAGGTGCATTAGACCAACAAGAGAAAGTAGCTCAACAAAATCCTATGAAAACAACGAGAAAATAGCGAGGGTTATTATTGGTGGTCTGCAGTTCTAGTATAATTGTCATCTCTCTTTTTTGGTCTTTAATAATCCTTTATTGGTTCTTTTTATGGAAATGTACTAAATAATGACGGTTGATTTGAAGTTGCACATGTTTTATTATGAAACCTCACTTTCAACTTGATGATCTATGATCAGTTACTTACAGACAACAGACAGACAGTGCAAGTAACTGGTTGGGAACCATAAATAAATCATTTCAGATTTAATTAGACATATAATTAAGCCTAGAAGAAGACCTCCGTCACCACACCCCACCACCATCTTTTAGAGACAGACGCACCCATCAAACTATTTAATTAACATAAAATGACCCACAGTACACGACGACAAAGGAACAATTGATGAGTATGTCTTTATTATCTTGATGAACTATATTTGTAGGTGTTTTAAAACGTGTTCTCAAATTTTGTACATTCAATATTTTAGTAACTTGTTACTCTTTTCATTATTGCGTACGTGTTGTAGCGATCAATTTACTTTTCGCCGAAACGTTTATGAAATAAATCGTGTTGTGGTTTCAAAAATGTGTTGTCAATCATTATTGAAAATTTATCAATTGCATTATTAATTTATATTGGGAACATTGTTGGACTCTTTTACATGAAAAAGTCCTTCCGATTAATAAACAATCCACCAAATGCATGTCACAACAAAAATGAGACAACTGGGTGTGAAATTTGAGTGGGAAGAGCAAATCCTAGGTCTTTCTTTTCATAAATTCGACACTTTTTCCTGCATCTGAATTCAACTATTCCTACGAACTAACTAATTAAGCTGTAATTAAGTTTATATGTGATACGATTACCCTCGCTCTCGCATTTGCTTTTGTGCAGCTGCGCTAACTTGGTGTCATCAGTTGTCAGTAGGCTCAAGTCAAATTGTTAATTATTCCAATCCAATTCACAATTCAACCCAATTTTTATAAAATATAATATAAAATGCTTCCCACGCGTGTTTCTCGGTTGGCACAACCGGTGGTTCAACGAAACGTAAGTATTATTGTAGAATATTAAATTACTGTATATGCATTTAGTAACACTGTCACCTATTTTTGTCAAATTCGAAATCACAAATCAAAATGTGTTTCTTTCTTAAGTAGTTAAGAATCCTACTCAAGATTCTAAGCTTCATTTTATGGCGTATTGTGTATTGGAGTAGAACTTTTGTTTGACCAAAACTCATTTTAATTTTGGCTATTTTACTTTGCATTGCTAATAATGGGATATATAAAAACCAGTATGCTACATGGAACAAGGTGAGCATAATTTCGACTCATCATCTCGTGCTTTTCATTACCAATTACTTCATGGATTATGAAAAGAATCAGCTCATAGTTATTCAATTATCCATATGCAAAACATTCAAATTAGGTTATCCATTCAAAGTTTAAGATCCTCATTTCATTATTTTGCAGCTCTGGTCAAAATCCCTCTCCACCGAAGCAACCTTTGAAGTTAAACCTTGTAAATTACACAAGCTGGATTCCGGTCCAGCGACGAGTGTTACAGTTACTAGAGACGAGGCTATGTTAATGTAAGCCTACTATCTAACTGACATTTTTTAATTCGTTTATTTCGTTTACAGGCGTGATAGTTGATATTATACGATTGATTAATTGCAGGTATACACAGATGCAAGTTATCCGTAGAATGGAAACTAGTGCGTCAGCTTTGTACAAGGAAAAGGCCATTCGAGGATTTTGTCATTTATATTCTGGTCAGGTAAGAGACGATAGAGCCAAAAAAATGTTAACGTCAACTGTGCCGACCAATATATTTAATGCTGTAATTATTTTCCTAATGTATGACAGGAAGCGGTAGCTGTTGGGATGAGGGCTTCTCTTACCAATGTGGACTCTGTTATCACAGCCTACAGGTGTGTTTTCTCGTTCTTTGATGCTCCTGCTTTTGAATATTGTTGAATTTAAATACCTTTACAAGTACCATACTAATCTTTGAATAGAGCTCATGGCTGGACCTACCTTATGGGAGTGTCTCCGTTTAGTGTTCTGGCTGAATTGTTGGGACGCAAATCAGGCTGCGCTCGAGGAAAAGGTGGTTCCATGCACATGTACTCCAAAAACTTTTATGGAGGCAATGGCATTGTTGGTGCTCAGGTTTGACAATTATTACACGGCACACGTGTTTCTTCATACAAATAACCTTTTACAAAATCAATGATTCTGTAGGTTCCAATAGGAGCTGGGTTAGCTTTAGCTCATAAATATAAAGGAGATGGGGGTGTAAATGTGGCACTTTACGGCGATGGAGCAGCAAACCAAGGACAAGTTTTTGAGGTATACATATATTACAATGATAGCATTACAGACCCTCTGTGGCTTTTACATTAATTTAAGGTAGTTTAAATGTAATTACGAATATTTATATATATATTTGTATCCTTTATATTTATATGTAGGCATACAACATGGCAAAGTTATGGAACCTTCCTTCCATTTTCGTATGTGAAAACAACGGGTATGGAATGGGGACTTCGGCTGAAAGAGCGAGCGCTAATGTTAGTAATAATAATAATTTTGAGTTATTATTGTATTTCTCTTTCATACTAATTTACTTGCGCACAATTGATAGGTGAATTATTATCAACGTGGAGAATATGTTCCTGGTTTGTGGGTAAGAGTCTTAAAATATTTAATACATGTATAGTTACGCAATAAAATACATTGTGTACCCTACAAACCCTACAAATCCTAACAAGACTATGACATTAAATCATGTCACTCGTAGGCTGATGGTATGGACGTCTTGGCAATGAGAGAAGCAACTAGATTTGCAAGGAAGTACGCATCAGAACATGGCCCTATTGTGATGGAAGCAGCAACATATAGGTAACTTGAGATAACTGTATTTTATGTTTGTATTTTATGTTTAGTTTTAATAAATATCAATTGGTAATTTTTAAAAACATGTCTAGGTTAGAAGGAATGCATTCAACCTTCATAAACAATATAATGTGATGACAATGATGTCACGCTATTATTATTTCAGATACCACGGTCACTCTATGTCAGATCCTGGAACATCGTACCGAACGAGAGAAGAGATTCAAGAAGTCAGGCAAAGTAGGGATCCCATCACTCACTTCAAAGAACGAATTGTTGAAGCCAACCTTGCAACAGCAGATGAATTAAAGGTTCATAAGAAATATCATATATATACGTATCGAGATTATGGGAAATTCGTACTGTTTGGTTTTGCTAAGTAATTTTGTTTTAATTTGCAGCAAATTGATTTGAAGATTAGAGAAGATATTGACAAAGCCACCAAGGAGGCAAAAGCTGACCCTGAAATTAGTTTAGAAGAATTGGCCGGTGACATTTATGCTCTTAATCTGGAACCCACGATAAGAGGATTAGTATCAGGGGAAACCGTCAAGCATGTCAATATCGGCCCCCAAGTTAACGCGTAAAAGTAAATGTAAAACCAACTAGTAAATAGTTAGCTTTACTATCTATGTGAATAACAAGATAGCTATTCGACCCATCATTTAATCATTTAGGCAATCAATCTTTATGATTATATATGTGGCGACTGAATAAATTACGTCCGCATGCAATAAAATACATAATGTGCATTTTGTTTTTCATAAGAATTTATAGAGAAGCGTATAAATAAAAGTAACAAATTATGGGGAGTAGCGATACACGTGCACCCCGCGAGCAGGCTCTACTCTCTCCTACTCTACTGTTTTTTTTAGTCCGGTGATTTTTGTGGTTGTTTGTTAGTAATTCTCAGAACTACTATAAATTACAGTCTGTAGTTGCGAAAATTACTGAAAATGCGTCCAGGCGCTCTAGAAAATGGGTTTGGATTTGGTGAACCTGAGCTGGACGCAAATTCTGCTCTCACAGAATTAGATAAAGGTATTAACTATTGATTTCATACAACGAAACTCAAATTAATGTTCTGTGATGTTTAAATTGTTAATTTTAAATATATTAATTAGGTTTGAGATCCACAAAACTTGGAGAGCAAGTTGAATCAATCGTCCGCTTTCCAGCTCTATTCGAACGTTATCCATTCCCCATTTTGATCAACTCGGCCTTTCTAAAAGTTTGCCAATTTTCATATTTTACTTTGAACTAATTATTAAGGTGCATGAGTCGAATGTATTGTTACTGATTTATTGAATTTTATTTCCAAAAGTTGGCTGACGTATTTCGTACCGGCTCCAACTTTTTGAGGCTGTGGGTCTTGAGGGTTTGCCAACAGAGTGAACGGCATTTGGACAAGATACTGAACGTCGACGAGTTTATACGAAGAATATTTAGCGTGATTTACGCAAATGATCCAATTGCTCGAGCTCTCACCTTAAGAACTTTGGGCAGCTTGGGTGGACTCATTCCCGAAAAGAAGAAGGTCCATCACAGTATTAGAGTAGCTCTAGATTCTAATGATAAGGTGGAAGTGTCCGCCGCAATATGTGCTGCATCGTCTTTCGCGCAAAAATCCAAGTAAGCAATTATATTTCACATTTGCATGTTGCTGTCAAAATTTGTAATTTTGGTATATTTAATTTTGTAAATAAATAGGACGTTTGGAACTACAATGTGCATGAAGATTGCATCAATGGTACAACGACTATCGACTCCAATCGATCTAAAATTGAGGCTGATCCCAATATTTCAACATATGCATCATGAGGTTCAAACTGCGTCAATGGTATGTCATTACTTACTGACATTGACTATTGTCAATTGAATTACAATTTTATTTAGGTCCGTAAATTGTGTCTGGATCTTTTGTTAAATTATCCCTCTCAACAATTTGTAATTACCATTTTGCACACGTTAACACAATTGGCTGCTGCAACTATTACTGATTTGACCGAGCAGGTTTGAAACAATTGGATTTATAAAATAAATAAATATTTTATCTACTTATGTGATAAACAAATGTAAACATATTTTGTATCAAATATACGGTGTGAATAGGTTGCATTCTTACTAACGTATTTGGAAGATTCAAGACCCCTGGTGAAGATCAATGTTCTGAAGGACTTAAAGTTTTTGGGGGAGAAAGGTGGCCATTTATGGGATCCAAACCATGTGTCTGCTTTGATAGACTGCATTGTGAAAGACAACAATCATACGAGTAACAACGGCAATAACGATGATGACGCGATGGAAATTGATCATCCGGTGGACTGTGATCTTCTTGATGCCCAGATTGTTCACATTGCGTTTGACGTTATTCACAGTCTAACATCCTCTTCAGCAATTCTACCCTTTGTAAACGCTCAAAGTAATTGATAAAATTTATTACAACAACACTAGGTCACTAACCTTAAGGTCAGTGCATTTGGGTTCAATTTGTCAAATTCAATTTGTTATTATTATTTTTGCAGACTCTTCATTACGGCAATTGTTGCAGACAAACATTCATTCGTCAGACATTATTTCTGCATTGAAAGCGATCCAGATTACTACTGATCTGGCTATTAACTGGTATGAACTAATTCATGGATAGTGTTATAGATTATTCATATTTAATAATTTCTCATTGTTGGGTTTGGGAGAATTAATTATAACGTTTTGCAGGTGGGGCAATCCAACAGAAACGTGTTGTACAAACCTTGTAGATATGGCATCCAGTGGAATCGAATCACTACTGATATCTCTGTGTTCTCAAACAAAAGAAGATTTAGCTGAGGAAAGGTTCAGAAATGAAGTGTTTTTAGATTTAGAAAAGTGTTTAGCTTGTGGCGTCCTTCTAACAAAGGCAGACATGTCCAAATGTGAATGGCTGTGCAGAATATTAATTCAACTGTTTAAGTTGCCTGCAATTGCAGGTACAATTTTTTTAACCTTGCCAATAATACTAAATGTGTATGCACTTATAAATTCAAATTAAGTGTTTTATCATGTCTTACTACTCATTAGGGCGGAGCAAAAATTTAATCGTTCAAGCTATTGGATCAATCGGCAGTATTGATATTGAGTCCGTCATGAAAGTTTTACCCGACATCTTAACAATATTAAAAAGAATGGACTCACAAGCTATTAACAATGAGAATTGCACTGTGGTAAGAAGGCAATCAATCTATGTTTTTTTCCGGCCTCCATTTGTTTTAATTTTAATTGAATTGCAGGCAACATTAGTTGGAATTATTTTTCAAGCTCATCAAGGGCAAACACTCACTGCTAAAACTATGCTTACTCTTCAGTCTACAATGAAACTTTCCAATTTGTGGTTAGCGTATCGGATGGCTCGAAATTCTCTGAGGTAATTAAATAGTTGTTAAGAAAAAATGAAATCAGTATTTATATATACAACCCAATATTTACTTATTTGCTAACTTATAAAATTGTCCTTTTTTCCTGTGTTTTTAGATATTCCCAACCAGAAACTGCAGTAACTGCTTTTGCTGCCATGAAGTCAGAAGTATGTTCAGAAAATTTTCATTATTGGCTTTCGGCTCTGCATAGCATAGCAAGTGCTGAACACATTCTTAGTGATAATAAGACGATCCCAAGGTTAATTCCCCGAATAAATCAAGCGAGTAATTTGTACTTACAAGGTGTCGCTACTGTTAAGGTAGTATCCCATTAATTAATATACTAATTTACTCGTTAAATGTGTTTAATAAGAATGTCATGATATGACTGATATTTCGTTTTGTTGATTTCAACATATAGGCGGCCAGTTCACCTTCAAGTTCTTTATTGTTTCAAATTGAATATTTGAGATTGAGATCAGAAATGTTGGTAGCATTTTCCAATTTCCTAGTCTCCTGTAATACCCTCCAACTCTCTCCACCTGCTGAAATTGCATCGACTGTAGCCACAGTTATGCGAGACGAATTATTAAAATCTGGTCGTATTGTTACTCAGGTATTCTATTTCAAGGGCTGAGGAACCGTGGGGACATCGGGTACAATTTCCCCATAAATATGAATTTCCCTCTATTTGAAAGGTTTTTAAATGTTAACTCCCCCCTTTGCTACCCTACAATGCTATTGTCCTCACAATGTCCCCACGGTTCCGCAACCTATGTTCTATTTTGATTGATTACAATTACACATACATATAACAATACGTACTATATTTCAAATTTTTAATGATGTATATATTTCAGCTGAGAAAATGTATAAGAGAATTTCAAAATATCAGTGAACTGTATGGAAAATTATACCAAACCGCCTTTGATGCTGACAATGATAGTTTACTAAATATACAAATGTATGATGACTAATTTCTGTTGAAATTATAAATTGATAAAGTGAATCATAATTAATCGAAAGTAATTTTCAGTTTGCAGCAGCTTTGCCGACTTGTGGCAAGATCGATTGAGAGACAAGTTGTCTCTCGAGATCATCCCTCATGTTCTGATGACGATCAGTCCATTCACTTTTTTTCTGAAATGAATTATGTTAATAGTGGCAACTCATGGACCTTGATTCTATCGTGTAAAAAGGCAATTAATGTTCTACAAACAATGAAAAAATTGCCGACACAAATGGTCACTTATCAAGTAAGTTTAAAATCTAACAATGCATATGCATATTTATAATTCATAGAACAACAATTCAAACAGTCGAAATTTGCATAAAATGCATGAATATTTTTTTTAATTCGTAAATGATAGAACATCGAATGTCTAAGACAACTTGTTCAAGTAATCATTGAATCGCCGTTGCCGTATCCGAGATTTTTCTTTCAAACATTACAAATCACCAGAGTAAAGGTACTACTCAATATTGTCTTAAAAATGTGTAAAAAATTAATGATAATACTTCACGTTAGCATCGCATCGCGTAAAATTCAGGACCTTGATACGTATCTATTGTGATATGCAGATTGCTGTTAGTCCGCAACCTAGGAAGGCTGGAGAAGCTGTGACAATAATGCATGGAAACAATCTTGCTCTAAAAGTGGAAGGAGTTATTCAGCAAAACAGTTCCAACTCGGATGACTCTCGTCCCGGAATTAAGGTGTTTAGAAAACCTAAAGCAATAAGAATTACTGTAATTTCAACACCTTTGCTGAACCCGCGTATCCATTTAATGGACCCCATGAAGGTAAGAAAAGAAAAGAAAATTAATTAAATTAATCCCAGTTACGAATAATAATTGTCTAGCATAGCGGTTACTTAATAATATAAATACATTCATAATAAATAACAACGTATAATGATTTAGCTGCCACAAGAGACGATTACACTGTCAAAGGATGTTACTCCACACAGGGACTATTTCCAAGCACAGTTTTTGCTTTTGGTGGCAGCTGGATTGACTAGCGTTACAGTGGACACTTCTCTTGTTGACTATGAAGGGAGAGTTTGGATAACCGGACCAAAGGCAGTATTGTCTGTACGTGTGTTGGACGAAACAGGCATGTCAGGAAAACCAACTGCAACGTCCATTCCTGGTCCTGGTCCATCGACGAGACCCATGAATCTTGGAGGATCAGGGCCAGGGGGTTCCTTAATTATGCCTCCAAGATATTAATAAGTTACGACGTTTTACACTGTTCATTGTTTTTTTATTTGCCGAAATTTTTATAATATTAATTACACTGTTTCATAAAATGTGAAACTGTATACATACTTACATATATCACAGAAAAACATGTTTTCATACAAACAGTTAACATCTATACAGATACATTCATAGGTGTAAATGTAACTATATATAAAATAAAACTTTTAAATTTACCGTAATGTATCAATCGTCTTTATTTTAAAGTTTAAAATATTCTTATTTCTCGTCAGAGAATTTAAAATCTGTCTTTCCACCAGATTTTTTGAGCAAATGAATGTCTTTAATGATAATTTGGTGATCTATAGCTTTACACATATCATAAACTGTTAGAGCCGCTGAAAAAAGGAAATAAGTGACAAAAACTATGAAAATATAAGTGAAAATATATATTTTTATAGATAATTTAATTCTCAGTTGGCTACCGGATTTATTATTGTTAACAGTATCCAACTGAATCCGGGCCCTTCTATTTACGCCAAAGAAGAATAGACTGAGGCAAAATTATATACGTATATTCTGAGGATTCAGATTTGCAAGACATATCTGATGTAGATTCGCCACCCATTTCACCATCTCCACCACACCCAGATTAATTGTAAGTTTTTAAAATTGGACATATATGTGTATTTTTATGAACTGTTGATAATAATAAATCCGGTATCCAACTGAGAATTAACACAATACCTATGCATGCACCAGTTAAAGCTTCCATTTCTACTCCAGTGTTGGACGTTGTTTTTGCTAGCGTTCGAATTCTAATTCCCTTTTGTTCGAATTCTAAAGTTAGTTGGACGTCGACTTTGCTTATCGGAAGGGGATGGCACAGGGGGATTAAGTTTGACGTCTGTTTTGCCCCCATGATTCCTGCTATTTGCGCAATCGTTAACACATCCCCCTTCTTCAACTTGGAATCAACGACGGCTTGAAATGCTAGGTCACTCAGAAGAACAAGGGCCTCGGCTTCTGCCTCCCTTGTCGTAATTTGCTTATTAGTTACATCTACCATTTTGACTCTTCCTTGTGCGTCGACGTGACTTAGCTCTTTCGAATATGAGTTTGACGAGGACGTTTGGAAAAGTCGTGCATGGTTCTGATAATTGTAAAATGAACCAGATGCTTGTTGGTAATGATTCATTGCAGTAATTGGAATAATATTACGTTGGGTTAATTGTAAATTGTCAAGTCTTCTCTTTGGGGTTACATGTCTCTTTGTCATAGGTCTAAATTTTGCATGGTCTGAAATTAACATTATTTTTAAAATTAACGTGGACTCGAATCCATAGCCTTTATACAAATCCATTTTATGACGGATATCACCATTATAGGAGAATGCATGAGAGCATAGGAGAGGTTAAAGGATTACCCACCAATGAGGATCATTGGCCGATTTTTCATGCTTGATAAGTTCATCATTCCTGAAATGTTTCATAGTTTGAGCATTTAAGGAAATTAAAGTGGTGGGGTCCAATTATGTTGTGGTATAACAAATTAGATTTAATCAAATCTAACCAACCTGCATGTCTTGGATGCTTTCTTCCTACTGCCTGTCCAATCAGATTTAGCAAATCCTCTTCCGAAATTCCACTTCTTAGGGCATCTCTTATGGAAATTTCTGCATTTCCAAACAGACAAACCTTCAAGTTGCCGTCCGCAGTTATTCTTAAACGATTGCATCCTCCGCAAAAGTGTTCCGACATTGAAGTAATGAACCCCACTTGGCCAACATGACCCGGAATTTTGTAAGCCTGAGGATGTGTACACATACGCATTTAAACTATTTGTATATGTAATAGGTCAGATATGTGGTTTATTTGTGCTATATGTATGTGTTACTTTAGAAGTGTGCGTCACTGGATCTTCGAGCTTTGAAAAGTTGGGATAGCGTGACTGAATCATTTCCACCATGTCCTTGTACTGAAAGAAAAATGAGTATAGCGTTAAACTCTTAATTACTGTTACGGGAGTACGGAACCGCTAGATGAGAAAGCCAGTAGGAAGTTAGGAAGAATTTAACTACATGAACAAGAAAATAAAAATAGTGACTAAAATGAATTTGATTATTTACCGCAACCATACGACTCAAATCCCATTTATTTCCGGTGAAAGGCATGTATTCAATGAAACGAACGTCTAAATGTCGATCTTTTGTCAATTCTACAAAATCACAGATTTCGTCATCATTTACACCCCCTTGAACCACACAATTGATTTTCAGTGGATGATATCCCATCAGCTCGGCCATCTCAATTCCTACCGGCGGAATAAGATTGGTATTAATCAAAACATAAGATAGGTGTACATAGATAAAATAAATAACTACCTTTCCAAACTTTGAACCAAGCGCTTGCAGGACGACGAGATATCTTTTCGAATTTCTTTGGAATCAATGTATCCAAACTGACGTTTATTGATGTCACACCACTTGATCTGCAAATATACACATGTTTTTTAATGAGCTTCGTGATGTTAGATACATACAAACTATGTACATCATAATATGTATCTTACTTCAATTCTGGCATTAATCGTGCCAGTAAAATTCCATTTGTCGTAATTCCAATGGATTTGAGATTAAGTTCCGAAATTTGACCTGTGACCATAAAACGTACGCATGTTATTACATATTTAATATAAAGACGCGGTGGCGTTGAGGTTGACGAAGACAATTATTAGCGAATAAAGATTATCACTATAATTAATGGATAGATTCATTAAATTTACCAAGTATAGAGGGCAAATCCTTCCGCTATAAAACATTATATAATTCAGTATTAAGTATATGCATACAGTACATGTTCTCTTATGCACATGAATAAGTGATCATTTTTCGAATTCACTGGTAATGCTTACGAACGTTAAAAATTCGATAACTCAAGAGTTAGAAATGCTTACCAAAAGCGGTTCCCCTCCAGTAAACCTAATTTTGTCGACGCCTTGTTGAACAAATGTTTTTGCTACTCGGACTATCTCTGCGGCAGATAACAGTTTTTGAGACGGTGTCAACGGGACTCCTTCTACATGGATGCAATAAAAATGAATAAATAGTACTAATAAGTAATTGGAATTAATTAATTGTTAAACTCTGCGGCAGAATTGGAAGTAAATATATGCAAAGTCCGTGTATTATAGGCACTGGCCTTTGTCTAACTACTTGTGGCACTCAAAATAACTCAACTGATTTAAATAAATTAGAAGTATTCAAAAATAACGACTTTGACAAAAAAGCGATGCTATCTACATTTATAGATGTTCACTGACCAATCGTACTTACCTTCGGGCATGCAATAGGTACCTTTCAGACAAATAATAAAAAGTCAGAATATCAGAATTGATATGGCTAAAATTATTTCTAGCTACATGTTTCATACGTACATCTCAAATTGCACCGTTCCGTCACAGATATCCTCAGGTAATTGTGCTGCCGTCCATGCTTATCTGTCAAAAATGCAGAGAATGGCAAAAACTCCTCTTTCTCTCGCGTGGGTCGTGTTTTGGGAATTATGTTTGCTGCCTGTAATCAGAGATCCATAAGTAAATCATGCAAGAAGTTTCTATTGTATAAAGCCAAAGCCACTAAATAAAACTATTCATTCCATAAGATTCTTCACTCTTCTCTGAAAATCGTGTGAGAGATGCAATTTGCATCTCGCAGTTTGCAGCATGCAAACTATATTTATACGATGATTATGCCATAATCATTATGGACTCATTGAATATGAGATGAACTACTGGAATCGTACTAATAATCCTAAGTGCAGATATGTGACCCTCTCATGCTTTGGATATACGTATCGTATCGTAATTATTCGTAATCCAATCTATGGGCACATTTATCACCGTTCGCAGTTCGATTTATACTTTACATGTGTATCTTGCGAATCATGTTTTTTAAGAAAGTAGCAGGAAGTCTAGTTTCTCCGCTGAACTTTCTCCTCGATCAATCCAATCCGTAGGGAAATCTGGAGATACGTGATATGTAGTGGAGGAGATTGAGATATTTGTATTCACTGCAAATCATCTAGTAACACCCAACCATCGTATGTCCAGAAATTCTACTCATATAATGCGCATAGTTTAGATAATGTATAATTAGAACTGAGTAATTAACATATTTCATAAATTTAATAGCAGTGAATTTTACAAAGCTAGCACTTGTTTGAACACTGTTTGTTAATTGGATATAGTGCATCGCGTGTCGTTGCTAAACTAAAAATTTGGTGTTTTTGTGATAAATTGAGAAGAAAAAACACTTGTAAAACTTACTTTTGAAGACAATTGTCGAAATTTACATGTTCCAGCATTTCCAATTAATGTGGTCGGTGAAAGGCCAAACACGACGAAGGTAAGGGGCTTCAACATTGTGACTAAATGATGAGAAATGTTTTTGAAGACTGGAGATTTCTAACTTTGAGGAATTTAGTACATTAATTAAAATGTTATAAACTGTTTTATTCAGCCGTAGATGTGCGGATCTTCTATAAATTAACCTGTTTCATCACGTGCCTTTCGTAGTTTTTTTAGTCAATCACCACACAATCAGTATAGACTTCTGGTCCGAATAGCTTTTAATTGTCTATTGTCTTATACGCATACAGGAGGCATAATGCGATATATTGTGAGCACCAGCACATAGTTCAGGTTGGAAGACGTTGAATATTTATTAACAAGTCAATTGATCTTCCTACTATAAGCGAATAACGAATTTACCATTGATAGGTCATATATATGAGTTTCTCATAATAAGATGCATTGATTCTGATTCTCTGCCCATAATCTTGTACACTATTAATCTGTATGTATGAGGGTGATGTGTATATAATATTATAAGGTAGAGACGAGTTGTTCCATTTATGCATGACCTTGAATCGTTTAGTTAGTTGTCATGTCTAGTATTTGGGGCCTTGCTTGTAATCAATCAGGATGACCCCCTGGATTTTGCAATATTGAATTTTTGCATTTATAAGTTTTAAAACAAGTTCAATTTCTACACAGTTTATGAAATTCCTTGCTATCAGGTTAGATTATAAAGAAAATTCTGGGTGAATACCATAATTCCATAATGTTATAGAAGCCGAATGACTTATTATTCGGGTAACAATTAGTAGATATGTGTAAATAAGCGACGAGATTAATTCATGTCCGGAAACAAAAGAAAATTTGAGCAGTATGCAAGTTTATACACAGATTGAATAATTACGATCATGTTACTATACGCTATTCCCCATATATAAATTCTTTATTCTGACAAGAATTCTTATTTGTGAGAATGAGCCGTTAAATAGAAGGCGTGTGCATGTGCGTGTACCATGAGTTAACTAAATGAAATGTGCTTATGTAAAGTGAGAGTTGGCAATTTGTACCACAGAGAATGTTTTGTATGGTGTAATATCTGTAATATAAATTCTCATATTCACCACGTTGTAGCAAATGTCTGATATTGGACGGATGAAAAGTTAAACTACAGGATAGTGCAAATATTTATTGTGCAGCACTAAAAATATATTTTGTGGACTGTTCGCTGAGATTCGTTATTGCAATATTTGTGTAAATGGATAGTTTTGTGCAACTTACACAAAAGTAAGTCTCGTCTTGATCTACTTGTCCCTTCACTTAAGTAACTTCCTTTCTACTCTCAAGTCTCACACATATTTTTAGCTATTATGGCACAATTATTCTACTAAGTAAGAATAGATATGTAGGTGAGAAATATGTCACAAAATTTGGTTCACATTCGATTAATTCTGTAATATGAGACGTCGTTCATCGTTTTAAGTCGACAATATTAACGTTATCTATTGTTTTTTGTTGTTGTTAATCCAGGCAGTCTCAACTGGATGAATCAAATGATGATGCTGCCTACAACATTTTTATAGTGCTAAAATTGAGATACGTATGAATATCCTTTAATGGACATAGTAACTATAATATGCAGTTGCAAATACGGGAAAACTTATCCAGGTAACTTTCAGTTCTGTTATATAGAATCTGTACGTTAAAAATGTGTACAATCACGAATCAACCAAATAGATACATATATTCAGAAAAATAACCAAACCAAATATATTACTTTTTCAGTGTGCAAAAATATGTCGAATAAATCGGAAATACGACTGACACAAGACTCCTGGATGATGAAGATTTCTAAGATTTAGAAATGTGTTAATACAAATTCCTATACTAGCGGAATTAATATTACTGGGGTTACAATACAGATTATAATGGTCACCAGTAGAATAGGTGGTGATCGGTACAGAAAGCTTATTGTTAGTAAACGCTTGGATGTTATTTCACGTCGTTTGCTAATCATCATAAATCACTTTGAAGTTCCTTTAACAGAATACTCTCTAAACAATCATGTTGCCAAAGACAGTCGCACATTTGGTCATCTTCATACTATTACTTAACGGTGGTGACACCCTTCACCTCCAAGGTAAATATGTAGATAAAGAATATCGGAGAACGTCTAGGAAGTCTTATCCAAATAAAACACATAATATGTTTGCTTTTAAGGAACTTGGGAAACTGGGAGTTTCTTCCTCTTTCTGACAAAATTTGGCTTCCAGGTACTACTTTGTTACTAATAATTATTATAGTGGACATATTCTAAAGCAACAATTCAATCAATTGCACCACTTCATATGATATCGATTTACTTTGATACTATATGTATATATTCCAGAAAACTGAACTGAGCAACAAGAATGATACACAAGGATACATTTTCGGTAATATTACGAGTGCCAAAGATGGAACTTGGGTGGTAACGCCACCCCCACCAGCAAGAAGGCTGGTGAAACGTGAGAAGGGTAATGATGCTGATCTATTAACAAAGAAATTATCCAGCACCCTGAAACCGTCAACCGTTCCCATTGCTAAGCCATCTTCGATAATAATTTCTAGTAGTAGTACGAGTAGTAGTAAAAATAGTGCAACTTTATCAACCAAGAAACCTGAAAATTTGCTCAACATAAGTCAAAACTCAATATTAAGCTATTCTTCCACATCCCCCAAACCATCGTCAACGAAAGGAGAAAGCAAACGCCCAAGCGGTGGTAGTAGTAGTACAACGACAACAACAACGAAAAAAACTGTACCGACAACTACGGAACCGATCAAAGTTTTTCCAGCAACCTTGGTTGTTCTTGACAGAGGATATTTTGTAGACTTTTATCGGAACCGCAACAATCCAGACCGGGATGAAGCATGTCGACTCATGTTTGAACACATTTCTCACGTTGCTTATGACTCGCGATGTTACAAGGATGGAACCGAACGCTTCTTGAAGCGAATTCCTTGTCCTCGAGGAGAGTTGTGTGCGGATGATAAATCCAATACGAGCTATGTGGTCAAAGACCATCAGTTCACGTATGCTATCTCTGATCCGAACCAGCCAAAGTAATTGCCATATATTTCTTTTATACCATGTATACCATGTATACCAAGCATACCATGTATTAAAGAAATAACATATAACTTTTTCCGATGCTCAATTACTTCAGGTTCTGGTATATAAGCCTCGTAGCGTGCTATAGAGACCCTGTCACTTGTGAGTGGAAACACAGCGGAAATGCCATATCTGTTGATTATGACATTTGGCTAGTGAATGGGAATCCATACACCAAAAATCAAAATCCACTGGAATACCAGTTTTCTTTTGATCGACAGGTTTGCAAATAATAAGTTTCAGAAATCATAATCGGAATAATATGTATGCTTATATGATGCACTTTCATTGGATCTTTTGTATTTGCTGTAGGACACGGTAGAAATTTACGTGGTATTTTTCATCTGCTACTTGGTATTGTTTCCCCTCCAAGTGCACGCCGTATTACGTCAAAGGCACATAGTGCCTAGACTATTCACCGGAAGCGTGGTTCTAGAATTGTTGGCAGTTCTTGCAAATGTCATTCATGTCCTTCAATTCACATCAAATGGAGTTGGACATCCTTCTCTCGCTGCGTTTGGCGACATTATGGACATCGCCGCTAGGGTATTGTGTTCTCTCATACATTTTTATAACTATGAGCAGTTGCAAATTTCTGAAATTTACAACAAAACTAACAAATGTGTTGTTCTTTGTAGGCGGTCTTTATGCTAATTTTACTTGTGTTAGCGAAAGGGTGGGCAGTAACTCGGACAGAATTGACTAGTAAATTGTTTATCTTCACCATTTGGACACTTTATGGCGTAGTTCATATTTTATTGTATGTTTGGAAAGAGGTAATCCTTAACGGTTTGAAATGACATCATACCAAACGATGCTTTTCCCAATTGAAAATCATGTTTTTTTGTTATTTAGACGGAAGTGGATGTTATATTTGACATAGACGAATATCAAACTTGGCCTGGATGGCTTATCCTTGTTCTGCGTAACATTATTATGATTTGGTTTCTATACGAGCTCAAAGACACTATGGATCATGAGCATCAACCTCACAAACTAAACTTTTTCTTGCATTTTGCTGCTGCGTCTTTGGTGTGGTTCATATACTTGCCCATTATTGCACTAATTGCTCTACAAGTTACCCCCTTATGGAGATCGAAATTGATTTTGGGTAATAGTTCTATTTTTAATAGAGAAATCCTGTTAACAAAGTAAATTGATATAAATTCTCGGGTTATGCTTTACTTGCAGGCATCACTTTCTCTTTTGATTTTTTGGCCTTTGCTGTGATGTCACATTTACTGTGGCCTACCCGGAGCCAACAGTACTTCCTACTAACTGCCAAAGACATTTCGTTAAATGACGAACTGGACGTATTCAACCACGCGCCCCATGTCGTTAACAGTCGTCGTTCTAACCTCCGGCAACCGGGATTTTTCAGCAGCAGGGGGTCAGATTCACTGGCTCGCAATCATTTCAATGGCCATGAAAATGGCCTTAGCGGTTCCGCTAATACGTATGACGATTACAAAGATAATACACCGTTGATAATCACATAGAAGAAAGTAAGAAAAATAGGCAACAAGCCTTGCGATACATGGAATCTAGTCCCAAAGTCCATAATTGCAATATTATAAGTATATAGTACTAGTTGATGACATATTATACGATGTTCTGACGCATGTAAGAATTAAACGGCAGACATTTTCATTATTGCGTCCAAAATATCCGTCAATCAGTTTTTATCTATTTGGATTCATTAGCTGATTGAGTATGGGACTCTAATAAATTTGTTATTCCAAAGCGGTATTATAAGGAATTTATATATATATATAGGCCGACTGACGAAGATGCCAAATTACAACGAAGCTCACTAAAATCTGAAACATATACCCATAACTAGAATAAAAACTGCAGACTATTTAAAATATACGAAGAAAGTAAATAAATTTTGCTGCGTCTTAAACTTATGCATTCTATTCAAATTCAAAGTGAGATAAATCATGTGTGAATATCATTGATGTGAAACCAGAACGTACTTACTTAATAGATTAGAATTAGTCTAACATTTGTGATTTTATAATTTACATAGTTTTTTTGTCGCAATCGTGCTAATTAAGCAATTAGAATGAGCCTTCTTGTTTTAATAAATGAAGAGTTATATCGTGCTGCATTTTAATTACAAATTTTTATGCATCCAACTCTTTCTATACATATTTATTTTAGACAAAGAGCTTGCACTTAAATTGAAAACACTAATAGCATCACAACAATTTCAGGTGGCCTGTAATCTGATTAATTTCTGATACTGGTGCAGGTCCAAGGCCTAAAACAGTCATGGTGCCAGGAGCGACCTGCGATAACATTCGAACAATTTATTATAAATTCCTATACTATTATAAATTCAATTCTACAGGTGAAAACAAATACTCGATTGTAAAGAATTAGTTCTCTCACCTGAGTATGTCCTCCATCTCGAACGATGGCACAGACGATGTTTAGTTGCTTTGCCTGTTTTTCTAACGACTTTAAAGAATTCTCGTCTCCTTCAATTTTTACGCAAATTTTGGCAGCTCCTAAACATAAGCATGATAAGCCCTATATGAACATGTTTCACGTCTTAATGGCAAAATTGCAAGCTGCACCTCACCTGTGGCTTCCCATAGGTCCAAATTGTGACAGTCCATCACCATTGCTTTTTGGTAACACATAACTGCGGCATGGCTAAAATATTAAAGTTATGCATTATTCTTGACTTCTCTTTGGACATGGCATTCTTTGATTGAATAGATCTAACCAACACTGGGCCGCAATTTTCCCTTTGCCCATTCCCAAATCCGTTCTAACGACGAATATCATTTTATGATTCCGACCAAGGCCTTGGGCTCGAAGTGCAGTGAGGCGTGCGGCCCGTTGAAAAGTGTCCAAGCCTCCAGCACCTGATCCCCCAGCGTTCGACGAGGAACGTGTGCCCCAAAAAATAAATCGACGCAAGAGAGCCCCACTGACCAGACCAACACCAAAGATGACTGCCGCAGACCCCATTCCCAGACCGAAAAAGGTGGCAAAAGGTTTATCGTCCATGTATATGACTGGTGGCGATGTAGATTTATATATTTAACAAAATATTGTAGTTGTTGAAGATATTATGGAATATATGTAGTTGTAGAGTATGCAAAATATTTTCTGGTCAACTGGTGAAACTTTTAGTTGCTCGAAACTTGCGAATTCTTCTTATGGGTTTCTATACATAATCGGAAATCTGCTACTTGTTTCTGGCACTTTCTCCAATCCTTACATTCAGCAATGCACTCCTAAAAACATGTGAAAATGCAAGTTATCAAACCTATCCATATGCATGCATATCCTTAATTTTTTTATGAAACTTTGCCTACTTGAACAGAATAGTGTTTCTCTAAACACCCAGTTTTCTTCAACATTCGTTCAACGGGGTCGTCTAAATCCTCGTCGTCCTCGTTGTTCTGGACTACATCCGTCTTATGATTTTCAGTGTGTGCCATCAACCTTGTAAAAATTAGCAGATAAATGATCCGATACAATAAATGAGGTGAAAGTTGAAGGATGAGAAGAAAGGTAAAATGAGTTTTGCAGGAAAAGTTGGAGTTGGAACAAAAGTGCAAGTGGGATCTTCCCACACAATTCCTCTCTCGTCTGTCTCAACTTTCTTTTTGTTGGCAAATGCATCTAAATGTATGTAGACTCTACATTGTAGAGTATTTCTATTTATGTATGTGTATTTGACTATTTATAATATATACAGTACAGCTCTATGATTTGTACCGAATTCTATGAAATACTAACGTGGTAGCTCAGATGGCTGCTTAATAAGTCAAGTCATGAATGAGAAAACTCGTTGTTTTGAAATGTAAAGTACAAAATGCAGCGACTCAAAAATTTATTAATTAGGACACTTCAATAACGTTATTACGTACATTCTTAAAACCGTGCTTATACGAGTATCTACCTATTGGTTCAAGTGGTTTGTTTCATTGCAATATCCATGTACTTGCTCAAATCATAATGTTTACGGGTTTATGGGAGGAATGTAGAAAGCGGACCCAAGTCGTTTTTCATATGGAAAACATGAAAACTCTTCTTTCTTCAATTCATTACATATTTCTCATTGGTCTCAACACATAATTTGACGGGAAACAATAATATACAATTGTTGCGAAAAAAGTTGTATTTCTAATTTTCTTGGGAAAGTATTTTACATATTTTTAAAGCGAGTGTGGAAATTATTATGTATTGTGGCCTAAAATGGCTTATAAATCTAATCAACTAAACTATTAGCCCAAATAATAATGTAACAACTGTGAATCTATGCTACCATACTTAAATTTAGTTTATATCGCAAGATATTTGACAATCCAATCGCAATACGGTTGTACAATTAATAACCGATGACATGGCAAATTTTGAAAAAATGAATCACACCATCATCATATTACTTTATAGCCTATATGTTTTCTTAACAACAGCCTGACGATTTAGGCTCGATACTTGCTGGATTATTAATCTTCACTTTCCTGTCGTCTGCTTCCTGTATATACGGATTACACAAATAAATCAAATTAACCTTCTCAATCTGCCATGCCACACTCAATTGAAGAATACAAATAAAATTAACTATAAGCTTACATTATATTGGGGTCCAACTCTTGCTTTGATTTCTGAAGCCTGTAGAACACATTATTCGAGTAAGTTAATCATATATGATTTGGTAATACACGAATTAGCAATGTCACGTTTTTTCATAAATAAAAAAATAAATCAACTTTAATTACTGCGATTCACTCACCATAGTCATAAAAGCTTGCTCAACATTTGTCGCATTCTTGGCAGAGGTTTCCAAGAAAGGGATTCCTAAGCTATCAGCGAATTCCTAAGAAAAAAGACCAACAAATGGTTCTCAGAAAACATAAAGGACATAATCAAATAAACAACTAATCATATAATTTGAAAATATACCTTAGCAGTCTGATAATTGACGACTTTCTTAGATGTCAGGTCACATTTATTTCCGACAAGAAGTTTGTTCACATTTTCGCATGCATATCGATCAATTTCCTCCAACCACTGCTTCACATTGTTGAAGGACTCCAAATCCGTGCAGTCATATACAACAATGATCCCATGCGCTCCCCGATAATAGCTCGACGTGATGGTGCGAAATCGTTCTTGTCCAGCCGTATCCCACTAAAGATATATAGAAAAATTAGTACAATTAGTACAATAGATACTTATCGTATCAAGTAATAAGCAATAGTTACAAGTGGCTTACAATTTGAAGTTTGATAGTTTTTCCATCTAGCTCAATCGTTCGTATTTTCTAAAGCGTAAAATCAATTAAATATTTTCGTAAGTAAACTTTTTACGTATTTAGCATTTGCAACAAACTTACAAAGTCCACGCCGATGGTGCTGATGTAGCTATCTGTATACGTGTCATCCTAGTATAATAAGAAATCAAGTTATATCTAGTCCTACTTTCTGAGGATAAAATCATATTTTATTAATTTGTGCTGCTCTACTTACTGAAAACCTAAGCAGAAGACAACTTTTTCCAACTCCAGAGTCTCCAATAAGAAGAAGTTTAAACAGGTAATCGCTGAAAAATTGACAAAACGAGTTAGTATATTCAGTATTTTGTGCGGGGATTATGATAGATTGGTTTTGAAATGCCTCTTCTTTAAAAAATATTGCTTCCGTTTTATATTGTTCATTCTCCAGCCCACAGTAATGTGTGTAGTGACGAAAAGATAACTGAGAAATTATTTTTACGCCAGCATCGTGAATTGTATGCATTTTTTGCAAAAACAAATGAGTCACCATTTGTACATAGTCGAAATTCCTTAAATAAATTACTTCGTGTAAAATGCTCAAGATTGACAAGGATAAGCTGAATTTACTGTGCATTAAATGAAACAATTATTAAACATCACGATTGGATGACTCGTATCCTAAATTTAAGATAATAGTCTAATGTCACTGATCAGCTATATATAACTGTCTGTAAATTATTCCAATTCGTAAAATAACTATATAACACTTGAATAAATACATAAAGACCAAAATTATTTATAAAACAATGTCAAATACTGACTATGGACATGGCAAACTAATTTTGATTGAACCCCTTGAAAAGACTCCCAATTCCCATTTGCTCCCACCCATAAATTAAATAGAGTTAAATATTTTGAAACCAGAAACAGTAAATGATTTCTTTACTTACTAGTCAGCGTTCATTGTTGCCATCAATTGAGGAACAAACCCAGCAATAAAATATTATGACGACGATGAACTTTGAACGAAAAGAGTTTTGGTGAAAAGTTTCAAATGGGAGACACGGAAATAAATAATAATTGCGACGTGTGAGTAATTGTTGCCTCCCAGTGTATAAAAGACGAAGAGCAATTAGTGTGGCTGTAGATTATTAAATGGGGAGGTGGATGACGATGACGATGATGTCGAGATTTTGTGATGGGTCATCAGATGCAGATGTTTCGTAGTTTTAGTTTAGTCAACTCCTTACGTGGCTCAGCCCAACGCCAACATTTCGCCGCGGACAAACCTCGCACTCTCACCACTTCTCCCCTCCAGATGGCTGTCAACGCCCAACACCAAATCCTATACCTCCTCACAAAGTCACAATCCTTCCTTTATCGGAGTGAGGAATGTGAGAATTGTCCTGAATAAATAATACGAGAGGCGAAAGTCTCAATCTGCCTCCTCTCTCTCTCACCTCAGAATTTAGAATTTATTAGAACTACTCGCAATTATTATGTGTGCGTAAAATGATGAATTATTGTGTCCGTCTCTTGGTCCACTTCCTTCATCCTTGCAAGTTTTCCCTCATCGATTTCCTGTCTTTAACGCATTTTGAAACATTTTTGTTTTTTGTCCTCTCTCTCCTTCGGGTAGAGATGCATGCATGAGAAAATAATGCTGAGGTGGCGTAAGCTGCGAGGGAAATAAAGTAGGTTTGCTCTGGCCGTGGTGGTGGGTGAGACAGGTCAAACAAATAGGTGAAAGTGAGCAGATTTTTGGCACCCTCGTTTATCAACTTTCTCTCCAAGCGACCGACCGACCCACCGATCAATGCAGACCACGACGCGTCGCCCTTGTCTGTCATGTCATGGCAGATTTGACCACGACCAAACCATGGCCAAATCCGCCCGCAAAACAACCGCCATGTAGGTAATTGCATTTTGGGTTAATAGAAAAGTCTGAAATAATGAGTGTAGCACACGCACAAACCGTTTCTATTAATATTGTTTTTATTTATGTAGGTATGCACTGTGTACGCTAATGCTGAGCAATTGGAGCTTTCTCTTCTCGTTCTAACGCAGAGAAGATATCTGTCCCGTGAGAAAATTCAATTCGTGGAAATTATTTTCTTTGGGTGACTTTATGTCCGTTTTGCAGTCATTTTACCACCACCAACGTCGAAATGAGGGTAAATTTGTTTACATGCATGCAGCAATCCTTATTTTGTAGGTATATATATACCATTTCTTCTCTTCGCAGGGCGGCACACTTACTTGGGGATAATGACCATGAATTTAACCGAGTTTTGTGTATTATTTATGCGTGACAATTTAAGCAGGGTTTGATTTAGACCTATAGTAGATGCCTTCTAAAATGTGAAATTTAGCATGCACGCAGCAAAATGCCTTTGAAAGTCTAATATGCATTTAGTTTTAAAAAATAGTGGGGGCACCAGCAAAAGTGAAAGCAAAAGGAGAAAACCCGAACTCATGTAAAAAAATCTGTCAATAAAATATAGCCGTTTTACATTGTTCCTCTCATACATACATATTTTCTTCTTCTTCCACCTGAATAATAAATTCCGTCTGCTCCCAGCGCATAAATCAATTACTTACTTAGTACTCGTCGACGTCGTACGTTTCGATCTTCCTTTTTATTCAGAAATTCTAATATTACCACTTTTTCACTTCATTCTCTGTTATTAAATTTGACCCAACCAGCCATTGAGAATAACGTATCTGATAATGCAGAATAGAAAAACCTCTGCTGTTGTCTGTAAAATCGACTGGGTTGATGTAGCCTGCTGAAATCCATTCATAGTACGAAAGACAGAAGAGCAGCAGGTATTATGGAATGAAAAATATGCATTTCTTGGAAAATAATAAGCAGAAATGAAAAGCTACTCAGACAGTCAACTCGAATTGCTGTCAACACTCTTCCCCAAGAAAACGATAACCAAGCAAGGTTCTTGTGGATCCTGTAAGAGGAAATTATATTAAAGCTTGAAGGAAATCATGAAAAATATTCCGGAAAAGTTCCACCGCTCGAATCCCCATAACTCGAAGAACCAAAACATACATACGTACATACGTACATACGTACATATACACAACACAATATATTAAGCTGATGCCGGGAGCTGAAACCCACCAAATAAAATAAAATTTAGGTGAAAAGAACTTTCTTTCCCCGGATTGTAATATACTTTGCTTTCCACTCGCCGCTCTAGTATTCTTTTTTTGCACCGTATCCAGCAACGCTGGTTTGCTGAGCCTAAAAGGTTATAAATCCCTTTTCATTACTTGCCTCACCCTCCTTCAGCAGTGCTAATTCAAAAGACGGGGGTGAGAAGACGAGAGATGTATTTTACTTTACTTGGCACTTGTCAAATTGTTATATGCGTGGTATTTACTTGGCAAGACAAGGCCCACTCACCACATGTGCAGCCTAAACCCACACTCTGTCATTTCAAAATATTTTAGCACTTTTTTGTACCTGTGGACTTGGTATTTTATTAAAGTCTTTTGAAAAAGGTGGGTTTGCTAGAGCAGAGAGAGAGAGAGAAAGTGAAAGTATCAGATTCATTTCACTACTGTTGAACTGAACTTTCACCTTTTCCACTTAAACCTAAAGACTGATAGTAAAATTTTAACTGAAACGAAAATTGAATAAGCAGAAAAGTTGAGAGAGTAATTTTAACTTTAGTACATTTCGCTTTTGAAGGATCTTCTCAAGTTCTTTTACACATATGTATAAATGAATGTACACATCTGACGGAATGCTTATAAGTATTTAATATCACTTATAACGTGAGTATACATATTGTTTCATTCTAGCAGTCAGTCAATTGAATTCACTAAATTTGCCTGGACATGCGAATCGCTTTTTGGTGGTTGTTGAGTAGAATTGCATACAAAAAACGTCCACTACACGAAGAAACAACAGTGGGCAAAAAGTTTAGTACTGTGAAAGTCTGTGCGTATGTATTTATGTAGGTGCGGTGTATACTAATATGTAATAATGGGACTTGGGAGGAGGTTCTGCAATGGTTGGTGGTGGTGATGGGTGTGAAGTGTGAGAGTCCTTTATATCCATTTGAGTTTCCCCATTTTCGCTTTACATTTCCTTCCGGCGAAGCAAGATTTTTTTGTCGGTTTCACTGCGGACTCGCATTATTCATCCCACTTTTGTAGACTTTCTCCTTAAATTGCGCTGGCTTGGCTCCTTGTGGAAAGTCCGTCAACTCATCCATCTATGCCCTCCTATTCACCACACCTTCTTGGACAATTTCGTTACGCTAGAATTGCATCATTTGCACTATTCATGTCATCCTTGTCACTTGTCGCCCTGGATAAACGCTTCTATTCCATTCGTGTCACTAGACCATCGTCTGTGCATGCATGTATTCATATGGTGTCAATTTGTATCATCACTTTGGGATCAGTGCAAATTTTTCTTTTATGTTTGCCTACGACTCTCCATGCGTTGCAACAAAGCCGACGTTAGATAATCAAGCTCTGTCAGTACCACAACGTCATCACCAACTTCCTTTATATGTACATTATCCTCGAGCTTATCGGATATTTCAATCTAGATGATTGATTTGTGAACGTTTTGCTTGGCCACGCCAATTGCATAATAATCGTAAAATCCGAACGAAATTAGGTTAAGCTGCTCCATTTGCTATTTTGCTAGTAAGTGACGACGGTCATTTTCATGTTTGCCAATCCTAGCAAAATACGAGAATAAAAGATTGTTGAAACCCCGGGTATAACCAACAATAAGATATGAAGACCACAAACTGCAAAAAAGCTGTTTGAATTTGTGAAATTTTTCGCCGCCCTCGGGGGTGTGACTTACTTGGTCCCTATTATTAATTTCCGTAAGTAGAATTAGAAAAGTTCTGTTCCAACGTTAGAAAGTTAGTGGCCGATAGACAGAAAAGCATTAACATAAAGAAACGCCACAGTTATTTAATAACCATAAACGACATAATGATACTGATAAGATGCAATACATTTAGCATCGGCCAAATCTCAAACAATCATTCGTATTACTGAACTTATTTGCTCATTTATCGTTATCATCAAAACCACATTGAGTATTGGCACTTTACAATAAACATATGTAATCGCACTACTACCATTCATACAAAATAAGTATACACCAAATTCAGAATAACGAATTGAACAAACTCTGAAGGAAGGAAGCATGTCGTTGTTGAAGCTTCCATAGGGTATTCCTAAAACATGGCGAGACTCTTTTGGAAGCTACAACGATGATATCAAACCTTGCATGCATGGAATCTCATATATATATATTGCTTATTGTATGCCATTTATTGGCTGCAAGAATATTTACAAAAACCATACATGCCTAATTTAGTTCCACTCATTTAACAAATCTATCCTTTGATCAACATGAGTTGTTTTTTATTCTTTTGAAGAATGAAGTTTGGACATTATCGGAAAATAATTCTCAACACTTATGTACGATCAACTTTAGTACGTATTTGTTAAGACAATTTTAAATCGATCAGAACAATTCAGTCCTGGTAACTCATATGACATACTTTCTCTTCGAACCCCGTGCATTATCATTTCAACATTTATTCACATTAAACAGTAGTAACACATCGTACTAAAAATATTCAGATCAATTCTTTTAAAAACTTTTATTTAATATTTATTTAAATAAAATAATGTACATTTATACTGTACTGAGATTGTATCGTGCTTAATTGTGATGCCAGTTGCGTTTTGTGTTTAAATAACCATCATATGAAAATGTGTTCATGCTTGGTGACAGCATACTTCAGCTGCCAGCAATTAGCCAATTATCACTTTTGTCACAATCGTAGTGTGCCATGAAAGAAGCCAATTTCCTAAGTAATAAGTAATAGGTGGTCACCAGTCGAGGTCGTTTCCTCGTGACCGTGGTTATTATGCATTAAGTAAATGTATGTACTTCAAATGACTGAATGAACCACCACCACTAACCAACGTGCAGCATGTACATATGAGCACTTGTAATTTACTTCTTTTCGCCGTCGCGTCCTCTGGTTCAGTTATACTCGAGAGTTTTTGTGCAATTGCCTGCTTACACACTTTCTCCGATTATGGATTATAATCTTATGCAAGAAACTCCACACTTTTCTCATTTGCTTTAGTGAGCCAGCAAGCCTTGGGCCTTGCTGTGCTACCAATTGCCAAGAAAAGCTCACCAGAGTTCTCGAATGTATTAAGGAAAAGTCCTGTTAGTGGAAACCCGGACTAAAAGACTAAAGACCGAATGCAGGTAATACATCACCCCAAAAGTTTAAAGACATGCAAGGATATTTGTGTTTAAAAAGGAGCAAACTTTTCTCATTTATGGTGTTGATGTTGATAGCCTACCCAGGAGAATGAGAGCAGAACGCATGCAGCAAAGCATCGTCATTATACAGAAAGTTGGACCAAGGGTGGTTTGGAAATAAAAAAAACTTGAGAAGGTGAGATGAGATTAGGGTGATTAGGATACCTACATATACCATTACACGCTCACTCACTGCTCCATACGTGTCGGAGATAGTAGGTTATGTAAAAGTGTGTGGGTTGCTTTGTTGCCCGCCTGCTTTCTCCTCTTGCAGATTTGCACAAATAAAAAGTTTTGTCCTTCGAATTCTAACATTCCTAAAATTCTACGTTACATAGAATCTTAACACAACACAGTACGAAGATCAACAAATTACATACGCCATCTTATTATAGCTTATGTATGGATGGACATACATAACTCTTCAGAAAGACAAGCACTCATAATACGAAGAACTTTCAATCAATCAGTATATTTACTGATTGATTGACGTAGCATTCGGTGTAAGTTGTATAAGATGATCAACATGACGGTTTTTATTACGTCATATACATACATATTTACCTAAATGATGTATTATTGTTTGCGCTCTTTGAGCCGTGGGCCTGAAATACTTAAGCCATACATATGTACATTCCATTACAATGGGCATATAGTAAGGATATAAATACTTATATGGTAGGCATATATTATTTTTGTAAATGTTCAATGTTTGTCCGTTTATCCGTGTTGTGTTAAAAAGTCCTGAAAATTGCAAACAGCCGAAGGGAAGATACGGAATTAATGCCTCTTTATGATCTCCTTTCCCCAAAGTCTCATGGGTTGGGAGCAAATGATTAAGAAAAATTAAGAGCCGCTGGGAATTCTTGGAGAAGGAAAGTGGTAATGGCAAGCGTTGTTTGTGTTCTCGAGGAGGCTTCCTCAACACGGAAAGTATACGCCGGAGGAAGTAGGTGTGGAATTCTGGGATGTTCTTCTTTCAGCTTCAGTCACTTATCTATCTGACAACACAAGAAGAAGAAGATCATCATCCTTTTGATCCGCTAACACAAAGTATTTTGGGCTTTGCTCAAGGATAAAAACGCCCAGCTCCCAAAGTGTTAAAGAGCAGGAGGAGGTTTTTATAATTACAAGGTGAAACCATAAGACGCCAAAAGCGAGGGAATTTTCCTCCAGCTCTTGTCATAAAGCACGTCCCCCTGATCCTGCTGGATGTTAAATTGAAGTAGACACCACGCTTTTCTAATTTTTATCCTGATGACATTAGATGCCACCCTTAATGAAAAATTGGGTTTGGTAAGGTTGTCTCCTTTAATCACTGAACGCCTTTCGTGAGCCATTATCTTCGCTACGTCTTTATATAATACGTACATATGTATGTTATTCAACTATACATTCTTGAAATTATTGGCAAATCGCAACAACATTTTTTAAAATGAGATTATATAAATGAGAATATTTGTTGTTTGCACCAAGCTGACGCAAGTTTAAGCAACACATCTAAGTAAGCACACTCTTTTCCGACCTTTTTAATTGAAGTGCATGCATTGATTAACTGAAGAAACAGTCAATCACTGAATAACTATCGAATTTAGTAAATCTAGAACCGTTTATATCTCTCATTAACATGCAAAAATCAGAAAAGCGCATAAGAAGTTTCGTGTTGAACCAAGGCACCACTTTATTTCCAATCTAATTTTCAAGCCTGTCTGTTTCAAATCTGAATTACTACTGACGATGTTGAATAAAAGAAGTTTCGGGAAAAGCAAACCCTAATTATGATGGTATGCATATTCTTCAAAAAAGTATTCGCCTTGTGCGTACCATGCATGCATATATAACAATAACCGCAATGGTGAAATGCTTTTAACCACAGTCGACAGTGCCATATTTATTCGCTTTTATTGGCGAGGCAGCTCCTCTTGGGCATAGTAGAGATGCTCCACAAAGGTAAAGAGACAATTCTCATTTGCGCAATGGAATGTGTGCAAATATAACTACATAAAGTTACGCAAGAGCGAGTGAGCCATTGGTATGCGTCAAAATTTTGTACTTTCTTTGTATGCCAACGGTTCCATGCCATTTTATATTGAAATAAATATTCCCGATATTTATCTGTATTCAAGTCCATATGTTGGCTTAATGTGTTTTTGCACAATTATATTTAACTGAATTTTGACATTTTTAGAATTTCCGAATGGTATATAAATAGATAACCGAACATCTTGAAGGTCGTGCATGTGTAGAATGCGTGAAAGTTGTCCTATTTTGGAATAATTTTGAAACCTGCATGTTTTTCAAATGCAAAGTAGTAAGAACACGAGTCAAAGAGTCATTTGCAAACTTCCGTCATCAGATTTCAATGGGATGAGTTTCAGGGAAAGCTCATCCAAGTATTAATCTATGGGAACACAAAGCTGGGGACGAAGCGTGTGGGGTGGGTGAGGAGACAGATGGAACATTCCATCCAATTCTGCTTTTGCCACAATTCCGGGAGAATTCCGAATTCCAAGTGCACATAAGTGACACCATGAAAACTCAAACTTGCACTGTGAACGAATATTGAGTTTACTCTAGAGTATCTTACATCAAAATGTGAAAAGTAGAATGGGACTAGTTGGCATCACAAAAATGAGCGGAAGGAACTACAACTGTCCCGAAAAGGCCAGTAAATTCTCATATTTGCATCTCCTGTTTTCCGTCTCCAGGAATTCTTGTCCCAACTTCCATCCGACTTTCTCTCTCCGTTTCATTCAATATTTCAGAAAAGAGGAGATGGAGGGAAGGAAGGAAAGAACTGAATGCGGGACGAAATTTGCTGGATAAACATAGTGCCCCAGTTACCAGAACTAACTTCGTTACAATTTTCCTCATACAACACAACACACACACAGCGAGAGAGTGAAAGAGGAGAACTGTCAACCGTAAATTGTTACGAGTTTGTTTGAATCTTGAGTGGATTCATTTGTCGTTTTACTCATCTGTCTTGATTTGAGATTCTTTTTGCCCACCAAGATTTTCCCCACTACACAGTTTGGTTAACTTATTGTGTATGAAAAGCAACTCAACCGCTTTATTGAGCTAGCTCCCCAAAACTTGGATTATTTTTTACATCAGAAGGAAAAGCGACATATGCAAATCTATAATACTTGCAACTACACACACCTACATACGCGCTTTGTCCTTATCAAGTAAGTTTTGCATATTACTCATCCGCCATGTTTGAAACTTTGCTCAATCAATTCCAAATGATGCGAATGACTACACATGTGCATATCTACGTACGCAAGTAAATGTAAGGAATATAAATATGTATTCATATAATATAATTTTTTGTCTAAATTCATCCTCCATAAATTGTTTAGCAAAAGTTAGTTTTAAGAAAATGTCATAATACATATGTATTTATGAGCTGTGAGAGACAGGCAGGAGGCGCAACTTATTCGCGAGTTCTTATTTTAATACGAATATTCCCTCCTGAACCCCTCTTCAATTTATATAATGTCACAAAAAACATATTTTCAATACAAAAATTCGGTTACTCATCTTTGTTGCCCCAAAGGAACAAAACCCTTCATCTTTGAACCACGTACGTTCCTTTTATATACACTGTTTGTCGATTTCCAGAGTCTTGGAACAAACCAAACCTTGTCAATAAAGTTACGATATCAATATGACAAAGTTTGACGAGTTCGACCTCAAACTAGGTATTACTCTTGGAAGTTGAAAACGAGAAATTCTTAGTATTCAAACATGATCGCGTGCATCTTCCCCTCATGTCTTTTCAACTCTGTGTCTAACTCAAATATTAGAAAATAAGCTCAACTTCAAAAGAAGTTCTCTTTATCCTACATGTGCATATGTACATATGTACATAGGCATATGTACTCATCCTCAGATATGTAGTGCACAGCTCGGATCCCTATGAAAACTGCTTGCTGATTCTCCTTTCTCCCTCAACTTGTTAGATAGTTTACTTGGTGAAGAATCAGTAATTTTGAATGACTTGGTGAGGCGGCTCGACGGAATATGTAGGGGAAAAGATTTCAGTTGAATGCAATGCAGTGCAGCGCATAACAAGGAGATTTCGAGCCAGTGGTGTTCGCTCACGTGTAGAGAAACTTGATGGAAGAATGACAAAATCTGGTTCCGCAATTTCAAAGAATGTCAAAATAACTGGCATTGGAAGGGAAGGACTTGATGGAGGTAGAGATGTCAACATAGGAATAGAAATTGTAATAATAATAAACACCAATCCCTGGAAACAAGAAGACATTGAGACAGGCACGTCATGATAAATTTGTATTCATGTTTTTAAATCACAAAAATGTTTCCTCTCGATATTCTGTTTGGTTACATTTTGCGTAAAAAATAAAAGCAGCCACAATGTCAGGACGATGAATCAAACACCGAATAGAAGTGCATTTGTAACCTATATTGCAAACTCCAAATACCTTTGTACACGACTGGAACAATAAGTATAATAATTATGCATAACGTATTTACTTACTAGTAATTTTAAATAAAGCACACATGCACATAAATGCTCAAAATCCCATAAATTTTCCCTATGGCAGACTAAACTTGCATTTCGTTTAAAGAATCGTTGCATAGTATGGGACCGTTCCATTTCCTCGCGAATATAAGCAATTGCAATATGAGGATGGAATGTGATAATCCGAGGTTATATAGATTTGGACTATGCTCTGACTAAATAGTTGATGGTCATTGAATGAATGAATCAGCGCATTCAACTGTCAGCATCTTCATGACCAAGTTTCTGAATAATTTTTGCAAATTACTAAACATAGTGTTAATTAGCGTTGTCAGGTTAATCACTGCTGCTTGCGGCAAACAAATAAAGTGATGCCTGTCAGAATTTAGTATTCATATATTAATATTATGAATGAAATGGTTGCATGACGTTTGACGTTAAATGTTAATTTGTCCGTAGGAAAAATGCCATGTTACTTGTTGCTAAGTATTTTGCTTACTAAGTTTTTATTGCATTATTGGTATTCTTCACGATGGAAAACAACTGTGGTTTTCCAATTTCTAGATCCCTCCAGAACGAGTTTATTTGGTGAGAGATCACTTTGGAATAATCCTAATTTAAGTTTCATGCTTTGTATCCTGCTTGCTTGCTAATTGATGCCACAGGCAGAATGGTAAATATTCTGGAAATGTTTTCTCCGTAAAACATGTCTATATGAGTCTTGGTTTTAGTGGAGAGGTTAAGTTTGGAAAATAATAAAAGTTTAATGTAAATTACAATGTCGCAGAAGGGATGAGCTGGCTTCTTCCTTCCAAGAGCTGATTTTCATCCAGAAGCAATAAAATAACTTTGGCTATTAAAATAAAGTATCTAATTAGTGAGTCACTCAAGAATAATTATAAATATCACTTTGGAGGAGAACCAACTCCTTATACACGGTTCACATCAACCATTTCCAATGCTGCGAATGGTACAAAGAACGCAGTAGTTTTGCAAATTGTGTCCATTTGGTTTATTCTTTTCTTGGTTGTCTTTTTATTTTGCTGTGCATGTAACAGCTGCAAGTTTCTGAGACAAGGTTCTGCATGCAAAATAATTCTAATCAATCTGACCAAAAAGTGACGTTGTCTTCGAATCTAAATTAGACGTACATACACAAAAAATAATTTGTTCAAGATGAGATTCCTGCAAATATTCTTCACTATTGTTATATTGGCCTTAGCCATATATTGCAATGATACAGAATCCACTCCTATGGATAAAACTGCCTCAAACTCGGGTAATTCTGACTTGTAGTCAAATTTAGTATTAATATATTTGCATGTTCACTGAAGTGAATAATTTGTGGTCAAATATTGAACCCTTCATTACCTTCATAATTTTGTAATTCTCTTGCATTTACCAAGATTCAACTCCAAAGAGTCCATTGTTTGCAGAATCTGGAGAAAGCACTGCCACCCCAACGCCCAGTGATAGCGAGGAGGGCACGAGCACAAACAGCAGTGCGAACGAAGAGGAAGACATTGTGGTGATATTCGTTAAGAAGAACAACAGCTCCGACTCGGATTTAGATAACGACGACGACGACGACGACATAACGAACACCACCACCGCGAGCACGATGAAAAGGATTTCCATCTCTAAGCGCCAAGTGGATCATCGCTTCTCCCAGTCGAATGATGATAAAGATGGAGATGGAGATGACAAGGGTAATAATGAGTTGATGTCGGGCATGAGCCCCAGAGAAATTCTTCAATGAATTTGCATGCGATTAAAATCCTTTGACTTTGACATTTTCATGGCGTAATGACACAGGTTTCCTTCACAATTTTACTAGACCATAAATATTTGTGCCAAGGTACGTAGGAGGTGAAGTGAGATGTTATTACCGGTGTATGGGAAAGAAGTCTGGTGGTGTGATACTTTCACTCAGCTTGCGTCGGAGAGCTGTAGCACTCGTATATCATTGACTTACGTACGTAGGTGGACGTACGTAGGAGGTAGGAAGCGTAAAAACAATCATTTTTAATTTACAGATTTCGTTTAGTCATTTCAATTTTGACGATTTACGCCCTAAAGCTGCTCAGAAAGAAGGCATGTCTTTGATCCAATTTTTCCCATCTGGACTTGCATAATTCGTATCGCAACATACCTTTGGGTATTATTATTATTATTTTTTAAATATGTGCATGCATATACAAGTACTGATTTAGGTTATATTAAACGAGGTCCGAGTAGGGTTGCCAACAAGCCGTGAACAAGCTAGACTCAAAATTATCAGTTGCCAATTTTTTATGCATTTGCAATTTGTACCAATACACTTCAAATTTACATTGAAAATTCACTTTGTCACAAGTAGTTGGTTACTTTTTAAATTAATTAAGGCAAACGCATCTCGACTTGCTTATAACTTGTTGGCAAATAAGGTTTTTTATGAGATATGAAACTACTTTATTAATCCTCCAGCCTCCAAGCTTGATGACGACTTCAAATCAACTTCAAAAGGAAAGTCTTCCTCCAATAGCACTACGTCTGAAATAATCCTCATCCCATTCTTTCGACGACCTATTCTGGTTGACATAATCTTCCTCCGAGTGAACAATACGGATTCCAATCAAACAGGTATGAGACCAGTTTCTAGATAAATGTGCCCAGAAAGGTAGTCGTATCGCAAGTAAGTAAAGTAATCTGTAGAATTGTGGGCTCTTGACCAGATGATGACGAATTTGACCGATTATACGAAATATCATTATTTTCAGGTATTTTCGCTTGCATTACATAAAATCCTATAATTAATGCGCAATAAAAGTTCAGCGCATCCTTTACTTTCTATTTCCATTATGTCCATGAAATTCATCTTGTTGTTGACGGGTGCAATTAATTATTCTCAAGGATTTCCAATCGGCACATGCTATGTACTAATTTGTTGTACTCTGCTACCTGCATTGTAATTTGGCTTCCTTCTGAACTCGCTACTCGAGTAAATAATGTTCCTCTTCGACATACTTCTTTCTCCTCTCTTCACTTCTTTCGTTCTCTAACTTCTTGAGAAGCAAAGTGAGGAAGAATAAGTGCTCATGTGAGACCCGAGCTCGAGTGTTTAGAAGATATAGAGAGCGAGAGAGAGAAAGAAAGCAACTTAATTTTAACTCTTTCTTGTTTGTGCCTAAAATAATTTTCCTATTTGACTTGATTACACTCTATTCCTTTCCAACTGAGACAGAGCTAGTGCACTGGCTGACTATGCATCCCTCTCATATACATGGTCTCATCTCCCAGTTATCTCATTCCACTTTGAAAATTACAGGCCCACACTTTCCATTTCACTCTGGTGGACAGGGAGTTGGACATTCAAAACCCATTAATTCGGATGAGGACTCGGCTGGTCCCACAACTACGACACAGGACGCTGGTGCCTCCAGCCTAGAAAGTAATGAAACAAGTACCCGGAAGTCAAGTTCCGAAGAAGTGACCCATACCACCCCGTCTGGAACCAACAACTCCTCTTCTCAACTCACCCATAAGAATAGGGGTCGACGTAATACCATTTTCTCTCATCTTACTAATAACTCCCAAACCACCACCTCCAACCCAGACGATGATGGTGCTGCTAGTCTGGACAAAGAGACTTTCTCCGATTTCAACAACAACAATACAAGTCATGACAGTGATTATAGCACAAACTCGGGCTCCATGTCCTCCACTTTCTCCATTCCAAGCTCGATAACAACAGAACCAACTCTCCTCATGACTACACGCGAGACTAATAACGCAAGCAGTGAGAACAATCAACCTCAATTCCAACTCGGTGACGAAGAAAGTGACAAGAAGAAGTTAGCAGAGGACAAAATGCCAACCACCATCGCCACCACTACTGGAAATCCCGTAATTTCTATCTTTATGGAAATTATAGAGTATGGCGAGAACGTTACGAAAGCCCTGTTTGGGAAGGTGCACGACAATAATAATGCAAATTCCAAGCGGAGAAATCACTCGGAATCATCTGGAGCTGATGATAGTAATGATCATGAGGATGATGATGCGGACCTTTCCCGTACAACTGGCTCCACTCTCCGATCGTCATCCTCTTCCAGTGGTTCCAATCAAAATTCCACTAACCACAACCAGCACCCACAAAATGGATCAAATTCACTCGTCCAGCAAGAAAAGTGAGCATCAATTGCAACTTTAACTGCTACGTAGGACCAACTGCGGCAATTGCAATCCATCAAGTAGTTCCTATACGAATATATATATCTACGATATGAGTATATGTAAGTCTTGTGCCCCTCTCTTCACTAAGTCAAATAAACTACATATGTATATCTAGCAGTATTTGTTGGATGAGAATTTCTTATCCGAGGGCTGCTAAAATCTGTTCTTGAATTTATAAATTGAATTCCTTTCGCCTTTTCTCACTTTGCATTGGATACATGTTCTGTCAGGTAGGATCCGTTCATATTCTCACCCAACCTACAATTCACAAACACCACTATCACCATCACCACCAACCAACAACGAACGCAAACGACGACGACTAAACTTTCACGTTGAGGAAAACAACTACTAAACTTAACTTTTGAATGCTGAGAAGATAAATTTCTTGTTTGAATCGTTCCCTACTTCTGTTACATCGCAGCGCCTCCCCCACTCACTTGGTGTGGCGTTCTCTGGCTGGATTGGATCCATTCTCCATCTACAGTTGGTATTTTGGTATATGGTTTGGGGACTTGAAGAGATTCGTTTCCTTGAGTCCACACCGAAAAGACGAAGAGAGGAAACGAACAATTTGACTCAAGTATTCCTAGAAACTCTCTTCAGCTGCAGATAGAGAGGGAGAGAGAGAGGGAGGGATGGAGAGCTTGGTTCCAACAATTCCAACCAAACTTAACTAAATCTTTTCAAACTTTACTTTGTAATCCTTAACTCTTCAAGTGTTCGATTAAAGGCTTCTTCCATGGCATTCTCACCAAAACGGCAGAAACTCTGAATTTGTGTGGATATCTGGCAAATTCCTTCTTCTTTGTTGTAGAATGTGCGTTTATATGAATTGTCAAATGTTTATAGCTGCATAAATACTGCTGATGCATGATCAATTGCTCCGCGTCTCACCATCATATGGTGTATGCACATTGCAGTACTCTGAGATAATAATACTGGTCATTCATACAAGTTATTCTGAAATCCAACTACACATTTTCCAATTATCTCCTTATCTCAAACTACATTGTGGAAACTTACAAGTTGTAGGTTACACCAGTAAATTTCCAAGTTTGCGTTAAATATGCTGTTTCATATGCCTAAATATTTGACTGTAAACCACCTATGAATGACGACAAACCTATGCTATATGATGACAAACATAAACCTATATGATGACAAAAATAGCACACCAGTACCCAAAACGGAAATAAATATATAATCTCTGGCTTCAAAGATGGAATTGTATGAAATCGATTGAAAGCTGGAAATGGCTTCTACATATTTTGGTTGCACACTGAAGCCCTTTGTGGTTGAAGTATATTGACTTTTCATGTACAGAAACGTTTACTGATACACAGCTTCCATTCAAGAGGTATACATATGGCCACACATGAGTGTATTAAATTAAACGAGATTAACAGTTTTCCAAATTTAACGTGGGTTGATGCGATGGTATGGTACATAGAGTTTGATAAATACCAAGTGCAGGATTTACACTTGGAAAATTCCCACACCTCGAAATTTAGGCACAATTATGCAACACAAATAAATTTCACCGTCACAGGGATAAATATTCCAAGGTCCTTGTTGCTTGGGCTTTCTCGATAAAACAGCCTGTTCAACCCTTCGTAGGTATTTGTATACGATTAGTGAATGAATAAGGAATGAATAATTCAAGTGGTTGAGTCAATGCCTTGAATGGGACGGAATAAACAAAGCTTATCATTATGGAACTGCCGCTATGACTATTTCCTCCCCATCTTGATACATGTTCCTATGTAAGTAAGTACATGCATATACCTTGCACATGTCAGCAAGGACTCATGCAAAGTTGGGGAACTGAAGTGAGGAGAAGCGTATACTTTTAAGTCTAGGACTTTGCTTTGAAACAATTAGCATTTCAAATGATTCTAATTATACACCTCAAGTTACCAATAAATTTCAAGTTGAACAATACGCAGCGTAATTATACCAAGGGCAGCAGCTCACAGAAGAAGCATTAGCTTGTTCCGAAAATTTATTACTTAGCTGCAGTGAGGATGAGATCATCCGTCGAGAGGATTTCGAGATTGCTGTTCAATCAAACAACTCAAATCCCAGTCCATTATTGTAATGCAGTCCTTGTTGAAGAGAACTTATTGAATCATCCACACCGACAGTTAGAATCAATGTATGTATGTGGACAAAACAACAAATTCTATTGTTGACCTTCCCGTTTTATGTATGCTAAATATTCCTATGGACCAATTTCTCTGATGAAAATCAAAAATTTTGGACGGTTGGTGGTCCTACATCATATTTCGCAGAGACGAGTGAAATGATGATGATGGTGCTTTTGTTGCGCAGCGTGTAGTTTGGCGATCGCTCTCCATTGTCATTGTTTGATATCCTGTAAAATTTGATTTTGCAAGACACGACAGAAATCGGGTAACAAAGGGAAGGGAGAAGCCATGAGCTAATCCCATTTGAACTCGAGCCCAGCAATTGTTCCCATCCACCCAGTTTTCCAGTGTCTGTTGGTTGTGGAAAGTGTCATTCGTCTCTCATTTATATTTAGTTAAAATAACAATAAAGGCTTTCATTGGATATCCGCCGCCTTTCCTGGTGTCGCAGTATCTTGTCCTAATCTCCATTCGGTCTGATGCCTCACTTGTATGTGCAGGATGTCGACAACTGTGCGGATAGATATTCAACCACGCAGCGTACAGGCATATCTGATGTCTGCGTGTATGCATGGTTTCGAATCAACTACGAGATTATTTGCCCACAAATTTTGACTGTTTAGGTTTAGGTTTGTTATCAGTGTTTGCTTTACTTACACACAAAACCACACGTTCAACCGGATTTCATTCGAAGTTTGAAGTTTGGATTATTATTATGAAATGCAGGTCGCATGTGAGTGAGGAGATATGGAGAAAAAGCGAGATTTGTGACAGTGAGACGTGAGAGGATATGATGAGAAGTCCCGATATTTGCAAAGTGAGGCACTTTGAATGAACGATTCCTCAACAAATTCATGGACGAAACAAAACTCAAATTGCTCAAATCCTTTTAAATACATACACATTGAAAATAGTTTGTATCCTCAATTCTCCTGAACCAACTACCGAATTCATCACTTGATCTGCCTAGATATCAGGCTTGTAATTACCATTACACTATATTTTAATATATGCTCGTGGATTTGCAGAATAATCATCTCTCTGTTGTTTTATAGTCCCAATAATAACGGTGCTGAGATATATGTATGTAAGAACGAACGTATAGTCTAATTGACGCCAATAAGGATGACGATGAGTGTACACACGTTATCTGCTAGCAATCGCATGATATAACTTTATCCCTTCCATCACATCGTTGAAATAAACCTCGTTCGCTGTGGCCCGTGTTTCCGAGCCTTGGAGGCTCACAGTGTATGTATGTGGCTCGCACCCACTTCCATACGTCTGTTCAGATAAAAGTTGCTTGATGTGACATGGCGCAAGTATTAATTTATTAACAAGAGCAAGGTGTTGCGAACACGAGGAGGAGGGTTGAGAGAGATCTGGAAAGTGGAGAAAGTGAAAGCAATCAGAAGGAGGAGATTCAAACTTTTATTAGAAACATTACACCACCATCACGCCGGCTGCACACACGAGCAACAACAAACTGTGGGGTTGAGCTGATTGACGGCGTCAGTACGGCTTGCCACTTACCCTTATTACACACACACACACAGATTCCATCACTATCCTCGTTGTTGTCCAGTCTTTTCCCTCCTAGGGCAAGTCCCTTCAATTATGTTGGTTTCACTCATCACGCTGGACGTGCTTTGACAGAACAAATGCAACGCAATACAAAGACTGCGTGACCATCATCGGAATAGATGTCCAACTTTTAGTTTCTTTTATTTCTTAAATTACTTTCTCTTCCCATGTCTTTCCACATCTTGATTGGACGCTTGAACCTCAATCAGTCCAGATCGCCAATGATATTTCTGGACATATCGTACGCAATTTTGGTACCGGACATATTATTTGTGTGATTACTATGTATGTATAAGTACATGACAGGAATGATTACGAGGGGCTATATGGAAAGGCCGAGGCCATAGGATGACAATGAACTGTGAAGACATTAAGGACATTGCACTTGCACGGTCACTTTGAAAATAACGATAAGTGAGAAATATGACGTAATAAAGTGCAGTGGACTGAATCCGTTTAGTGTCCTTTGCGCTTATCTTGAAGGTATTCCTTTTCAACTTACCTTACAATCACCGTAAAAGAAAATGTATATACAAGTACATGCATATATACATGCACACAAGATTTTGTCTCAAATACATACTCATGAAATATGTATTCTTTTGCGAATACCTAGATCGAGACGGTGGATGTATATTTATTTAATAGCTGCATGGATTTACAGGACGACATTTTTATTTGTCCATGTCTAGCAAATGATTTAGTAAAATAGATCTGACGATAATAGAAGGAATTCAATCGCCCATCAGGCAGAAGATTGAAAGTTTTCAGAAATAATATCCCAGGTTGCAGCATTTCGCCGGTAAGTAGCCCTCGTATGTATAGACTTTTATTACTGGTGTTATTTTTACCCCTGAACATATTCAAATTACGGTTCATAATATGCCATTTCTGCACACGTGAACTGTCAGTTGTTAATAATTCGTAATAAGCTAAAAAGTAAAAGCTATTCTCTGCACCCCAGTTTAATTCTCTATTACGTCCCCAAAAGCATAAGCATTGCCCCTCCACGAGCTTAATGAGACAAGAGAATTCCAAAAAAATGTCTCAGCATTCATTTCCCACATGGTTGAAGTCTACCCCATCATTGGAAAGGAGTAGAAAAAGTCGTGCGGAAATAAATGCATGCGGATGAGCTCGTCTTTCGTAATAAAAAGTATTAAAGCCGTCGCTCTCATTCTTTTACTTTCTCATAGTTCCATCTTCATCTAAAACAAAAAAAATTGTCTTTCACCAAATGGTGGCTCACCTCCTTCCACTCCTCCGCCGCCTCTCTCGCTCGCTCGTATGCAGTACTTGTGGCACTGCTACTTCCCAAATAAATCATACATACGCTTAGCAATAAGAGAGGAGAAGAAGGAAGTTATGATTATGACGACTCTAGCCTTGTCGCTCTCCTTTCTCATCCTTTGCTGCTGTCATCTCCGTTAAACAAAACAAAAAGCAGAGC